GGGAAGTAAAGAAAATAAATAGTTATAAGTTGAAGTGATGGATAGGTACTTATCTTGTTCACTGAACGCACTCACATGCATGCAGTATAGTAGTACTTATAACTTTATCTCTTCCAATTAGTACTGCGCTACAACAACAACACATATTACACACTCATGCATGCATTGTCACGTTGTACTCATCTCTGCAATCATAGTAAATGTAACATTTATAGATAGCATAAAACTTCATTTTTTTTAACATTAATCATCAATATATACTACATAATATTTTAACGTACATTTAAACAAGGTAACATATACATATAGATCACATACAGACATGAATAAGGGTTGGCACGGAGATGGTGTGTCCAAGCATTGAAAGCCAAGTGATCCCCTCTCTCTTTTACAGACGTCGTACACAACTTGCTCACATATATATATAGATAGGTTCATTTATTGATATATGTTTTTTTTTTTGCATAAATTATATAAGTTACTGCTGTTATAAATATATATAAAAGTAGGATGATTAAGGATTTCAGAAATTTGGATCAGTCATCTCAATGCATGAATGAATGAATGAATGATCATCGTCGTCCCTTTATTAATTTGTTTGTCTTAGAATGGATATATACAATCTTGTCCTGTCTCAGATTCACTATATTATATTCTAGCAGCCATATGTATATATTTATAAATATATATATATATATACATATATATATATATATATATTTACTATTTAGATCTTGATCATGAATATATATATATATATATATATATATATATTGCCATCTTTTAATTTGTTTAATTGTTTATTGATATATTGGGTTTTATAATAATTTTTAGAAGCATTAATGACAAAACTTAAATTGGGTTCCCACACACGAACATTTCGAATTTCGAAGTATTGCCTTCAAAAAGGGCTACTGGATATGCAAATTATGCTGCAGTCACAAATTAAACACTGAAATAAAATTAAGACATGAGTACTTCTTTTTGCAGCCATGTTCATTATTTACTCATAATGAGGTTTCAATGTAGAGTAAGCTCGAGAATTCAACACAAATTCCTAGGATATATATTCCTTTTTTTTTTTTTAAGGATTTAGGAATTTGATAAAACTAGGTTGTTTTTTTTTTTTTTTTAAATTAATTCAATAACTCATTTTTTTCTGAGACAGATTAAATAAGGTAATTTAATGCATGGATCTGCAATATAGTAGTAATTATTGAAGAAGTTAATTTCAATCAGTAAATTTTATTTAATTACTTAAGACATGTCTTTTGAAAATAATTAAAAGACAAAAAAAAAAGGAAATTAAAGAATATACTAGAACCAGCTGCCCAAAATTCATATATCTCAGTTAAGCTAGTGGTCCAAATCCATGGATATTAAATTATCAAGAAAGAAGGCAGTCATTTATATTTATACATATATATATATATATATAATAGAGATTATATTGTCTCTCTCACTCATGAAACCTCACTGTCTGTACATTTGAGGAACACTCTCCAATGGCTGGATCTACTACACTACTACTTCATGTGAAGATTATTAGTGCTCAAATATTTCCTCTCTCTTCTCTCACATCTCCATCTCAAATTACATAAATATATTTCCCAAATATATATATATATATATATATATATATATATATCAAACTATTTTTTATCTGATCAATTTCTAAAACAGTACTAGTTTAGTCACTTTCATATCTCCTCAAATATATCAATACTATTTATATTTATTTTGTGTCCTTAATTCAATATATTCTGTCTTCTTCATATTATAAATCCATCCCCACAACTCAAACCACCCTACCTAGCCATACTAATAATAATAATAATAATAATCTCTCGACTTTTCTTTAATTTCTTGTAAATTTTCTTGCGTATAATTTGAAATGGCAGGTAGCGATAATAGTATAGCCGAGTTTTTCGAGGAAACTCACGAGTTTTGTGGTGATGCTGCAAATAGTATACCTGATGATATATTCAGTATTCTTGAAGCTCTGGAATCTGCTTCTGATTGTATTCATCTTAATAACAATCAGACAACCCTAAATGACGACGACGACGATGATGCTGCTTTCGAGTTCCACAAATCATCATTAATTCGAGCTTTTCAGCCCGATTCTCCACACTCCAACAAGAGACAAAAGCTGAACATGAATAATGCTTCTGCTTCTGCTTCTGCTTCTGCTTCTGAACAACCAAGAATCACTCACATTACTGTTGAGAGAAACCGAAGAAAACAAATGAACGAGCATCTCTCCGTGCTTCGTTCTCTCATGCCTTGCTTCTATGTCAAAAGAGTAATTACTAACTAATTACCTCTAATTATATTTTTAATTAGGTCTAAATAATTTCAATGTACTAATTAGTTACAAAATTTCATTAATTTTTTTTAGGGCGACCAAGCATCGATAATCGGGGGAGTAATCAACTACATCAACGAGTTGCAACAAGTTCTTCAATCACTCGAAGCCAAAAAGCAAAGAAAATCCTTCTCCGATATTTTAACTAGCCCTCGGCCAATGTCAAGCCCGCGAAAGCCGCCACTGAGCCCGAGAGTGGGCCCGCCAATAAGCCCGCGTACGCCACAATCAAGCAGCCCCTACAAGCCTATGATGCTGCAGATTAACAATCTGCACCAAACTACGGGCTTTAACCTAAACTCACCGTCGTCTCTCCCAAGCCCGGTGGAGACCATGCTTTCTCCTTGTAATTCTTCCACTACTAATTCCTCCATTAATGACAGCATTAACGAGCTTGTAGCGAGCTCGAAATCAGCTGCAGCTGAAGTTGAGGTGAAATTCTGCGGCCCGAATCTACTGCTCAAGACCGTGTCGAATCGGATTCGGCCCGGTCAACTTGTCAAGATTGTTTCTGCCTTGGAGCAACTTGCACTCGAAATTCTTCAAGTCAATATCAACCGGGTTGACGAAAGAATGCTTAATTCTTTCACCATTAAGGTATATTTTTTTATATATATATTAAAAGAAAAATAGAGATATTGCATGCAAATAATTAATTAAGCCCATATTTTTGTTTTAATTAGTTGGATTATATTGTTTTGATGACAGATTGGGATTGAATGCCAACTTAGTGCAGAAGAATTGGCTGAGCAGATTCAGCAGACATTCTGCTAATTAATTAATTACAGCTAGCTGATAATTCTAATTACCAAACCCTAGCTTAGCTAACTACCTCAGTTACGTTGTTGTCTTTCATTCTAATTTTGTGCTTAATAAAGCAAGTGTGGAAAAAGCAATTAATAACCACCATTGCCGGTAATTAGTTGTTATCGTCTTAACATGTAATGTAATGATGTACTGTGTAGTTAAATGTAATTAGTATTAGTCACATAATTAGCTTGTATTAATTTAAAGTGACTTTTCTGTTATGAACCTAATTACATTCAGCATTAATCAATCCCTTTTCCTGTAATTATTTCCTGTTTTCAAATTAATACATTCTACCATTTATACACACACACACTTACTGGTGTGTGTATAGATCAACAGTGAAAATCCACCTGGTGTAAACTTCACTGTGTGTAGCATAGAAATAACCGGAAAATACACTTTATGGATAGCTAAGAATTAAAAAAAAAATGGAGCTCTAATTTAGTTTAGAGTTTGAAATTTAGGGCCCAGCGTGCATTTGGTATCTCTATGTTGGGTGGTCCTTAGTACAAACTTTAACATAGGCCATTTAAATGCACTTGTATTTAATGCTATCTTTAAAGTCATTTTGTAGAGTTAACAAATTAATTGAACACACAAAATCCAAAATAAATAAATAAAATGGTCCAATTAATACATTTATGTATATATGATACACTCTGTTAGAGATTCAATTATATGCACAGTGTCTGCGTGATTCATGCAGCCATAACCGGTCCACTATTCTATCTCATAATAATAGGTCCCTTGATTAATTATTATTTTTTAAATGTCAGGGTGGAGAGCAATTTTTTTTTCTTTTATAATTTTAAATATTCAATTATTTAAAAAAAAATTGCATTTAAACCTGGCTTCTTAATCATCCAACAAAACATGTTACACCTCACTAGAAAAGAAAAAAAACATGGTACGATAATTAAACTAATTAAACCAAATTGAAATAAAATCTTGAAATTGCAATGCACACATGAATTAAGGATAATACCCCGGGTCTCCAAAGAAGAAATTTGACCCGAATGGGAAACGGGTACCTAGAGTAGGGGATGTGGTACCAGAAGTCATGGATGCAACAATTGGGCTGAGTTCAGATTCTGAAGTGGGTAATAAATTGGGGAAATTGGGCGAAATCGGGAAATAATCCGACCCGGAAGTCGCAGGGGACAAAAGATCGAGATTATGAGAGTAATTTCCCAAATTATTGTTAAGATCTGAGAAAATTTGAATATTGTTTTCGAAATTAATGGTTGGTGATGAAGGGAAATTAAACGGGTCAAATGATGATGGGTTTAGATTATTATTAGTGCCTAAATCTTGGGTTATAACTCGAAGGCTTGTTTGGATGTTGAAAAGCGGTCCATGTTGTTCGGGTCGGCCCACTATTTGTTGTGGGTTTTGGGTGAATGGGTTTGGATCTTCATTCTGTGGGTCGGGCATTGTTGCGGGTACAGACGGGGTATTAGTGGGGTATGCGCGTGGATTGCACGTGTGCTTTCTTCTGTATGTGATTTCGAAAATGGTTGGATCTTCGTTGGAACTTTGAACTTGTTTTGTAGCCATGCAGCCCTGACCGTTTCTATGGGTGCATCTGTAGTAACCTCTGCAAAAATAATATTTTAAATTTAATCCAAATCATATTTATATTTTTAATTTATTTTTAAATAATAGCGCATTAGAAAATTCAAAGATTGATTAAGCGCGTAATTACGTAAGCAAAAAAGTTAAAAATCAATGCTGATCTACTAACACGCTTTAAGAAAATGCTACTATTTTATTAAAAAATTCAAACGTTTTTACGCATGTGGGGGAAATGAAAATATAAAAAAGTAAAGGACAAAATGCAGTTTACCCCCTATAAATTACCGTGTTTGCAATTTCCCCCCCTAAAAATTCAAAAAATGGATACTCCCCCTTTTAAATACTATATTTGTTGCGCTTTGTCTCAGAAGTCAATTTTTGAAGCGCATTGTACAAACAAAATTAGATTTTAAAGGCGCAACGTGCAAAAAAATAGTATTTTAAGGGGCAACGTAGAACAAAAATAACATTTAAAATGACAACACGCAACAAATATACTTAATTCTGATGGATCCATTGGAGTTTTGCTATCGGGCAATGTGCAACAAGAATAAAATTTTGAAAGGGGACGATCACTTTTAAAAAACATTGAGGGGGTAAAGTGCGAAAATTAGAAACTTAAAGGTTGTGATGTGCAATTTACAAGAAAAAAAAAACCTGGGATATTTTGCTCCGAGGATGTCTTTCTGGCCGTACTTTCTCCAGCCATAGCCATCATCAAGTTGTCCTTCATTTCCTGTTTCTGTGCATACTTTCACCTTCTGCATCCACGTAATTGCCGATGATGCCTTTCTGTACATTATTATAATAATAATAAAATTATTTTTTTCTATAAAAAAAAAGAATATATAAAACTCAAAATTCAAGTTACAATAATAACTAACTTTTTCTTGGAAGGTTGGTCGTTGAAATCTTGATCATCGGAATCATCGCTACGGTGGGGACTTCCGGCGAGTGACAGCGGAGAGTCTGATGTGGCAGGTGGCGGCGGTGGGGCGGCACCACCACCATAGCGGCTATGTCGGAGGGCGGAAAGAGCGTTGTCGTAAGAAGATAATATTTGTTGGATTAGAAAATCTCGAGTTTCGTTCGACGATGAAGACCGGTCGTAATTAAAATGGATTAGCAGCTGATTAGCCAGTTCCCTCCCTTGTGATAGCTCCTTCACGAGATCATCCGAACCAAAATTTTCCATAATTCGTAATTAATTAACGCGTATAAATATATATATTTAGAGCGAATATTAATAATAATAATAATAATACAATAATTTTTCTTCCGACGAATAATATAATGTCGATCGATGAATATAAAATGAAGCTGAATTAAATTCCCTCCCAGGTGGTGGGGGAAAGTAGTAGTTCAGCAGCTTTGTTTCTGAAATAATCATGCAAATTATAATATTAAAACGAATAAATATAATTTGATGAACGAATTTTATAAATTGTATTATTGTATATATAGATTTATAGAAATGGTGTTCCACTTATATATACATATATATATGTATATATGCACGTACTTAGGTGGGAAAGTACCGAGTAGAAATTAGTTTATTGTTTTGAATAATGGGGAAAGACGCTGTGTGGAATAACAATAGAAAGAAAATTTGTTGACTGGAGAAAAAAAAATAAAAAAAATAAAAACGTTATTATAATTAATTAATTAATAATTGGTTTGGGCAAGACCAGTCTTTAGTCATAGGAATTGCAATTGAAGTTAATAAAAGTCAAATTCTATATTTCTGACCAATTCAAACCTCACTACAGCCACAATATATATTTTCCCACTGCAATCTTTAATTATAACATTTGTTTGTCAATGACAGTCAATGCAATAAGACAAACTACAATATGTATATATAAATAAAAATTTAAAATATAATATATTTCATGATCAATATGAACACACTGCGTTATGTGGACAAAAGACCTAAGTAATATAGTAGCAGATTTGCGGCTGTATATTTATATATAAACATAGTTGTTAAGTAATGATTATTATTTAAACAACATCAGAACGAGTAATTATGGACACGTGGCACGTTTACTTGTGATCACTGTATACAAAATTATGGGAGATCAGGCTGATCAGCACATAAATTAAATTTTAAAAAAATGGTGATGCTATAAGAAAAGCTTTTGAATAGTGTAGAAGTATTTGTAGCACAAAATGGTCATGGGTTCGAATATTCATGTGTAGGAAAATAAATGGAATTTTTTTTAAAAATAATCGTTGACTAGAAAGTAAAAGTCAAGAAACGAAAAGAAAAGGAAGAAGTTGAAGTCAGAGATGAAAGATTTGGATACTATTTGATTAAGAATCTTCAAACCTCGATACGCGTTACTCGCTGCTACTGTACTTAATTAGGTTATTAATTTAACTGTGTTTTAAGTTTATAATCATTATTAACTTTTACTTTGGTAGGGTGGTTTGACTAGTCAATTTATTTTAACGTATGGTTTGGTTACAAGATTTATGTAACGGGGGATTAATTGTGTTTGTTCTAGCTACTTGTGTTTTTTGGGTCTCAACCCGAAAGTATGAGTTCTATCGGGAATGCTTCTTTCTTCGGGTGAAGCCGTCATTGCGCCCGGATTCATCTCAATAACTCTCCAAACCAGTATGAGTGCGTAGGAATCGAAATAAAGCGTAAATAAGTGGGTTCGGGCAGAAGTGATGTAATAGTAGAAAATAAGAGTCACGTTGTAACTAAATTAATGAAAAATCAAATCGAGAATATACTGAAATCATTTTCAACGATTTCTTTTTTTTTTTTTCAAATTCCAATAGGTTTTCGCTTCAAAAAAATTGAAAAAAGGGGTTTGAATCAATTTTTTTGGGAATTAAGAATGAAAAATATTGTTCCAAAATTAAAACAAAAAAGAAACGGAACGGGGTGGGACGGAAATTGGAAATTCCGTTTTAATCTTCCAACATACTTGTATAGAAATGCTTTTATGTGTTCGCTTTTCTATAATTTGTTCAGCATGTTTTATCGTAATATTAGATTTTATTTTATTAAACATTAATCACACATTTTGGAAATACATTTAATTATTTTTTTCAAATTTTAACATCCAATCAAAATAGATAAATAGTTTAATTCAGAGGAGAAATAATAATTTGAACTCCATTTAAATGGCTGTAATCAGGCAACGTTTGAGTGTTCAGACCACGAGCAAAGAGAAGGTAGGTCCCACTAACTTCGACGTAATATCATTAATCCAATTACACAGCACCACGTGTCATAACAGTATCCATAATCTCTCTCCTTTCACCATCAGCTTGCCACGTAAGCACTTAAACCTCACATTATTCCCTTCTCCGAGTTGGCTACGAATTTTCTGCTTCAGTAAACGTGGGAAATTAGACACCGTTGGATCACTTTATTCCTTAATCACAGCCGCACATATTTGAATCGGCAAAGCTTGTGGCCACCAAAATCCGGGGAGCAATTTTATATTTTTAATATCTTCGTTATATCAAAATCATCGGTTCAGTTTAGATTCCAATTTTCCCACCATTTTCACCGGAATATTCTATTCTTCGCCGGCGTACCGCGTCAGCCCGGTATAATCAGCTTTCTCGAATCTATTCGTCTGTTTCTCAGGTACTGATCTACCCTGTTCCACAAAATTGGGTTTTTTTTTTTTATAATTTGTGTTGTTACTTGTTACGAGATTTAATTATTACCGTTAAAATGATTTAAATTATAATTAATTAATTTTTAATTCTGTATTAAGCTGCTTCCTATAATTTTGATAATGATTATCCCCATTTCTATTGTATGCATCTAACTGTAGTTTGATCTGACCTAGAAGTGTAAGCATTTAAGCTTGATCAACCGTTATATACAATTTTTTTTATTTTTTTTTTCATATGTAGACACCGATTGTTGAAATTGGCATGGGAGTTGTGACTGTTTCGAGTTCCGCCGCTCGAACTCCGGTTGGATTAGACGCAATTATTAGGTATTCGACTCATGTATCATTATCGAAGAAGCCACTCGTACTATCCTTAAAAACCGACAAAGCTAAAAAAAGTAGAGCTCTCATCGCACCACTAGAATCTGTAGCGTTACCTTCCGAGGCAAAAAACGAGACCGTAAAAAGTTTAAGAAAGGTTAAAAAAACACGGCCAGATAAACGTGTGAGCGCTGTCTCAATTACCGATGAGGCCTCTCCCGGAAGCACATTGGATTTGGATTACACCGAAGCTGCTGCAAAACTAGAATATTTGTACAAAACAAGTCCTGCATTAACCGATGAGGAGATCAAAACGAAAAGTGTTCAGACAAGGCAGCCTCGTAGGAAAAGGATCGATGAATCTGTGGAGACAAAGAATTTGGTGAGGAGTCAGAGAAGGGGAAAAAGATTGAGTCTTGAGAAGAGGGTTGCTCTTAGAATGAAGAAAGAATCGGTTCCTTTATTATCGCAGAAAAAGGAAGTGAATAATAAGAGTGACGACGATGAGAAGATTGATAGGCTCTTGAGGGACTATTCAATTTCATCCGACTTTTTCAGCTTGGATTGGAAAAAGACAAAAATACCCCCGGTTCTTCCTTCGTCCGAGCACGTATGGCTTTTTAAGCTGATGCAACCTATGAAGGTGAGACAGCGTTTTTGAGTTTCTTGTTTGTGGTTTTGGTGTGGTGTGGTGTCTTTCTTATGCTTACTTTTTAAGTACATTGTGGTTTTTTAGGAAATCTTGAAAGTGAAGGAGACGTTAACTAATGATTTAGGAAGAGAGGTGAGAGATGATGAGCTGGCAGAGGCGACGAATACAGATGTTTTTCAGCTTCGGAAACAGTTGGAAGTTGGTCGAACTGCTCGAAACAAGTTGATCAAGGTTAGTTAATTAATCTTTTTTTTTCCTTCCGAATTTTTTTTTAAGTGTATTGAGTCGATATTTCTCAGTGAAGTAATTATTATTTTACTGATTTACAGCACAACTTGAGGCTAGTTTTATTTGTGATGAACAAATATTTTCAAGACTTTGCAAACGGACCGAGATTCCAAGACCTATGTCAAGCTGGGGTGAAGGGTCTTATTACAGCTATAGACCGTTTCGAGCCGAAAAGAAAATTTCGTCTCTCGACTTACGGTCTGTTTTGGATCAGACACGCAATTGTCCGTTCCATGACAATTTCAAGCTTCACAAAGGTCTCCTTTGGCCTCGAGTCGGTAAGTAAGAAACTTCTTTTTTATTTTTTTATTTTTTCTTACTACAAAAATCTTGAATTAATTGTTTCTTTAGAACTGTTGTGATAATGTAGGTTAGAGTGGAAATCCAGAAGGCCAAAACAGAGTTGTTGTTTGAGCTTCACAGATTGCCAACCGACGAAGAAATTATAGAGAGAGTCGGAATCTCTGCAGAGAGATTTAATGAAGTGACGAGGGTTTCGAAGCCTATTTCCTCTCTCCACGCACGTCATAAAATAACTCACGAGGAGTTCATTAATGGAGTTGCCGATATTGACGGTTTCGAAGGAGATCAAAGACAGCAACCTGCACTTCTCAGGCTTGCTTTGGATGATGTGGTAATTAAGTAATATTTTAATTACCAGCCTAATTATTAAAGCTGCTTAATACTACGTAATTTTTCTGAAGTCGAACATTTTTCAAATTGTTACGACAGCTGGACTCTTTGAAACCAAAGGAGAGTTTGGTGGTGAGACAAAGATATGGTCTTGATGGTAAAGGAGATAGAACACTCGGAGAAATTGCGGGAAATTTGAATATTTCGAGAGAAATGGTACGAAAGCACGAAGTGAAGGCTTTCATGAAGCTCAAGCATCCTGCACGAGTTGATTACCTTCGCCACCATATCTCCAAATGAACAAACGAAAAAAAGAATTGAATTCAATCTCTGCACACTATTGTATATGTATATTGGTTTACACTTTCCACACGGAGTCGTTTGTATTATAACATTACATGCACATAAAAGATCGGTTAACGTGTATAAATCCATCTCTTTACAGCTCTTTCCTTAGCTGTATTAAACTCTGTTTTTCTTTTAATGGTGATGAAGAAGATATAGTCAAACTTGAAAATATTTGTGAATTCTTGATTCTATTCAATTGTTATCTTTAGAAAATAGTGATAATTGAGAATTCGGTTCGAATAGCAAGTTTCGCCAAAAAAATACCCACCAGAGACGTTCAATCCGAGACACAATTAACATACAGCCACTGAATAAGGCATACAACTGAAAATAAGAATATCAGGAGAATAAAGCATCAATATTGCAAGTGTGGTTGTCTGATTGAGCATAATTGTATATGATATTTTATATAATTAAACCAGTAGCAGAAAGACTGGAAAATAAAGAAAATAATAAAAATTGGAAAAAAAGAGAAATCCTATATATCGATCACCATCATGGTAATGGTATTTTTCATCAGGAGATGCTTTTTTTTTTTTTTTAATTAAAAGGAAATTCCTTAAGAACATTTTCATGCATAACTCAGATAGACTTTGTTCTAATAAGAAGATGCTGTGACACTGACAACAGAATTAAACAATAACCACTTAATTAACCTTTTTAATTCAGAATATATCTGCTAATTCTGTATAACGGTTCTTTGAAAAAGTATGTAGTATGCTTCTTTTCTCAAATATTCGAAACACTGATCGAACGTGCACTTATAAATTTCGGAGGGAGACGTAAAAAATTAAACTAAAAAAAAAAAAAAATGCAAATCTCTTCTTCAAGTGGACAGTGGAATTAATAAGGCTTGTGACATCTTCCACTTGCAAAAAAAATCGAAACGGCAAACTTATTCCCACTACGTTTGTTCTGTCTTAGTCTCTTCAAACATTTTGTAATAAACAAAATCAAGAAAAGAGAAAAACAATATCTTCGACCGTGCTAACGTCTTCTATCGATCACCACAAATAATATTATTATTCCCTCTTTAATTAATTTCTGCCTGTTGCCAACTTTCTAAGCACTATAAAATAAACAGTTGAAGAGAAACAAAATAACCAGCAGCTGTTCTTCCTGAAATTCAATCTTCAGCACTAATAATATGGAAGAGAAATTTCGATTAGCAGTTGGCATTATGGGTACGTACACACTCTGCAGATCCTTCGATTCTCATAAATAAAATAAACGAAATCGATGAATATTATTAAACCAGTATTTAATTTCTTTTACGTTATTTCTTGCAGGGAATGCAGCCTCTATGCTACTTTATTCTGCACCGATGTACGTATAGAAAATTATAATGTAATATATAACAACTTAAATATGTTTATGAACTTGTTATTAATATAATCATTTTCAGATTAACTTTCGCAAGGGTGATACGAAAGAAGAGCACGGAAGAATTTTCGTGTGTGCCGTACATCATAGCACTATTGAACTGCTTCCTCTACACTTGGTACGGTTTGCCCGTAGTGAGTTACAAGTGGGAGAATTTCCCCGTGGTCACCATTAACGGATTAGGGATTCTTCTCGAGGTTTCCTTCATCATCGTATACTTCTACTTCGCTTCAACTAATGGCAAGGCAAGTAATAAATATACTTACTTAACCTTAATTAATAAAATATTTTAATTAATATACTAACTTATAATATTTAATGCATTTACAGAAGAAGGTGGCTATGTTTACAGTACCTGTTGTCCTGGTATTTTGCGCTGTTGCAATATTATCGGCATTTGTATTTCACGATCATACTCATCGAAAGGCATTCGTTGGGAGCGTTGGATTGGTGGCATCTGTTGCAATGTATGGTTCTCCACTAGTGGCTATGGTGAGTACGTACTCCCTCTCTCTCTCTAAATAAATCTTTCTCTGTTTCTCTCTCTAGAGAAGAAATGTATGATGATATGAGACATGAATACGCATGCAGAAACGAGTGATAGAGACAAAGAGCGTGGAATACATGCCGTTCTACTTGTCGTTTTTTTCGTTCCTCGCTAGCTCTCTTTGGATGGCTTATGGATTACTAAGTCACGATCTTATTCTTGCGGTTAGTCATCTATAATTCTATATATATATATATATATGAAATCAAAGTATGTAATTTATTTACATTTTTAAATTTAATTTAATTTAATTTGTCTACTATATAATTAATGTGTGGTGTTTGATTTGAATAGGCTCCAAACCTAGTTGGTAGCCCTCTAGGCATGCTTCAGCTTGTGCTGTACTGCGTGTACAGGAAAAGGGGAACTAATAATCATGTCGAACAACCTCTTCAAAAATGGGATGTCGAAAATTATTCTGACAACACCATTGATGAGAAAAATCAGAGGATTAATAATAAGCTCATCGTTACGACTCATGACGGCAATGATGACGCAACAAATGGAAAGAAATAATTCACTCGAGATTGATTAATGAGCTTCTTCTTAGTGCATCATAATCCACCTAATAATTAGAATATTCCTTTTTTTTTTTTTTTGAGTAATTAATTATGCAGTCGACAAGGGATAAATGTTGCATTATATTATTGCACAAGGTAGAGAAACTGCTACAGTGGGTGTAGCTAGTGAAAAAATTTGCATCTGTACCAGATATATAATATGTAGTTGATGAAATGCAAAATGTATGTTCAACCTGATGTAAAACAATAAAAAATTAATTACCCATTAATGCATACTTTGTCAATTTTAATCCCACTTAAGAATGGAGCACTAATCTTGATCGATCTACTAAAAAAGTCATAGTTGACTGCAAAAAATTCAGTTAGTATTACAGATCATATGTTTTTTTATTCAAACAAAAAATTTAGTGAAAAAGGAACACGTGTCATATTATAAGACTCAGTACAAATCCCTACTATTCATGCATGACGCCACGTAAACGCCGACACCCCTCTTCTTCCGTTTCTTCACTTCCGACTAATTCTTCCCCTAAAATAAAACCCCTCTCTCTCTCTCTAGATCCATCTCTCTCTCTCTCTCTCTACATTCATATCTAAACCTAAATCTCACTCCCAAAACACAAACACACACAATAACTGATATTAATTAATTTGAAGAAATTAAAAAACAAATGGTGAAGTTAGCGTCGGCCCGAGAAAGCCGAATGTACGGGCCGAGATTGGCCCGTAACAGAGCAGAGTACATAAATGCGGGGCTCTACGTATTCGCCACGATCCTGCTATTGGGCGGCTTCGCCGCCCAGCTCTCGTACGAGGCAAAATCGGGGCTCGTAATTCTTCTAATAGGGTTCTTCGTACTCATCGTGGTCAACCTGCACGATCTCATCGCCCATCTCGCCGGAATCGATTACCGGTTGCCGCTAATGGAACTCGACATGCAGTTTGCCCTAGTCGAGTTCGCCGTCCCTCTCGTTTACACTATCGGCACTCTTCTCTTCTTCCTCGCCACTCTTTTCCTCTTCATCCAGGTTAGCATAATTAACGATATCAATTTAATTTTAATTTTGTTTCCCCCAATTTTGTGAAAAATTGTGTGTGTGCAGGCAGAAAAGGGAGAGGGGTACTTGAAACTGGAACGGCTTGCTTTGAGCATGTTGATAGCCGGTCCGGTTCTGTGGCTGCTCGGTTCGGTTCATAACTCGTGTCAGATCTACGAGAGAGCCGACGGACATTTTCAAATATTGCAGGCGACTGTGCTTATTCCTTTTCTAACGGCTAGTTTGTTGTTTCTCGTCGGTTCGATTATCAACACTAGAGATCAGGTTGGGCATTCTCACCACGGATTGGGATTGCTCGTAAGTATTAACAAAATTAATTAAGCACTATTGGATTGTGATTTAATTAATTAATTTTTGCCCTAATTGAAATTATCTCGATTAAACAATTTTGCAGGGTGACACGTGGATTTGGATGGGTATAATGGGGAGCTTGGTGCTTTTAATGGGGGGGTTTGCGAACGTTGTGAAAGTATTCAAGATGCAGCAACTGAGTGGGGTGATGAGATTAGAGAGGCTGCGCGGCGGAGCGCAGGAGCGGCTGCTTCTTATAAGAGACGGCCAGGCGGCGCCGCTCATCGTTCACGATGAGCAGCAGAGACGGCTGAGGGCGGCCGATGTGGAGGAGGAACGGCGGAGGATGGCGGCGGATTTGGAGGAAGGTCAGTCGGCGGATGATCGGCCGACGCCTTACAAAGATGTTCTTGTTGGTCAGACGTGAAAATGAACACCGTCGTTTTATATTATACCTTTTTTTCTTTTATAACATTTTTTTTTTCGCCGGAAGTTGTATGTGTTCGTCAAAAGATAAATTTATAAGGTGATTTTTCATCATTTCTTGCTCAATATGATTGAAGATAACCGGATTTCTTGGTGTGATTGTTGGTGTATATGATATCAATTTGTGGTCAAGTGTGTGAAATGATCATAATACAAACTAGTGTAGTGTATAAAACCAACTCAAGAAATGATCACAAATTGAAAGCCAAATTTAAATTGGTTCGACCAATACGACTTCCTTGATGTTTGGTATCCTCAACAACTTTTGAATAGATGTGCAAATATTATGTTAATAGTATAATAGCTTGTAAATTATATAAAATACTTAAATTATACTTAAATCACATTAGGATAACCATGTGTGACAAATTCCATTTAACGACTGTTGGTAAGATAATTTATACTTGAGTCAATTGATACAAACTTACTTGCTCAAACCGCTAAACCATCCTTGCGGAACATTTGAGAATTTTAGAGGGAGAAAAAATAATATTTAATTTAAATTATATATCAATAAAATCAGTATTGTTTTATAATTTGAAATAATCCCATCTTTATTTAATATCTTGCCGTATGATGTCACAAATTGAATTTAATTACTTATAGATCGTAAATGATAAATTATTTCAAGTTGATGCAAAATGGGCTTTAGAAATTGGGCCCGATCTTAAGCCTTACTTTAGATCGTCAATGATAAATTATTTCAAGTTGATGTCACAAAATGGGCTTCATAAATTGGGCCCTAACTTAAGCCGACTTCTCAATTTGGGCCGGGTCTGATCAGCGTCGTTGGTTTTGATTTCTTTCTCCATTAGATATTTGCTCTCGTTTTCCTTTTTCTTTCTGAGGTTTTTGGGGGTAATTATAATGTCTCGCATTTTCTCTTAGTTTTTGCCTCTCTGCACGGTTCTAAATCTTCCAATTCGGTATGATTGTTCTTCAATTTATAAGTTAGGGTTTCTTTATGTACATTAATAGTTTCTTATCTCAAGCTCACGCGTTTCGATAGCTGAATCTATTGGTTCCTGAATGTGATAACCAAGTTAAACTTCAATTCGTAGAATATTGTTTTATTCCAGCTGATTATGGTTTTGCTGCAGCGCTGCTTGTTAGAAAACTAAGTTCGCGCAATTGTTGATTATGTTATGTTTTGTCCTTTTTCCCCCTTTTTTCTGTATTCGGTAATCTAGTTTTTGGCAGATTTTGGGTTGGTTTTGCTTAATATTTGCTCATTGATTTGAAGTTCATTTTATGGATGATATATATTGGAGTTGTGCTCATTCGTTTGAAGTTGATTTTATGGATGACATATAATAGAATTGGTGGTTACTGACTAACTGGGCAGTGGATTTAAATTGTTGGAGCAGTTTGTACAGATCTGGTTTCATGCTGTTAGCTGCAGTTCAAGAAATTTTAGAGGAACTGAAGTTGGAATATGTGTATGAGTAAATCAGGAACCTATTAATTTGTGTGTATTTTGGCCTGTGATCGAGATTAATTATGAGAAACTAAACTAGTGGCCTGAGAAAATGAAAATTAAGCTTGGTCTTCATGCTGGATTCATCTTTCGGATTTCTCTGCATCTTTGTGATTATTGATTTATATTTATATAGTACCCGTCAGTTTGCGAAGGATAAAATTTTACCTTACCGTTTTGCAGTTTAAAGTTTCGCTTGGAATGTCGTCGAATTCCGGCCACCAGCAGTTCCGCTATACTCAAACCCCGTCCAAGGTTCTCCATTTGAGGAACTTACCATGGGAATGTACTGAAGAGGAGCTCATCGAACTGGGGAAGCCATTTGGTAAAGTTGTCAACACAAAGTGTAACGTTGGAGCCAATAGGAATCAAGCTTTTATTGAATTAGTAAGATTAAACTGCCCCTTTTCTCCCCTTCCTTTCTGCTTGATTCTTGGAGTCGACTATATATCTGAGAATTCTCTGTTTGACCTTCTTGTTTTGTACCTTCTGTTTTCACAGGCAGAATTAAATCAAGCTATTGCTATGATTTCATATTATGCGTCATCATCTGAGCCGGCTCAGGTACGAGGGAAAAGCGTCTACCTACAATACTCAAACAGACAAGAAATTGTAAACAACAAAACTACTGCCGATGTTGTTGGAAATGTACTTTTGGTAACAATTGAGGGAGATGATGCACGCAGTGTCAGTATTGATGTCCTACACTTGGTAAGGACTCGTGCATATCTCTGACAAACTCAAAGCAATGGTATTTTATCGCCAGTGAAGGATGTTGTCCTATAATTTTGTTTCTTTATCGTGTATGCCATGCTTTTTTAAGCTATTATATGACAAGAGTGCACATGAATCAGCAGGCACATGTGAAGGATATATCTTCAATGGCAGCTTATTGCAATCGGGAGAAAACGCACATGTGTATTTGTCTCATTTCTCCTTTCCTTAACCCCTGACATCATAAAAAAGTCTAAAATGTTTTTCTTTCAGTTTCTCGTTTGAATTTTTGTGCCTCACTCTCTCACTTTTATATGCATAATTAGCTCCTTTCTTTTTGTAAAAATAGTAACAGTGTCTCTTGATACAGATTTTTATCTAACCTTGATTTTTCATCGTCTGTGGCTTACGCATTGCAACAAATTTATGGATTGGATGGTTCAGTAATAAAATCTCATTCGTTTTGCAGGTATTTTCTGCATTTGGGTTTGTGCATAAGATTACTACATTTGAGAAGACTGCTGGTTTTCAGGTGCTTATTTCATCTGATCCTGCTGGTTCTTTTCTCCATACAGTTGAGTGCTCAATAGAATCTGAAGCAATCTCCATGTTTTTCTTCCCTTTTTAGGCTCTGGTGCAATTTTCTGATACAGGGACTGCCTTTGCTGCGAAGGATGCCCTTGATGGAAGAAGCATTCCAAGGTGATGTGGGTTTTATTTTTCGACTTGGGATGTAACTCAACTCTTACAGGTCATGTGTCTCTAGATGTGGTGTTCATACATTGAGGCGGACATCTTTCAGAAGCTTTATTAGGAATGGCTGAAGGGGTACATGCATGCTCCTTACCCCGCTTTACCTCTCCTTTTGTTAGTTATTTCAAGTCGCCCTCTGCCTTTTTATACTAAAGACCATTGGCTAGACGCTCATAGGCTGCAGGTTGCCTAGATCAAGGATAAGAATATCTTTCTGAGTGGGATGAGGGTAACTGTTTTAAATTACGGAGTAGTTAGAAGGATAGGAGCTTGTCGGTGGACTGATATCAGTGAACTATTTAACTTAAGAAAGCTGTGAATATTTATGACAATGTGCTCCTGGTCTATCAGGGTCGGTCTATATGTGTTTATTGCAACCATGTACTTTACAATTTATGACTCTTTTTATTATGGAAGTTAAATGTCTCTAAAGCTTAAAGTGCCTCACTGACGATCTGCTAAATCTGACTTTCTTATGTGTCAGTTATTTGATTCCGGAGCTGGGACCATGCACGCTTAGGATCACATATTCCGCTCATACAGACCTGAGTGTAAAATTCCAGAGTCATCGTAGTAGGTATAGTAAGCCTTATTAAACAATTGCATAATGATAGAACAGAAAAGACAGAACTTCTAATACCTGAAATTCTTGTATTACGATCTCATTTTTGAAGCTTGAATATGTTATATTTCCTTCCCTTCTGCCGAGATTTATTTATGGAGCTTAAACATTCATAATGGTTTCACGTCATGTCAATTCAGGGACTATACGAACCATCTTCTCCCTGTTGCTCCTTCAGCTATAGATGCGAGTGGCCAGGTGAGCGTTGGTTTATATTTCTTGTCATTATGTACTAATCATCTACTCCTGCGTTGACATTACTGGAAAAATTCAATTTTGACTACTTATTCCAGATTAATTTCTGCTATCTATTTAATTTGTTTGACTTGTGCAAGTAGTTTGATAACATCCAACCCTTGTAGCTCTGGGAAGAGTAGATTCATTATGTTGCTACTGTTGTTTAGCGTTCCGATATTTACTCACCTGCCTTCTTTGCAGTTCAATCCAGGATTTGATGGGAAAAAGCTGGACCCAGAGAGCAATGTTCTTCTTGCATCAATCGAAAACATGCAGTATGCAGTTACCTTGGATGTTTTACATACGGTAAACCAACCACCATCGACTTTAGTAGCCTCCACATATTTGTTATCGACTCTATCCTTACTGTACCATTCCCTGTCAACAGCTCTTTTCATCTTTTGGGCCTGTTCTCAAAATTGCAATGTTCGACAAAAATGGTGGTCTTCAGGCTTTAATACAGTATCCTGGTAAGTAAAATTAGCAACTTATGGAGATGGGCAGATAATAGATGTCATATGTTTTCGGTGCAATCACTATATTTCGCCAGCTCTATTATCCCTCTCAATTTTCCAAAACTCAAAAGACAACAAAGTAAGCAGAGTAGAGAAAACTAATGTTACACAATTACAGATGCTCAGACTGCTATTGCTTCAAAGCAAGCCTTGGATGGACACTGCATATATGATGGAGGATACTGCAAGCTGCATATCTCGTTTTCTCGGCATACTGATCTAACTATAAAGGTGAAACTCACCAAATATAAAAATAAATAACACCCATTTCGTATTTCGTTATGTTTAATCTTTGTATATTATACATTACGTTTTGCAGATAAACAACGATAGAAACAGAGACTACACAATTCCTACAACTCCTCTTCCAAACCCTCAGCAATTAGGGCAGCAATCATCGTATGCAGTGGGAGGTCCAGGTGCTCAGGCTTACTATGGAGGGCAATATGCTATGCCTCAGCCGATGCCAATGCAAATGCATAATTACCATTATGCCCCTCCTCCCACGAGTACTGCTGTGGGCCCCGTAGTAATGACAAGTCATAGCCAAAATGGGCCACCACACTCATCCTCAACGGTCCCTTATCATCATACTCAGTAATATGACCGCAATTTTTTTACTAGACTCGGAAAGTTACCCCGGTTGCTTTGAATTTGCTATTTCTTTTTAACCCTTAATATTTACCGATACGAGAGATTCAATGCTAAGATTCTGGTGTGTGTGGCTTCTGATCCCATATTCGAGTTTTTATTTATTTATTTAAGAAAAACAATGTGTTATCCAAACAAATTGACACCACAATAATAACTCTTATTAATTTTTATTTTAATATTAAACTATTATTGCAACGTGCAAATTCTTTTTGAAACGAAAAATATATAATGAATCAAAATATATACCCATGTCACACGCATGATCAAAAATTGGATCGTCAACGGTACGGAGAAAATCAATCGTAAAATCGTAAAATAAAAATCCCTAATTTCCCCCCCAAATTATAAAGGCCACACCATTGCGCCAATTTCAATCCTGCAGATAAGGTTTCTCTCTTCCTTCTCTTCTTCTTCTTCTTCTTCTTCTTCTTCTTCTCTGCCGCTTTCTGTAGGAAAGACTAAATCTTGTGGCTCACACAGAGGAGAAGAGTACAAAGTAGAATTTGCGCCTGTGCTCTCTCTCTCTCAGTTTCTTTCACATTTTAAACCCTATCGGAATCCCAGAAAATTCGATTGCTGAAATTCGAATTTAGTTACCAATGACTATAACACTTCAGGCATCTCTCCTTCACCGGCCGTTAATCCCTCAGCTAAACCCCTTTTCCCTCTCCGTAAAACCCCTTCTCTCCAGCTCCCACCGTCAAATTTCGGTTCATAGAAGAATAAAGGACAGGATTAGCGATCCGGTTTCTCTGAAATGCAGATTTTTACGGCACAGGCTAGTTGTTTCCTGTACATTGAATTCTGAAAACGTAAATTCCGCCGTTGAATCGGTCAATAGCAGTGATAATTCTAGCGAATTAAAGGAGTCCACTAATGGGGTTATCTCGAATGAAAGCGTGGATGTACGAGAGGTGGAAGGTGATGTGAAGAAGAGGCTGCCGATAATGGTATTTCTGATTGGAGTTTTTGCTAGGTTGAAAAATGGGATTGAGAGAATATTCTATTCAGATTGGTTCAGTTGGTGGCCGTTTTGGAGGCAGGAGAAGCTGTTGGAGCGGTTGATTGACGAGGCTGACGCGAATCCATTGGATGCTGCTAAGCAAAGCCTTCTTTTCGCAGAGCTCAATAAACACAGGTCACTATTTTTTCTTTTGTTTTGTAAATTAATTTTGTTTTGCTATCAGGCTAGCATCTACAATTGGCTTATATTTAAGAAGATTGTTTTCTTTAGTTATCGAGTGTAGATCAAATTGTACAGCGATTAGATTATATACTGGTGCTAGTTAGCGTGATAAGTTCTTGGTTATGTGCTTTCTGGTTTCTTGTGAAATGTGGGTGTGCAACTAACTGTAGCATGGTGGAGTATGGCATGTTTTAGTATTCTGCTGGGAAAGAGTTCTTAGGGTTTTCAGTTACTGTTCAATCAGTGTGAAAAAGTTGAGGATGTAGTGAATTGTAGAGCTCTATCCACGCTAATAATCTCCAAAAATCTGGAACTGAATTATATCAATTGTTATACATTTTGGAGATAGTTCTGATGAGTTTCTATTGGTTTTCTATTTAGTCCCGAGTCTGTCATCCAGCGTTTTGAACAGAGGGCACACGCTGTAGACAGTAGAGGAGTAGCTGAATATCTTCGAGCATTAGTGTCGACTAATGCAATTGCTGAATATTTGCCCGATGAGCAATCCGGAAAACCTTCTAGTCTTCCTTCTCTGGTAATAGCAATCTCTTAAATTTTTGGTCCAACTAGTTTTTTATGTTAGTTTCAAGAGTTAAAATATTTGGCCCTTATTCATTTCAAATATTTCCTTGTATCTCTATTTTCTTTTTTTGCGTCTTTTCCTAACTGTTAAATATTTTATGTTAGTTGCAAGAGTTAAAACAACGGGCTTCGGGGAACATGGAAGAGCCTTTTGTGAACCCCGGCATATCTGATAAACGACCATTACATGTTGTGATGGTAAGAATATTGAAAATATTATTTCTTCTGTTGCTTCACACTTATTTGGTACACTTAGCATCTTCTTCTATATTGCAGGTGGACACCAAAGTGGCAAATAGATCATCCCGTTTGGCTCAAGAAATCATTTCAACTATCATTTTCACCGTTGCTGTCGGATTGGTTTGGTATGACCTCTGCTTGCAATTGCTTAATCCTAGTTGTTGGATTAACTGTATTTTACTTACATCAGATCATGTTTAATGGCATTGCTTATTTCTCCTTCATTTCATTGTACCTAAATGGAAGGGGGATATGGTTAAATGTTTATCATTTCAGTTTGTCTTCCCTTTTGTTATGCATCCACACAACCTATGTTCCTTTTTATGCAGTCATTTTAACTTTTGGAATTTGATATATACATTTTTTCCCCTGATTTGTCAGGTTAATGGGTGCTGCTGCTCTTCAGAAGTATATTGGTGGCTTAGGTGGGATAGGAACACCTGGTGTTGGTTCGAGTTCTTCATATGCCCCAAAAGAGTTAAATAAAGAAATAATGCCTGAGAAGGTAATCATCTGTTTCACTGCCTTTCATGTGGCTTGGACTGTTCGTTTTAGCAGATGAAGTTTATTGTGCTTTTTAGAGACTGTAACAATAAATAGTCATATAAGTAAATTCCTGTTTTATATGTTTCAAATTGAGTTGAATCAATATTGGTATTGCAGAACGTAAAGACATTTAAAGATGTTAGAGGCTGTGATGATGCTAAACAAGAGCTTGAAGAGGTTGTTGAGTATCTCAGAAATCCTTCCAAGTTCACTCGATTAGGAGGGAAATTACCTAAGGTTTGTTTTGGTTTAGTAACATTTAAGATATTGGGGCACCTTTTCTTGCCCATATCTGGATCACTTTCCTCTCTACGGTGTTCCATAAAGTGCGTTATATTTTCAGGGAATTCTTCTAACTGGATCGCCTGGAACAGGAAAAACTCTGCTTGCCAAGGTATGATGTTGTTCTGCAATAAGAGTACTTACTATATACAAGTTATCGACTTTTCTTTCGTAGATTGAATATGACTGAGGCATTAACTGGCATTATTGTCTGACAATTTTGCTTCCTCGATTTTGAAGGCGATTGCTGGAGAGGCTGGCGTACCTTTCTTTTATAAAGCAGGATCTGAATTTGAGGAAATGTAAGCTGTTGTTTTATGTCCTTGTTCGACTGTATATTGATTTAGAAATGTTATGATAATCTGTGGATGAGTACACACATCTTTGATTTCTTTTAAGGTGATAACGGCATGTACGATCATCTGTATGTGTCCGCTTGAGTATGTATGACAGGTTTATGTAACTAGACTGTAACAACTTGTGAAGATAGGATTATAACATTGCTGATTGGCTTCATCAGAAAATTTACTATTCCTTTCCCCTTGCTAGGTTTGTCGGTGTTGGTGCCCGACGAGTGAGATCTTTATTTCAAGTAGCTAAAAAGAAGGTTTGTTGCTATTTCCTTCTGTATTAGCAGTTATTCTTAATAGATACGATATATCACTTGATATTCTTTGAAGATACAAGATGGTTGGATCTTATTTTGACATGGAACAAAATGTGACGAATGAAAAACCACAATTTTTTATTAGCTTCTTGGTTCGATAAACGACAAAAGTTCTGAGTATGGATATGAATTTCAGGCTCCATGTATCATATTTATTGATGAGATTGATGCCGTTGGGTCAACTCGGAAGCAGTGGGAAGGTCATACAAAGAAAACACTCCATCAATTACTCGTCGAAATGGATGGTTTTGAACAGAATGAGGTAAATGCACACAAGGTCTTATGTTGTCATAATGCAATCATTGTCTCATATTTCACTTTGCAATAATCTGTTCTCTTTACAGGGAATTATTTTGATGGCAGCAACCAACTTGCCTGATATACTTGATCCAGCTTTGACAAGACCTGGTAGATTTGACAGGCATGTAAGTTCATTTTCACAGAAAACACTGGATTCCTTTTTTTTTTTTTTTAAATAAATAAAATTAAGACAGAATCTTCGACTTTGAAAGAAAAAAACTAATGACTGAAAATCAATTCCTAGATCGTTGTTCCAAATCCAGATGTGCGGGGTCGCCAAGAGATACTGGACCTCTATCTACAAGACAAACCTTTGGCAGATGATGTCGACGTAAAAGCAATTGCGCGTGGTACTCCAGGATTCAATGGAGCAGGCATGTTCTGTCTAATGTTTCTCATTTTCTTGCATCCGTATTTATTTTACTTCTAAAAGCTTTACTAATTCTCCTTTTTGAGACAGATCTTGCAAATTTGGTAAACATTGCTGCCATTAAGGCAGCTGTTGACGGTGCTGAGAAGTTGAATGCATCACAGTTAGAGTACGCCATAGACAGGATACTGATGGGAACAGAAAGAAAGACCATGTTTCTGTCTGACGAGTCGAAGAAGGTCTGGTGCTATATTGCTTTTTTTGTCTTTCAATCAGTTGGTATATATATATACCTGGCTCATTTTATGTTGGTGGGACCCACAATTGCCTTTTCAGCTGACTGCTTATCATGAGAGCGGGCATGCTATTGTGGCATTGACCACAGATGGTGCACATCCAGTACACAAGGCTACGATAATGCCACGTGGATCTGCACTGGGCATGGTTACACAGCTTCCTTCGAGCGACGAGACTTCAATAAGCAAGAAGCAATTGTTGGCAAGGCTTGATGTTTGTATGGGCGGCAGAGTGGCGGAAGAGCTTATATTCGGTGAGGACTATGTTACTACTGGTGCAAGCAGTGATCTCAATACAGCTACAGAGCTGGCTCAATATATGGTATGGTATTTATTTCCGTCATAATAACCTTTCTACTATTTGTTCGAAAGCGTCTATAATTTCGAAATAAAAATGTTCTGATTCTTTTATTCGCTTACCAGGTTTCGAGTTGTGGGATGAGTGATGCAATTGGACCTGTTCATATTAAAGAACGACCTGGTTCGGAAATGCAGTCCCGTGTTGATGCTGAAGTATGCTTTGTGCAATCTGCAGCAATTTACGTTTTCTATTTGTTTTTGGCTATCAAACTGAGAAAAGAATTGCTTATCAGGAGTTGTTTATTGGTTGACAGGTGGTTAAGCTATTGAGGGAAGCTTATAGTCGTGTAAAAGCGCTTTTGAAAAAGGTATGTTGAAACATAATATTGTTCCCCCTTGCCAGAAATCAGTTACAGACGATGCTACTTACAACAATATTGCGAGGAAATTTCACAAGAATAAATGAAAAATCACATGACTGCTGACCGTACACGTGTCAATAGCATTTTTCATGCAATAGTGTCTAAATTGAACTAATAAACTTTTGGGAATTCGTTTATGCAGCATGAGAAGGCATTACATCTTCTAGCAAACGCACTCCTCGAGTATGAAACCCTCAATGCAGAAGAAATTAGGCGCATACTCGTTCCTTACAATGAGGAACGGCTAACCATAGAACAGGAACAGCAACAGGTAGAGGAGGAGCTCGTATTGGCTTGAGCTGAGCCACCTTTTCATTTATATTTTTATCAAATACAGGATTGGATTTGGAGCTGTTGTACAGTATACTTAGCTTGTCAGCGCATTTATTTTTAGCCCAATTTAAACATTTCATATTTGCTGTTGTAACATAGCTTACCGGACAATCCGAAGCAAACAAACCTAATCAGGCCATCAAGATAATTAAATCATATAGGAATCCCCTTGTCCCATGTTTGGGGGAATAATTTTTGAGCTCATTGCAATCTTCTGGATTTTTGCATTAATCTATCGATATGAAATCGAAATATGATTAAAAAAGAAAAAGAAAAAAGAAGCCCTATATTTCTTGTCTAATAGTCTTCCTAGTGGTCAGGTCTAACCGTCTAAATTATGATAAAAGTAAGCCACTGCAAAAGAGATGTGAATTATTTATCTTCCATAGCTGCAAGATAGCATGTGAATACACAGCATTACATAAATCTGCAATAGCAACGTGAGACGGAAAATAAACGAGAACAAAACCCTGAAATTTTGACAGCTCACACTAGGCTTCGATTTGTTTACAAACGACGAATATGTTTATATAAACTGTGGTTCTTGAGCTCTAAGAAACAGGAGCTCCAAAATGACTGTAACAAGACTACAATACAAACAGCAAACAAGAAGACCGAAAATAGTAGAAAAGAAAAAATGCAGAAATATAGGCAGAAACCAATAGTATGAAATGGCTACTTCTGCCTCAAAAGCCTATAAAAGAGCTTCATCCTCGGGTGAAAATAGCCGCCTCCTCCATGGAAAGTGCACAGACACAATCCTAGTTACAATCAGTGGTCCTGTCCTGCAAAGCAAGTGCCTCCGAAACATCGGCAAGTGATTGGAGATTGCACTTAATGAGTGCTTCAATGAAGTAGCATGTTTCATCCTTCGTGTTCCCTTCAGCCGCATCCACCACAAATGATTCAATTACCATCGTACCAGGTCTCCCTTCGATGACCTCAGGATGGACAGACACAGTGGAAGTGTAGTTCTGCAAGAAAAACGTAAAGAGTGATTTTCTTCATTTTTCTGCCCAAATAGTGGAGGTATACATTGTAAGAACCTAAAAAGAATCACAACACAACATTAATTCCAAAACAAAAATTCTAAAACTGATGCATAATCAAGGTTCACGAACACAAACTCAAAGGTGCTACACTTGGAAACCAACAAACGGGAATGCACAACTGTGTTTGCACCAAGTACAACTTAGAAGATAGGGAACCAACCTCATGAATCAATTTCTCAACAAAGGTTAAGAATGATATGATTCCTGGAAAAAATGCATAAATAAAGTGAAACGAAATAACGAATTAAAATGAGACCCTCGAAACTAAATATAAATGAGAAGGAAAGTTGTACATACTTTGAGCCTGTGGTCTCCACCAATAATCCTGACACTGAGTATGTGTTCATTATCATCGAGAAGCTCCAATCTCTCGGTGCTTGTAGTGGCAGGAAGACCCGACTTAACATCAACTTCCCTCAGACTGCCAATTTCAAGATTTCCATGCACAACACAACGGCTGACGAAAGGCTTGTACTTCTGTGGTTGATCAAACCTCCTGACTAGAGACCAAACCTACCATGAACAAATGATGTGTGATACAATCAATATGTATACACACTAAAGATCAAACAATCGCTAACACATAAAAACCAGATGAGAAAAAAGGTCGACTAACTCTCAAAAACTTTGCAGTGGTTGCCCATAGTCAATATGCTCAAAATCGAGATTACATATCTAAACCTTTCAGACATATTTCTTTCTTTGCCAGAAAATAAAAGCTCTTGCACCAAAATCATATCCTCCAACAATGTTAAACCTAGCCCCTAACCCCAATGCGAAAACAGGGAAAATGATCAAAATGATTCTTAGCTGCAATGTATTCTGATTAACAAGACCAGAAGTTTTCTCCAAGCAAACATCTTGTATTCCGATTACCAAACAAACAATCTCCCAGTTACAGGCATACAGAAAATCAAAGACAATCGAGAAAAGCCTACGAAAATTTCTGCCAATTTGAAACTCAATAAATCACAAAATTAATTCCACAATTTCCACTAACATCTTGTAAATCCATCAAAATCCAACCATAATCAATCAGAATCCATCATCAAAATAAAATGTCAAAACACACAGCCAATTACGCAGCAAAAACTGTTGAAAATTGAAAAATAAATAAAATTAAAAAATAAATAAATAAAGAGATTACGAGATGAACAGGCGCTTTAATATGCTTGATGAGGAAAGAAGAGCATTGATTATCCTTAATCTCGTGCTTGTGATGCTTCTTTATATACTCAATCTCCACTCCGCTCATTCCTTTGACGTCCATCATCTTATTTCTGCCGGAATATTCCCCCCCTCCGATCACCGTTAATAAAAAACGAAGCTGTGTTGTGTAATCCGTTCGCGAATTGACTTAACGAGATCACAGAATCGGCACCGCCATTTTTGAGTGTTGGAAGTGGTGAAAAAATTAAGGTGTGCGCCGCCTCACCATCATCATCATCATCATCATCATCTTCTATGCATTTCCCCAAATAGAAATAATAATAGTATAATACCCCCCAGTCTTCTCTTCTTTTCTTTTACCCATTTGCCCCTCTATTTTATCTCTATTATAGCTCCGGTCCTTTTCTTCATCATTTATTATCCCTTACTCCTATTTTATATCTAAATTATATTATAGATAATATAATTACAATACTTTACACAAAAAAACTAATTTCACCTTTAATTGACACAATAATAGTCATAACTCATAACTAATACACAAATAAAAAAAGAATAAAGCCAAATAAATTTTGCAACAATCAAGTAAATGAATGAAAAGAATTCATTTGCATGAATAAATAGTAAACTAAATCCAAATACATATTATTACTGCACAACAAGGGAACACACATGGTGGCCACAAAAACCAGCCTCTTCCAAGTTTCCCTTGATAATTAACCTCTCTCTATATATATATTTATATATTATATATTACTAAACAATAATATACATGTTAAAAAAAAAAAAGAAAACTTGAACATGTAACATATATATATTAGGACAATGCATCTTCTCCCCACGCAGCTAAACGCACAAGAAACGAAAGTACTTCTGAAGTATCCCGTAAAGAATGCGAAGCCGAGGTTTCTCTTGGAACCGACGATACAATAATCGGGTAACCTTCTCCTCTAACCCTAAGTACCTTCAAAATTAATATCAACACATAAAAAATATTTAGTTACATAATATATATGATTTTTGGGAGAAATTAGGAATAAAAGAAATATCATCTTATTGCTTGCTTATACATATATAGATATACCTTAAAGGCATCTTCATCGGTTTTGTCGTCTCCGATATAAATTGGGAGGACGTTTGCAGAATCGGAAAAGCCTAGAGTTTGGAGAAGATATAGTAAAGCATTTCCTTTGTTCCATTGAATTGATGGTCTAATCTCCATTACTTTCTTCCCTCTAGTTAGATGAAAGCTCGATGAATACTCCGACACTACTTCTCCTATTATCTCCTCAAGCGTTCCGTAATCCTGCAGTAACACACACCATAATATATATTATTTGTATCTACATATATATATTGCATTTGAAGCTACTTATATATGTATATATTTGGTATAATTACCTCATCCAAGACATGTCTGTAATGCACCGAAATACAGAACATATTGTCCTCCACAAAAGCCCCCGGTACGTCGCACGCTCTTCGTTTCAGCTCTTTTAATATCTGATTTAATTAAAAGCCACAAACACATAATTATTTTTTAATTTCTTGGAAAAACAAAAAAATAAATAATGAGAGAGACATATAATTATATATATACCTTCTTAATGGAGGGAAGATACTCCTTTGCAGGTTGGTAGAGTGTGGTTTCATTGCCCTACAATCGTAACATTATATATTTTAGCTTTGAATCAAATTAATTTACAAGGAAAAAAATAAAAAAAATAAAACCGATCGAACCTTATCGTCGATTGTATTTGTCTGATATTTGCCATCATAAGATTTCAAATGCAGTGCTGGAGGTCCCATTATATCCATTCCATGGCTCCCAGCATAGTAAACTTCATCTAACTTTACAAATTCATGCACCTGTATATATATATATATATATATAATAATATAAATAAATGTAATTAACTAATATATTGTGATGGATAATATATAAAAATAATTAATTAATTATTTGATGTTAATTATATTACCTTGTCTCGACTCCTACCACTTATTATAGCAGTCGGAAATAGCCTCGCCACCTCACGTACAGCTGATCGCATCTGAATTAGGGTTCACCGAAACTTTTATTAATTAACAATCTAACTATATAATTCAGGAAATGAAATTTAAAAAAAAAATTAATATTTTTTTTTTATATTTAATATTTACCGGATCAGACATGAAAGCGCGATCGGGATCATTAACGATGGGCGAAAGCGTGCCATCGTAATCCAAAAACACGACTACTTGCTTTCCTTTTACGGCGCTTGTCATTCGATCAAATGATGATATTGCACAAGGGTGTTTCTCCTGATGAACAACACATGCATGAACCAAATATTTTTCAATTAATTAATTACGAAATTAGAAAATAATTATATATTAAATTAGGATATTTGGACTGACCAGCCAAGAAATATATGTTGGATCTCCATTGGAATCTTCACTATTGAAATTACTAGGCCCATCAACTTGAGGCCCAGGTAGCCATTTCTCCATATTATTTTCCTTCACCATAACTTTATCTGCAATAAAGTATTTCACATTCAAATTAAAGAAAACAAAATAAAAAATTACATGATTTTGACATAAAGTAACATCTTTATAAAAAAGATTTAAGTCAGACTCACATGACTCAACGTTACATGGCTATTGGAAAAAAAAAACTGTCCGAAGATTAAAAATAATAATTAATTTTTTGGCGGGTCTTAATCAAATTATCACATCCTAATTTTCAATTAACACCGACATGCATGATAATGAATATGTGGACATATTTTTCAACCACCACATACAATACAAGCTGATGTGTACATTATTAATTAATTAATTATTAATTAATTATCCTAAGTTTAGTTATAATTTATGTTTTTATGCATGCACTTTGACTCCACAAACCTCAACTGCCACTTCCATTATTTGGTCCCCCCTCACACACACACACACACACAAACACGTGTGCGTGCGTGTGTGTGTGTGTTTGGATGAATTTATTACTATTAAAAAAAAATCTTTAGAAACTAATGTTATAACCAGGAAAAACTTCAAAACAAGGACGGAGTCAAATATAAAAATAAATATTAGAAAATAAATATAAAAGCAAAGTTGAAAGACTTGGTGGGCCAATAAGTCAACATGGGCCTGGTTAACCCGGTCAACAGTGGGCCCACAAGAAACACGTGTGCGGCGGAGGCACCGCCCATAACTACCTTATATAACAGAAAAAGCACCGCCATATACTATCCCCAATCATCCAACTAGTGCGTGAATTTGTTTTCCTTTTTAAAAGTTAAGTGTCGTGCTTACAACTCGTAGTAAAGCGCGTGGAACAAGTGAAACAAGAAACGGACGCCAACCGCTTTTATTGGTTTTTTCTCTAATAGGGCCAGGCCAAACCAACCCCCCAATAATAATATAAAAATTAATGTATAATTTTTTTTAATGTAAAATTAAATAATAAAAAAGAACTTCTATATTTCTTATTATGTTGAGACAAACAGAGAATTAAGGAAACCATCAAGAAAAACGAATCAAGAAACTGAGCATTAGCGTGTTTGAGTATGTTATTTTATCTGTTTGCGTGAAGGTAGAAGAATGAACACACACACCACAAGGGCACATAAATATAGATACATATATATGTGTGTGTGTATATATATGAGAATAAAGAAATAAGAGACTTACAAAAAAAAATCTTGAGACAAATTAAACAGAGCTTCAGTTGTGACGGAGACACACGCCAATATCTAGAGAGAGAGAGAGAGAGAGAAGGGGAGTAGGGTGCTAATGTATGAGTATTTATAAGTGCGGGGTTTAATTTTAGGGCAATAGTCAAAATCAACGGTCAAGATTTTAGTTATAATTGATTTTGAATGGACTTTTGGTGTTTTTATTCCGGATTTTGTGGGGGAGTTAATGAATTCCATTCCTTGGGGTAGAAGACTTACCTTAATATCCTTCTTCCCAAATATATTATATATTCAATCATTATTTTTTCTCATATATTTGGTCGTCAATGATTCTCAAATACTACTTACGACTAATATTAATATATAATAAGATTTTGTATATGTTTCGTTCAAATATCTTATTGAAAATTTTATATCTTGTTTTATTTAAGGTAATTAAAATACAAATATTTAGAGAATATATTTCCATTGAAGCCTTGCACGTGCACAAATAATCATTAGGGATTTGGATTACAATTTAAACACATGAAAGCACATGTAAAGGGAACATAACATATGAGGTCAAATCCTTAATTTGAAAATCCTTAATAATCTACCTAATCCATGTTTTTCTATGATTGTATATTTTCTTTATAGGAAAATTATATTTTTTAATCAAAAAATAAGAGGAGACATACAAGAAATACAACAATAATGAAATTTCCGACATGTCTAATTTACGCTATACCTGCGTATTTCACCCGCTATACGATTTGACCTACACAACATAAAAGATTTCAAGCAGAAGAGCCAAAGCCAACAAATACATCAACTTATAAACCATGTAGTTTTGTCCAAACAATATAATTTCATAATTTTCACATATGTATCGGACATCAGACCAAAAAATGTACCGATTTCTTATCTTAATCGTTTTCCCCAGTCAAAAGAAACTATGTCTGCAAAAGGAAAAAAAAAAAAAAAAAACTAGGCCAACTTCAAAGGTAGCATAAACTATGCACTGTCATAGGACAGTAGTTAGTGTTGTCGCTTTTGTGAAATCGGAAAAACCAATAAACAGTTGTTGTATCTCCACTATCGGTGCGTCTAGTCATTTGAATATCTTTTCGAAGTTGAACTGTATTTACAGCCTGAGCTCTCTCAACCAAGGCTATATATATCTCATATAATAAAAACTACTTTTTAGGAACACTGTTTTACCTCTTGTTCAGCATTTTCTTTATCAGGCACCGTTGGAATCTCGTTACCTTCCGTTATCACCTGAAGAAGTTCCAACGGAGTAGCTGCTGGATCCAGCTCTAGGCAACCTTCCGGAACATCTTGAGCTTCTGCACTCGTAAGCAAGTGGTACGGGACTCTATGAGAGAATCGAAACATCTCTTCCTTGGATATCTTTCTTATCAGTTCTTGGTCCAAATTAGGGCGAAAAACTGTCTTGAAACCGACAACTTTAACAAGAGGAGCAACCCGTACACCCTTTTCTTCGTTATAGTCATCAAGCACAGTCACCATCTCGTATTTGTGTATAACTTCATCGGGGGTGTGTTCGTTCCAATCAGACGACCAATTCTTGTACAGTGCCCAAACATCATTCTTTTGGGGGAATATCAAAATGCTCCCACGTGGGCCTTTTGTCCATTTGACTTTCTGCGAGAAGGAGTTGATAGATTTGCACGGCTCGTATTTACCGATCCTGAATTCTCCACATGTTTTGTAGAAACCCGATCCTACCCAGTCCATAGTGCTGAATTCAGTGGTGATTTTCGAGTTAAGCCAACTAATCTTCAACTTAAACGGCTTCCTAGAAATCACCTTGCTAATCAGAGCATAGAAACGCGGCATGCCATCATCATCGTCGTACGAAGCCCAAACCTCGTTTTCTCCAAAGGAACTTTCGGCTCTGTCCTGGTCAAAATCGTGAAAATCAGGATCTGGAACACTCATCAAAGGATCTGCTGGATCCTCTACACTAGGCGCATTCGCATTTTTATCACTTTTTTCATCAACACTATCGCTGCTGCTTTTACTTCTCTCCTTCTTGCTCTTCTGATTCGTGTTTTTCCTTTTTCCCGCAGCAGCTTTCGCTGTTGTTGTGTTGTCTGACCTCCAATTGCTTAGCTTATTTAGAATCTCCTTTCGAGCCTTTACAACCAGCATTTTACGGGTTTCGACAGGTGTCAAATCTCTAGTACTGTTTGAACGGCAAGTGGTGGAGAAACCGTAAATTCTTGACCCTGGTAAACTTCCACTACCCATTCCAAAGCCGCCATTTCCCTGAGCCGTATTAAACCTTATACCAAATCTACTACTATCATCGTCTAGTTTTCTCTGTTTAAAAGACCCCTCCCACCCTGCAGATGAATGTGATTCGTTATATGCTCTCTTCAATTTATCCTGTGCCTGCTGAACAACATTGGCTGCTTTCGCAGCTACAGAAGGATCCGTGCGAAGCGAATCATGCTGGTAGTGTGGGTGTCTAAACGGGTTCGAACTTGCTTCACATGGTCCTGATGATTTCTTGGGAACCGGAATATTCCTTCCCGGATCAAAAGCATTTCGACTAGGGACACGTTCTTGATTTGATGATTTAGTAAAATTATAAGGGGGATCTGTCTCGGAAGCAATAAATGCTTCGTTACAATTGGGACAAAGGAGAGTGTTGTTGAGATAAATCTTCAGATACTCGTAGTGCATCTTGCACCTTTGACAGATGGTCCAAAAAGTATCATTCCTTTGATCGGACGGAATCGGATGTGCTCTAGAAGATTCCTTAGCGACATTGTTTTGGGCCTTCGGAACTGATGCTGCTGCCTTGTTGGGAAAGCTGAAAACTCCGTTTCGCCTGGCCTGTGCTGATGGACCACCACCACTATTCATCTGAACTTTTTGTTGAAGTCCTTTCAAGCCCCGTCTTTGATTGTATGCCAATCTCTTCGCCTTATCCGACAACAAACTCCAGGCCTCTGAAATAAGCTTAAATGCACCATCAGCACAAACCGATTTATTTTTATCGGGGTGCAGCGAGAGAGCCAATTTGCGGTATTGTTTTCTTAATGTTTCATCATCTACTGATGGGGTCACACCGAGCACTCCGTACCAGTCGGTTTCCCCACTTATTTTATTCTCTGCAGAAACGTACACATCGAGTGTTGTCAACATTTGGGAAATACCATCTAAACCTGGATATAAAGTTTGCGCCTTCAAGGCAAATTTTTTTGCACCGGCAAAATCCTTTTTTTCTAACTTTCCCTCGGCAATCGATTTTGCCCTTAGGGCTTCATCTCTGTTGCACTCCATGTTTTTTCCAATCGTCTGCCTCTTACAAGTTTCACCTTATTATTGACACTACTGCAACAAACAATTCGAACGCCAAAAGACCAATGATTGGTCCTGAGTGCTTGGACAACAAGGATCTTCCTTAAATTTTAATTTTCGAATACCTGTCTCACACAAAATATAAAGTATGTTTAGATGGAAAGGCAAGTGATAATCATACAGCGGTGTTAACTCAAGAATGCTTCAACAAATCAGATTCTGATAGATACAACAAGCGAAATTTATCGGCATCCCAAGTTACAATAAAACACCAAGCAAACCATGAAAGACAAGAATCAAATCAATGGATTCAAATAGGGTATATTCCTTCATGCTCAAGAAGCATATCATCAAAACATAAGTTTCTTCTGAAATGGCATAATTGATTGGTCATTAAGTCGTGATCAATTGCTGCAAAAACTCAATCATCATAACCGAGAAATTAAGGACGAGATTGAACAACACATTACAAAATGTTGCAAAAGAACATGAATAATACCAATTGTGCCCGAAACACCATTACTAATTACTCATAGGAAATTAGCAAATCAGAATTTATTAATAAAATGACATCACTTCCAATCATGATTTCCCAGTGGTTCAATGATTTGTCATATAATTACAATCGGAACTTGCCAACATTGCCTGAACAAACAAGAACCACTATAGCACCCACTACGAAACTAATGGAAACATGGAAACAAGACACACACACACACACACACACACACACACACACACACACACACACACACACACACACACATTACAGCAAATCAGTAAAATCTGGGAAAATAACCCTATTCACATGGCAAACTTAATTACAATGTCATTAAATAAAAGGAAAATTCCAATAATCACAAACAAAAAAAATAAAAAACAATCAAACTGGTTTAAAATTCACAAATCGGAATCACAAACAAATTTCAAGGAAATTAACCACTGAATGGATCTGGATTGTTCAACAAACAGAAGTCGAATTCACTACTAAATTCACATTCGTAGACTGCTCAGAAACCCTAGATTGTTCAAGCTCAACTAGAATTATTAAAATAGAATTAAACAGGAAAAAAAGAAAATTACCCTTTAATTTCGGAAATTGAAGAAGCCGCAATCGAAAATTCGGCTGTAATTTATTTTATTCTTCCGACCAATTTGAAATGGGGGGACTGCAAAAGTTTTTTTCAGTCAAACCCCCTAAACAGAGAACAAATCTGAATTGCCCAAATAATAATATCTGAAATTGAAAATATGGAGTAGTGAAGGGTTTCATTTTTATGCTTTAAACCAAGCTTAGGGTTACCCCTAACTAGATTTGGAATTAACTGTGGTTAATTTCATCATGTGAGCCTAACTATGGTTACTTTTTACCAGAGTATTTTATTTTTTCCTTTTTGATTTTTTTTTCTTTATTGATTTAAAGTTTTTCAGCATTTACTCATTCTTTCCAAAATTGAATAAAATCATCTCATATTCCAATTACGTATAAAATCATCAATTCTATTAATACACATTCATTTTCCATTTATACATTAACACATAATATAATTAGAGGAAAAGTATTGATATTCCTATTATCTATTTATTGTAAGTTTTATTTTAATGATTTTTTTTTAAAAAGTAATTTTAATGAATTTGGATACAATGAAATATACTACTAAGATATGCATATGATGTGACAAAGTACATAAGCTAGGTTGGTAGCACATCCCAAAGAGATGTGTGAATTAATGGAAAATATTGAAGATGGGAAATGCAAACTAAATAAAGAGCTATAATATTTGAAATGCACTTCCATGTTAATATCATTATTATTATTTAAATGCTTGGAAAATTAATCATCTTTGTATACTTCGCAATTCACCTATAGGCCCAACAAGCCTAATCGTCGGTCCTCCAAATTAGTCAACCTTCAACGTCATCTCATTGCTTAATCCTTCTAATTTTTCAATAGCTCGTGGGACTGAATCAACTTCTTTTTAACTGACATTCAACATTTTTAGAATAATAAATCGACCATGTATACTCTTTTTCAAATTAATGTCATATTTGCAGAGGAGGCCATAAGTGCTCATCAAGTAAAAACTTCAATTAATACAAATTAAAAACTAGAGAGAGAAAAAAAAAATCTACAAAGTAAGTGGTTAGTTTATTAAGGAGAAATGCGAGTTTAAGAAAAAGCAGGCACCGGACGTAGAGAAAAAGTCGCACCTATTAAGAAACGGTCCCACCAAAGATTTTGTTAGGGTGGACCCGCACATACGGAATAATCGCTCGCACTTTTTGATATCTAACTGCATAATCACAACATTTGTTTTTTACAGTAAACATTTTCGCGAAGCTTCCCTTCCATACTCACACGAGCTGCACAGTCAGTGTCGTACGACGTCGTTGACAGGTTTCTCATTTGCATGCTTGCTATTTTTTATTTATTTATTTTATTAATTCCTCAGTTTCTCTCTGCTGTGTTGGAATTTTTGTATTGAGTTGAGTGCTGTTCAGAGTGATGGTTTGAAATTCTTCTTCTTCATTTTCCCAATCTGTTTGCTTATGAAATTTCTCGCTTCAATTACATTTTGATGCCCGCTTTGTGTTTGATTTATGTCTTACAAGAAGTGGCTACTATTTCAGTTTGTGCTTTTTTCTATTATAACCATTGGATTTGAATATGATGCATACATTTGTTTTCTCATTTATGTTTCCAAAATCAGACGTCCTTTGTTCTACGTACTCTCGTTTGAGTTCGAGTGATCGATGAATTACCACACTTACAAGTTTGTAAGGTTAGTTGAACATAAAATTGTTTGTGGTTTTAGGTAACATTTGTTCAATATTGTTCTGTTTCCAACGTTAGAATCTCATGTATTTGACCGTACAGGTTTCAGGATTCGAAATCGGGGAAAAGTTTTTACGAGCAAACTCCGTCTAATGGTGGACTGCAACTGGCTAAACTTAAATCAGCGCTATCTTCAGTTTCGAGCAAATTTCAGAGATGTTTAGAATCTGGCTCTGAAAGAATCAAAAAGTTTACGGGATCCATAAGAAGCTTCTCTTCCGGAAAGTTCCTAACGGATGACGAGGGGTCTAGGAATAAAATCCTCGATCCACAAGGATCGTTTCTGCAGAAATGGAACAAGATTTTCGTACTGTCGTGTGTCATTGCTGTCTCGTTGGATCCCCTGTTTCTCTACATTCCCATTATCAACAACGACAAAAAATGCCTTGATTCGGATAAAAATTTGGAAATAGCTGCAAGCGTTTTACGATCATTTACTGATATATTTTACGTCGTACACATTATTTTCCAATTCCGCACTGGTTTCATTGCCCCTCCCTCGCGTGTATTCGGGAGAGGTGTTATAGTTCAAGATTCCTGGGAAATAGCAAAAAGATATCTGTCTTCCTACTTTCTCATCGACATTCTTGCTGTTCTTCCGCTTCCTCAGGTTATATATATATATATATATATATATATATATATAGAAAAAGACATTTCCTCAGGTACAAAGTAGTTCGTGTCGTGGAAATTTCATCCATGTATTATTACTTTTGCAGATTGTAATCCTCATCATAATTCCGAAGTTGAAAGGTGCAAGATCACTCAACACGAAGAATTTGCTGAAACTCGTGGTGATCTTTCAATATGTACCGAGGGTTCTCCGAGTGTACCCTTTATATAGAGAAGTCACTAGAACTTCCGGCATACTCACCGAAACAGCGTGGGCTGGAGCTGCATTCAATCTTTTCCTTTACATGCTTGCCAGTCACGTAAGAGTGCATTCGAAGCGTTCATTTGGGGGTTTATTAAATTTATCCGTCATTCATTTTTTGCTATTTTGTCAGGTGCTTGGAGCCTTCTGGTATTTATTTTCAATAGAACGTGAGACTACTTGCTGGGAGAAAGCTTGTGGGAATGGATCTGCATGCAGAGAAGCTTCATTTTACTGTGGGGCTGACCACACCGGATTCAGCCAAATATTGAATGAGTTCTGCCCTGTACGGAATGCTAATGCCACACTCTATGACTTTGGGATATTCCTCGAAGCCCTTCAATCCGGTGTTGTTGAATCAGAAGATTTTTCTAAGAAGTTCTTTTATTGTTTCTGGTGGGGACTGCAGAATTTAAGGTATCTATCTATCTTCAACGTAGAAAACTAACGTGCTTTGTAGTGTTTTAGAGGTTCCGGTCTCGTTAGGTAAATTTTCGTTTTATCGAATCTTGCAGCTCCCTTGGCCAGAACCTTCAAACAAGTACCTTCATCTGGGAAATCTGCTTTGCAGTTTTCATATCTATATCTGGCTTGGTGCTATTTTCGTTTCTGATTGGAAATATGCAGGTGAGTTATTTTTCTATGTTGGGAGATACTAGATAGGTTTGCTTATACTAACATAGGTTGTAATGAAGCGCAAATATTGGTGCAACAGACATATCTGCAGTCGACAACACTGAGATTCGAGGAGATGAGGGTCAAAAGGCGAGACGCGGAGCAATGGATGTCTCACCGTTTGCTTCCCGATAGTTTAAGGGAGCGAATCAGAAGCTACGAGCAATACAAATGGCAAGAAACCAGAGGTGTCGATGAGGAGAATCTTATTCATAGTCTCCCCAAAGATCTCAGGAGAGATATTAAACGGCACCTCTGTTTGGCTCTTCTCAAGAGAGTAAGTTTATTTCGAAAGCCGTGCATGTAATATAATCATCATATATGAAACGTTAAATGTCATTTCAATTTTGTCGGTATTGTTATGACTTCAAATGTGATTTTGACCCTTTCTCAGTCTGAATTTGTCAAAAATTGAAACTTCAAATATGTAGTCCTTTGAGTTGGCCTTATAATTCAACTTGAATTATCTAAATTGGATGTCGACTGAGAGAGTGATGCATAAGTGAGCTACACTTTGGATCTCAAAAACTCAAAGCATAAAAACTGTAGGTGGTGTTCATTTATTCATGCATATTTTTTCTCAACCAACATCCGGTCTAATTGATTCAAATTGGATTAGAAAATCGACTCAAAGGACTACAAATTAGGTGTATTGAGTTTTTTCATTAAGAAGAAGGGTCAAAATCACATTTGATGTCGGAACGGTACCAGTAAAATTGAAACGGGGATTACTAAAAAAAATTGGAAGCTGAATACTTTAAGCTATATCATTCAGGTACCAATGTTTGAGAAAATGGACGATCAACTATTGGATGCAATGTGTGACCGTCTCAAACCGGTACTCTACACCGAGGAAAGCTACATACTGCGAGAGGGTGATCCAGTTGACGAAATGCTGTTTATAATGCGTGGAAAATTGTTCACCGCGACAACAAACGGAGGAAGAACTGGGTTTTTCAATTCAGATTATTTAAAAGCCGGAGATTTTTGTGGAGAAGAGCTCTTAACTTGGGCACTGGACCCCACTTCATCTTCGAATCTCCCCATCTCCACTAGAACCGTGCAGGCCCTATCTGAAGTTGAGGCGTTTGCTTTAACAGCCGATGATTTGAAGTTTGTGGCATCTCAGTTTCGGAGGCTGCACAGTAAGCAGCTGCGTCATACGTTTAGGTTTTACTCGCAGCAGTGGAGGACTTGGGCAGCTTGTTTTGTGCAAGCGGCGTGGCGGCGGTACTGCAGGAAGAAACTGGAGGAATCTCTTCGCTGGGAAGAGAATCGATTGCAAGATGCTTTGACTGAAGGTGGGACGCCAGATTCTCCAAGTTTGGGTGCGGCGATGTATGCCTCTAGATTTGCGGCTAATGCGCTTCGAGGTTTGCGGAGTAATGGTACGGGAAAGATGAGAATGAAGCCAGGGAGAATATCTCCCATACTGCTTCAGAAACCGGCTGAGCCAGATTTCAGTGCCGGCGATGAATGAATATTATTTAACTTCGATTATTCTTTCATTTAAATTTTAATTTAATTTATTTTTTTCTTCTACTTCACTTAGTGTATAAATGTATCGCTAAGTCTGGAAAGGCAAAAAAACAAAAAATCATTAAAAAAAAAAGGGTTTTCAATTGCATACAATTCTGACTGTACAGAAACAAACAGATCCTAATTAACTAAAGATGCACCTTGTGAAACTTGATCAGCAGCTAGTTAACATGGGAGGATAACATGAGAGGCTTCAGTTCTGCCTTTACCTTTGCATACTGTTGGCTATTTAAAATGGTATCGAGCATCGAGACAGCTTTCGCAACATGCTTCCCTTTGTTCAGCATCACACAGCTTGCCCTGTCACACACAAAAGCAGCAAATCATTACATCCTAATCATTGATTCTTTATCCTCAATAATACTACACAATTCTTTCTTCACAAAGAAAAATATAAATTAATAAATAAAACTGTTTACCTCCTTCCATTTGCTGCATCTGTAATCTCTGCTCTAGTAGGCACACCTGTCTTCACAAGTGTCTCAAGAACTTGTGTCGCCAATATAACTGGCACGTGTGCAGCACTGCAAATAGAAATAATCTCATCTTGTATATCGGCCAGCTTCTCCCACCCGCACTCCACTGCAAGATCTCCTCTAGCAATCATCACTCCTAAAGGATTCGAAGATTTCATCGCCTCGAGTATTAACAGTGGCAGTTTCTCAAATCCACCTTTAGTCTCGATTTTCAACACAATCCCCAATTCCGAAATTCTTCTCTTTGCTAGTTCTTGGTGCAAGGCAACAATATCATGAACATCTCGCACAAACGAAATACCCACCATGTCAGCATGTGCAGCCACAAAGTCGAGATCCATAAGATCCTTTGAAGTGAGACCTTCGTACCTAATATCACTTTCAGGTATGTTTATGGATTTCTCCGAGCCCAGTTTGGTACCTTTCAGACCAGCATGCGTAACTTTCACCACAACTTCCGAAATGCTAGTTCCTTTAATAACCCCCCATATCTTTCCATCATCAAAAGCAATAGGGTCTCCAGGTTTGACGGAATCGAATAGATAACCAGACGGGCAAGTTATCTTGTGGGACCCGATTGGTGAACGAGGTAATGTAACATTCTCATCTGAACTATCACGAGATATTACTAGTAAATCGCCAACTCTAAGTCTAACGAACTGCTCCACAGGGGGGACATCAACCACAAAGCCAACTGGAGATTTTCTTCCCTTCTGCTTAACATGCAAAGTCGTGCCAGACTCAACATACGCAGTGTTGTTGCACTCTGCCATGAATCCAACACCAGAAAAAACGGGATACTTGCTTAAAATCTTAAGAGTTCTTCGCTTTCTACGGGCATCAGAGAATATAACAGAGTCATCAACTTCCATATTATTGAGAAATTCTTGGCCGTCCACTTGCAGAATAACATCGGGGGATAGATGAGATGGCGGGGGGCCAGCCCCTCGTGGGCCAATCCAAACTTGGGCTGGGCGTATCATACTACCAAATGCATTCTTTCGAGGGGATATTTTCACCACACATGGACCATCCTTCAGTGTTCCTGTTCGAAGCTTTGGTCCAGCTAAGTCCATGAGTATCCGACAAGGTTTCTCAAGATGTTGAGAGGATTGCTTCACCATTCTGATTATCTCACTCCATAATTCTGGGTCTCCATGCGCACAGTTGATACGGAAAATGGTGGTCCCTGAATTGATGAGATCGGGTATATGTGTATCGTTTTCCACTGCCTCTTCGCCAACTGTCGCCATGATATGGCCCATTTTCTGCGCTTGAAGAGCTCCCAGAAGTAGTTCCCTATTAGAAGAGGCTCTTTTCATCAGTGCAGTCATTCCCAGTTCCATTTTTTTATTGCCCGAGTTTTTATGAACAGGAAGCTCTTTGTTGGGAACGCTTAAGCCGACAAGGGAATCTAATCTTGAGGCATTTAGCATTTGGATACATGCAGCAAGACTTGAAAGAACATGTGCATTTACAGTCTCTAAATTCAAAAGCCCAACAGAAGAAAGCTCTTCTTTCATCTCTTCTATATCCAGGCTTTTGAGTGCCAAATAGTGCAATAGGTTAGTCGCACTTGCTGCGTAATTTCTGCCAATTAAAAGAAGAATTACATTAGTTTAGGGAACTACAATATGGGTAGTTCTTAAATAACACTATTACTGAAGTACCCTATACAACTGCAAAAATATGAGTAAGCATTTCTGAAAGACACCCTCGAAAAGGTATCTAATCAGTGTATTTCGAGGTGATGCATGGAAAAAGAATAATCCTGATCAAGAAAAGTATCAATGCATACCTGTGACACATTTTAAGCCTTGATGCATTCCATTGTTCCATTGCTAGAATATGCAATTGAACCGCCTTCAGCTTATCATGAAGAGTCTCCTCGTCTCCTAATTTTGAAATATTTGTTTGAAAATCAACACCCGATTGCACAAGGGAGGGAGATGTTCCTTTTCTTGGCTCCTTTAGGTCATCCTCAGAAAAGAGAAACACTTGATCATCAGTAAAATGAGGTGAGCCCTGTCTATGAGCATCATTTTGTTCAGGTGGCATGCTATATGCAGCAGTTCTCGAGGCGAGTTTCCCTCGGCCTTGACAAAGCAATATGTGACTTCTAGAAGATGTGACTTCAGTGCCATATTTAGATGGAAGAATGACGGAGTTACCGTATAAGATTAGCGGGGTGAAATCAGGAAACCTCGCCTGCAAGGAAGAATAAAAAGAAATTTCCTAGGATCAGTAATTCTGCTAAACTCTATAATTTGATGTATTTGGAGAATCATGGTCAACAACAGTCCGAAGTTCAAACGGGAAAATTGAAATGAAGTACAACCCAACTAAATTTAATAACTTCAGGCTAAGAGAAAAACAGAGTAAAATGAAACACCAAAGAGAAGGAGACTCACATGATCCAAACGTGATATCGGTTCAGTTAAAGAGCAAACTGAAACAGCTCCTGTCAACATTATCCAAAATATTTAGCCTGCAAAACAATAAAATAAGTCAATAAATCGACAATTACAAATTTAACGAATCAAATAAAGATTAGTACTGTGATTCAAAGGATTTGCCAATATAAAGAAAACAGGTCACATAAAAATAGAAATCAAATCAACGCGATCATTCAACCAGCTGATATGGACATTAAAATACACATGTAAAAAAACAAACGATGTTAAAATGATTGGATTATTCGTTAGAAGCTCAATTTCGTAGGTTGGAATATCTTCGAGCTTAGAAAATAAACACAAAAGAGTCTCGAAAATTTCCGAAACCCTAAAAGAAGGCAAAGAAGACGTATACCGTCACGAAGCTGCCGCCGGAAAATGGAAGGCTCCGGCACAAATCCGAGGATTGAGAATCCAATAAAAATCGCAAATGTTTTCTCTCGATCTGTATATGTATATAAATTCTGTGCGAATGGAAAATCTAATCAATTTATCAGGAGATGAATGGGAGTGTGGAGGGCGCGTGCCAGATTCTGTTTTAGTAGTAATAAAAGGAATCAAAGGCTGTGCGGTACTAGTATCTTCATAACACACGCTTTTCCTTTTAAGTCGCTACCGTCTTCAAACCCGATTTTAATAATTTATTTTTATACGATCTTAGACCCTGTATATTTGTCATAATAATCAGATTTTGACCCCTAACCTATATCCGATTTTCACTTTACCCCCTCAACAAATTTCTGTTTCACGATTTAGCCCCCCAAAAAATTCTATTTGAGAAGATATTATATACTTCATATTTTTATGCTAAACTCGATGAAGATTATATAGGTTGATTTTTTACCGTTCATCTACACGCATCAATATGGGTTTGTGGGTGTTTGTGTGTTATGAATGGTTACGAGAGTAACATATTAGGGAATTATGTTACTTTTACTACACTCCCTTTTAGACTTTTAGTCATTTATTCAAGAAATACCTCGAAGAAATAGTTGATGAAACAAACGATTTCTAAATATATAAAATATACTCGTTCGCAGATCACAAACCGTAACCGAGTCCAATATCCAAATTACAGAACAACCAACATGGAATAGTGAGGCAATTAAAATCAGATCCTCCAATAATTAATTATATAAAATCGACAAAAGAGTAAAAACTAGTCTATAAACGGGCTACTATTTAACAATCACGAAGAGATTCCACCTCGTTCTTCACGAAAGATGGCAATGCAAAGGCAGCCTTATGAATCTGTCATCAATCATTCATACACAAACAGTAGTAAGTGAATGAAAGATGGATTCGTAATCTCCAACAGTGAAAAAATATGATATAAATATTATTGCAAATACATTCCGATTAACTGCTAACGCTTATACAAAGAAGAGAATATACCTCAGAGTTGTAAAACATAAGTTCCCTTCTGTAATGAAGTGCGTCCTCTAAATTTTCGATAGGATTGATAGGGTGCAAGAAATCAACAGACGGAAACCCCTCTGTTGAGCATAACACAAATCCTATAACACCACTGTAAACAACATGCAGAAACTATAACAACCGTATCTTGCAAACTACAAGTTGATAACAATGCTAAGCATGCCACACACAAAAAAAAAAAAAAAAAAAAAAGAAAAAAAGAATTTACCTGGGATATGTAGGGACACTAGCCCACGCATAACGAACAGAACCTTTGAATATTTGGCGGCACAAAGAAACCATATCTTGAATAAGATGAGTATGAAGCCACATACTTTCTGCCATGTTACAAAGAACACCACCTGGCCTTAATGCTCTCGCAATGCTCTCGAAAAATGGCCTCTCCACTAACTCCTGAGCAGGACCTGCACACAACCAAATCCCATTTAAAAAAAAATAAAAAAAAAAATTAAAAAATCTTTAATAATATCTAGGCAGGTACAATTTGGGAGTGTCATACGTACCAACAGGGTCCGATGAATCAACGATAACTGCATCGTACTTCCCTTGAGGTGCATGCCGTAGAAAATCAATAGCTGTGAAGAACACAACTTATTAAGCATAAAACTAGATCATTAATTAAAGAAGAATGATCTAAACTAAACTTTGTTCGTGCAGAATCAATCAAACGATTCTGGACAGTTGTTTGTGTACATACGTGTTTGAGTGAGTGGTTTTGAGGAACTAAAGCAGAATATATATGATCTAAACTAAGCTTTGTATGTAAGTTCTCAGATTTTGTGCATACCATCACCAACATGAAGGTGCACACGAGGATCCTCAAAACCCATAGCTAACTCTGGAAAAAATTTCTTGCTTACCTGTAAAACAGACGACAAATATAACTATGAGCACGAGAGATTCGTATGAAGAGAAGCTTTGTTACAAAATATGGAAGAATATCGATCACTCACGTCTATGACCATTTGATCTATTTCGCAAATATCAATCAGCTTTACAGAGCTGTGACGACAAATTTCCCGAAGAACTCCACCGTCACCACCGCCTACCACCAAAACCTGCATTCCCATGGAAGAGAGATAAGCATAAAAGTAAATATATTAAGATTAATGGAGCATGAAAAACTAATAATTTGAATCATGTTGTGTTTAATAGATCCACTGATAATCATCCTGTGCGTGAAGAGTGAAAATCTGTAATTCTTAAGATGAAATTTATTCAACCGGAAACGAGAAAGAAGAAGAATTAGAGAGCAGAACTCAATATAGTTGCAGAAAAAAAAAATCAATATAGTCGCAGCCACTTCCATTTTAAAGATGAAATCTCAACTGCAAAAGCAGTTACTGATTTCCCAACAAGAACTAGTCACGATTAAGAGTATTAAAGCTCAAAAACGTAACGCATGGAACAACAATCGGTGGTGTTGTAAAACAACAGAATCCGTCAAAAGTGCTTTTGAATGAAAACAGAAACAAGGAATTACATTTGTCGGAGACTGAATTGAACAAAGGGGGAGATGGGTTATCATCTCCTGATATGCGCATTCGTCTTTCTCAGTTAATTGAACAATGCCATCAAGCACAAGCACTTTCCCATATGCTGAGGACTGCAAGTGTAAGAAAGGTCAAAGTGCTTCGTAATATGCAAAATTATATAACTGCACTAATACACAGTCAAGGAAAGATGCTGAACCTGGAAAACCATAACTTCTTGGTACTTTGACTTTTCCTTGAACAAAACTTTTTCCACTTTCAGGGAGTGTGCTTCTCCTACAAGAATACGTGCCTCGATTAGGTACAGAAATTATTAGAAATTAATTACAATTTACAAATATGTAACATCTGCTCTTTCCTGGCCTCAATTTGCAATAATCGTGACTCAGATATAGGCTTGACACATAAATCCGATTTGTATGACAGACAAAAGATTAGGTCATCAAATGAACTGGATTTCTTCCCACACAATGAGATGTGAACCAACTTCGGTAAATTTATGTATTTACGATGAAGTAGACAGTGTTCAACATTTCCAGAAATTGTCATAAATCAATATTAAACGATGAAGTAGACAGTGATTCAACATTTCCATAAATTGTCATAAATCAATATTAACCAATTCATATTACTGTTATTGAATCAGCATAGAGACGTTATACTATACCTGGCCACATGGGGTTGTTGAAATACACTTCCGTCAAATTTGCATCTGTAATAAATATCGGGGAATCAGCAATTTATCTAAACCATTAAAATATATGACAAAAACTATGGTCAAAACTACGGAGTATATCCGAAGAAAACCAGAGGGGGTGCGTTGCAGAACATCGAAACTCTGCCACCACCACCACAAAGGAGACAAAACGAAAAACACATAGCAAATATGGTATTAATACCAGAGGATGATTGATGTTCAGAGAACCATCCAGAAACAACCGTCGAATGGCATATGGCATCAACTTCAGGATCAGATGCCTTAGCTTTCAGACAACAAGATGGAATAACAACAGCCTCGTCTGAACAATTGGCACCGTTCTCCCTCACATCCAAACCTTTTCCTGTGCTGCCCTCCATATATTATCCGTTTCTCAGTCTCTGATTGCCAAGATAAACCAAATCAAACATTCACACCAAAACAAAACCGAAGTTCGAAACTAGGAAAAATAAAAGGTTAAGAATTAGAGACCAGCACCTAAACCAACAAAATATACAGATCAAAGTGAAGAATAAAAATGTCTTGATAACAAGAATTGCTAACACAATATAACAGAGAGAATCTAACTGAAAGAAAAGGAATAAGAATAGGCGGAAGAAGTTATTGAAGGAATCTAAGTGAAAGAAAAGGAAAACAATAAAAAACCAGTTCAAGTAAAAGGCTAGAAAATATAACACAGAAAGAGCAGGAGAATCTTTACGCTATCTTCAACAATAATTAAAACTCTTTCCTTCTTGAAACAGAGAGAATAATCGAATCGACGTCCAATAAATCAAATTTGCTTGGTTACCATTTATTTTACAAGAGAAAAAAAAAAACAGAGTGAAAGTCGAAAGTCGAAAGTCAAGTAAGAAATAAATATTCACTGTAATCAATTACTGATTACTAAAACAAATTGATGACGAAAGAAGAAAAAGCCAGAACCAATAGACTCCATGGATTTTAGTCATAAAATATTCCAAGTTTCTCAGAAAATAATTAGTTCAAACATCGCCTACAATATCACAGCGTTGAAATTACGCTTCCATTGCTTGTAAAAGATCGTAATTCATACCTTGAAACAGAATATATGTTTTTCCCCAAACGAAATCACTGTTTCTGCGTTCACACTAGAAAAAAAAACGCGCTAGGGTTCTCCGAAAATTCGATAAATTTACTGAAAGCTCACTAGCAGTTATCACCCCCAAAAAAAATAAACAAAAGGTCGCACTTTGCTACGTATAAAATGCATGAACAGAGAGTAGAAAGAAATCATTGACATTGACATACCTGCAGCTCTCTGTGGGCGGGGCGATTAAAAGGAATTGTGCAAAAGAATCGTCAGAGTTTACGAAAAAAAAAACACTTTGAAGAACTTTTTTCTATTGAGCGCGAAGATCAAAACAGAGAATCAAATTTTCTCCATTGTTCTACTCTGGTGTGATAATGGAGGAGAATTTATAGAACGTGTATTGCCAGTTTTCCCCCCCAAAAGCTTGATCAGGAACTTTCAACATATATAAATAAATAAATAAATAAAAATGTTTCCAGCACTGTGAAAATTGAAAATTGAAAATACCATTTGTCGGTGGTAAAAACACAAAATTACTAATTTGGACACTGTAAATTTTTCATATTATTTATTTATTTGGTATTTTAGAACAGAAAATTAAATTGATATGATATATGACTGCTTATAAATATTCTGATTAATAATTCTTAAATTAAATTCGACCTCTAAACATGTGTTAAAAAGCTCTTAAGCTTGGAATTTATTTTTGGGGGAATTGGATGCCAAAAGAATCCAGAAAAGTGGATTATTGATTGGGTTGTAATTAACTTTAATTAAATATTAGTTGATGGAATTTTACTTAATATTTTAATAAACAATACAGAATCTGAATAAATGGACTGACTCAGTCAATCTTTTATTTTGTTTTTTTGTGTTTAAATTAAATAAATGTTGAGATGATTTGGCCCGAGTGTCAGAGAATTTGTGGTGGTGTTGTGTTGCACTGTTGCTTGCTTACATTATTTGTCTTACACATGAAAAACGTTTTATATGGGAATTAAAAGTGTAAATATTTTTACAAATTCTTATGTTAAAATAATATTTAATTAAAATAAATAAACATGTTTGGTTAGAACTTAGAAATTCCATGAAATAAATAAACAAGTGATATGCGTGTTTCTCATGGCTAGTTCCCCACTATTTCACTTTCTCTGTCGGATGAAATGTCAACTTCTTAATCTATATACCTAAAATTGAGCAAGTCAATAGGCCTACCAATTTTATATCGTTTAATTTTGACTTTTTCATAAAAGCCCAATAAAGGTCCATTTACAAGAAAATTACTAATGGGCCTAATCCGTTGTAATTGGAGTTTTCTATTATCCGTTTGCGGTGCGTATTATCATTATAAAAATTTCTATATTTGTATTTTTTTATTTTTGCATAATATCAGTTTAATATGGATGATAACGACATTGATCGATCATGAGGTAAAAGAACACATTTTTTTTCTTGAATAATTTTAAATTTATGGCAATTTTTAGTTGCATTTTCACCTCACTTCAATTTCTTTCCCCGAAATAAATTTGTGTTCGATGAAACTCGTGATCTAATTTCCGCCAACAAACAAATGCAAAATAAATAACAAAAAAAGAAAACATAGTGAAAGAAAATGACAAGGTTTATTACTGATCATACATATGTATGTTGATGAGTTGGTCTAATGGCGGGAAGAGGAATTTCAAATTAAGAAAATTTCAAATCGACCACAATAACACTAATATTATCGGTGCTGCCCTTAGCCATCGCTAACTCGGCCAACAATCCAGCTGCCTGAGCACAACGACTTTCGCTGCTTGTCACCAATCGATTATCAGAAATGTTATTATCGATCTTCGATCTAATCCGGCCATCCAAACACCTCCTAGTGACCTGGCATGCCACGTCATTCGAAATGACATCCCACAGCCCATCACTTGCTAGTATCAAGAACTCATCAGAATTACTTGTGTTTATTATTCTTACTTCTGGTTCTGTTATCACATATGGTTTCAGATACTCATCACCTGCATTAATATACTTAATCAAACATATATCTATGTATTTCTTATTATATAATATTGCAGATTAATACTCAAATTTAAATTAAAGTGCTAAATATATTTAAATTTAAATTTGTTAATTTGGGATGAGCATACCTATAGATCTGGATGTAGCAAGAACACCTAACACTCTTTGACCATTCCAATTAATAACCTTCCCTCCACAGACTTCAATTCTCTCCAGTTCATCTGGTCTATCAGGCTTCAAATAATAATAATAATATAAATTATCGTAATATAATTTACTATATCATAAATAAATATTGACTTAATATAATATTTTTCTCTCAAATTGTTAGGCATGTACAGTCTATAAATTAATAGAGCCCAATAGAACCCAGAATAGCAAAATTCTATTAATTTATCAAATATTAAGTTATCAAACTAATAATTTAGTAGATTTTTACCAAAAAAAACTATTTATGCGAGTTTATTAATTTATCGACGGATTAGTGTTTACCTTGTGATCGTCAGACAACTGTACGGGAACACCGCCGCGGCAAAGCACAGCCCTAGAATCGCCACAATTGGCCACCACCACCTGCTCCGCCCCTACCACGGCAACAACCGCCGTCGAACCCATTGTCGCCACCGCCGCACCCTTCTTATTGACCTCCACATCCATCTCCTTGAATCCCGCCGCCATCACACTCTCCCAGGCTATCTCCTCACCGCTCTCTTCCTCCACGGCCTTCGCCAGTACTTTGTGCAGCATCTCACTGCACGCGTGCGCCACGCGCCACCCGCCATGGCCGTCGTACACTCCATAGAAATTGTAGCTCTTCCCGCCCGATCTCTTCAGAAAACCTAATTCCACCGCCACAGCGTCCTCCATTTCTCTCCTCCGACCGATAGTCGACACCGTCCCGTGTGACAGCTGGAGCTTTGCTTCTCCAGATCCTATGACGTCATTCTGCGGCAAATCAACTTCTAACGCCGGCTCATTTTTCACTTCAAATCTCTTCTTCTTCAAAGAGAAGTCGAGATCGGAAGAGATCAGCGAATTTGTTTCGGAAATTGACCTAATTTTCCGCAGATCTATTCTTTTCCGGCGAAAGCTCTTCGACCGGTTACCATTACGATCAAGTTCTAGTTCGCCGGCGGCTCTCGAATCCGGCAGCCCGTTCTGTCGGCGGCAGATATCCTCCGGAGCAGCCAGCGTTCCTTGCCCTGAGCTATCGAAAATCATCTCCGAGCATTCATCAAACAATTAGGGCTTTTATAATTTGAAGAAAACAATAGTAGAAAAAAAAGGAAGAAATACAATAGTAATTATAATACACTGAGAAATGAGAAAACGGAAAAACTTCTGCTGCTGTGCTGTGCTGCATGAGAAAGAAAAAAAAGGAGAAAGTGAAGAAAAATCTGAGCCGTCGATTACTAAATACTAAATAGGCGTCGAGATCGTTATCAGTGACCACGTGGTCGGAATGCGGCGGTCAAGTAAAATAAAGAGGCGGGTAAAATGCACCGAATCGGCGTGGGCGGTGGCGATTGGCTGTTGGGAATACGTGGCGATCGAGAGATCAGAGATCTGAGGAGCGAGGGATTCGAGAGGGTGGGGGCCATAATGATTGTGATCGGGTGATACGTGTCGGGAAATATCTCTGTATGCATGACAAATATTTGGGATGTTGACCCTTTCCCGTTTCTCAGTGGGGATGGGACACGTGTTGGACGATGAGTTGCTTAGGTGGCATTTCACCTCGCATTTCGTGTCAACTACCATTTGATTTTTCTTTTTTCTTTTTCTCTTTTTCTTTTTGTATTTTTTAATCTTATGTTAAATAAATAATGATATGTGTAATTCGACCAACTCAATGGGCCTAAAATTTTATTTTTTATGAGTCCAATATTGAAGACCACTACAACCGATGCTCAATCATCTTCAAAGAAAATTTAGGCTCAACAATTTCAACTAAGGTATAAATAACGATATCATTCTTTATTAAAGATACGCCCTATTATCTGAGTAATGCGATAATTTGTATTATCTCAACTATTTCTACGCACGTCTGAATTGAGCGTCGATGAGTTTCTGCCAGATCAACCCGGCCTAGTTCACGTGTTCTTTGTTCGCAGGTATCTCAGCGCCATCTAGCACGTGAGCAGTGATCTATTTTGCTCTATTTGCTCCCTCTATTTCACCTACTTAAGGTGATTTATTTATAACATCATCAAATATTAATGCAATTTATTTAATGAGGATTAATAAGACATTATATTTAAAGATGGAGTAAATTAAAATTTGGTGTTATTTTATTTTACTTGATGCAACTTTTTTTTTCATTTTTCATTTGGTTTAATTGTAAATTAATTACTTTGGTAGGTGTCCCAACAAAAAGTTGATAGCAGTTGGCCATCAGAATATAGCTAATGGAAAGATAATAATAATAATAATTAAGTAAAATAACAGAATATTGATCAGAAAACCTTTTTGACAATTAGGTTTCAAAACTATCTTATATGCCACGTAAGTACGAATGTTACTCATTAGTTGTTTAGTAGTACTTTTTGTTTCATAAAATATCTTATTAGGGGAACTTTGTGCACCAGACGCAATGAAAAAGGTAGCAGTAGCACCGTATTTCTTTGATTTTATTTGTAAAAAGAAAATGAGAAAAAAAGAAATTATTTTTTGTTATTCTAAATGTGACAATTTATACTGTGGGGGTGGAATCATCAAATTATGTCAACAAAAAAATTTACAAAATAAAATAAATTCAACTCAATTTTTTTACTGCATCTTAATCAAAACAGCAGCACTTGTACATGAACCGAATGGATATGATAGAAACTAGTAAAAAAACTAAGTTATGAGTAAGCAAGAGCGATGGCAAATTGGCAAATATAGTATAAACAATTGGCATACATACATACATACATAAAAATACAATACAGTTAAAACATAATTTCACTCACCAGTAATCATTGCAAGAACACTTGCCATCCTTAATGTGATGAAACCTATTCGAATCCCTCACAACTATCTCCCTCCCGCTCGCCACCGACACATACTTGATCATCGTATGACAATCTCCGCAAACTCGTAGATTCTTAAAGATTCTAATCATCCTACTTTTCGCTGTGCTTATCAGGCCATAAGCCAAAGCTATTTTCTCACTATGCTGAAACAAATACTGCTCCTTCTGTTCCTCCTCCACTTCATGCAGCACAAAATTTGTATCCGGCACATATCCCATCTCCTTTATCTTCGCCGCCACCTCATCCAATTCTTCGTATATCTCCTTAGCCTCCGGGTGTTTCGTATCCCCCACATAAAACTTATGCACCTTATTCGCAATCTCAATCCAGCTACACCCTGCTTCCTTCACCATGTTCCTCTCTTTCATCCCTTTTCTGATTCTTGACACACTTTCCCACTGTCCTGCCGAAGCATATAGATTCGATAGTAAAACATGAGCCGATGGATCGTTTGGATCTTTCTCAAGAATCATTTCGGCTGCATGTTTGCCGAGTTCCATATTACCGTGTACTCTACAAGCACCGAGCAATGTTCGCCATACTAGTGCATCGGCAGCAAAAGGCATTGAATTGATGAATTGTATGGCTTTATCTAGATGCCCTGATCTTCCTAATATATCAATCATGCAGGCATAATGCTCCATTCTTGGTCTTATCCCGTGGTCTTTGTACATAGAATCAAACTGCCTCCATCCCTCTTCGATTAAACCTGCATGACTACAAGCTGACAGAACAGCAACAAAAGTAACCTCGTTTGGTTCTACACCGGAATCGAGCATTTGCTTGTACAGTTCCAAAGCCCGTTTCGCGAATCCATGTTTGGCGAAGCCTGTGATAATAGACGTCCACGATATTATGTTTCGGTCTTCCATTTCATTGAAAACTTGAAATCCAGCTTCTATGCTACCACACCTGGTATACATGGAGATCAAAGCATTGCAAATACATAGGTTAGACTCGAACCCTGCTTTCAGTAAACGGGCATGTATTTGCTCTCCTTTCCCAACTGCTCCAACACTTGCAGCTCCACTCAAGAGGCTAGCGAATGTAAAAGCATCAGCACCAGCACTTGAATTCTCGATTTCATTGAAGAGTTCGAAAGCCTCGTCGGAGTCCAAATTTCTGGTGTAACCATCAACTAATGCATTATAAGAAACCAAATTCTTTTCAAATAAGAATTCAAAGGCTTTTCGTGCGTCTTCGATCCTGTCACACTTGGAGTACATGCTAATTAGAGAATTACCGACAACACTGACCGTTGCAAGACCCAACTTCGTTGCGTGACTGTATATTTGTTCACCCAATTTCGGATTGAAAAGATTCCCGCACGCCTTCAGCAGACAGGCAAATGTAAAATGATTTGGTTTAACTCTACCTTGTGTTATCATCCTACAGTACAACTCGATAGCTTCATAGTCGTTCCCTCCATTTTGCACATAACCTGTGATAATTGCTGTCCATGACATAACATTTTGATTCGACATTCTATCAAAAGTTTTCCTCGAATCATCCATAGAGCCATCCATGGCTGATTTCGCATACATGTCCACCAAACTACACCCAACGCAGACATCAAAACAGAGGCCATTCTTGACAACCCAGCTATGCAACTGGCGACCAATTGACAACGATCCTAGCTCTGAACAAGCTGATAAACAACTACTAAATGTAAACCGATCAGGAACAAACCCTGCAATAACCATATCCGAAAACAAACCAATTGCGTCTCTGGGAGAACCCATTTGTGTAAACCTCGTAATCATCAAAGTCCAAGTGACAGAATTCTTCTCAGGCATTTCATCGAACACCTTCTTTGCTAACTCCAAATCACCAAACCCCTTGACGAACAAATCAACCATTGCACACCCCACACACACATCGGACCCAAAGTACCCAGTCTTCAGCAGAAACCCAAAAATCTCCAAGCCAATTCTCGCATTTTCTCGATTCGAACATGCCCGAATAGCTGCGGAGAAGCAAAATTCATTTGGATGTTCCCCATACTCCAGCATTTCAACAAACACCAAGACTGCATCCAAATTCAAACCGTTATGCGCGTAACATGAAATCATCGCACTCCAGGAAACCATATCCCTCGCGCCGCCCATGGAACTAAATATCTCCTCCGCTTTTCTCCAGTGGCCGCACTTGGAATACAAACTGATGAGGGAGTTGAGGACAACAGCATCAGGCTGGAGTCTCGACTCGATGAGTCTGGAGTGGACGAGTTGACCCAGTTCGAAGTTTCGGGTCCGTATGCAGGATTTAAGGAGAACGGAGTAGGTGGCAAGGTCTGGGGCGAGATTAGCCCGGGACATGAGATCCAGTGTGGAAACTGCTTCATCGACGTGGCCCACATTTGCGTGGCGGATCAGAGTAGCCTGCAGCGATTCGAAGCTGATGTTCTGGTGAGTCCGAACGGCGGAGATTTTATGGCGGGAGTAGCGGTTAGGTTTGAGTGAAGGTACAGAAGCGGGGAAGGGGGGAGAGAGGCTTATCATCATCTCTGCCTAATTAGATTTCTCTCTCCATATTTTTCTCTCTCATAAAAAATCACATAATATACAAAAAAATTTTATTTTTTTTAATTTTTTTGTAGTAATGCAACGAATTTTTTTGATATAATTTTTTTATTTTATTTTTAAATTCTAACAAATGCTATTTATTTTAAAAAAAATATTCCAGAAAATAAAGCAATAAAAAGTTGGAAAGTTATTTAAGTAAAAAGAAAAACTAAAATCCCCCAGTAGTGTATATAATCAATTTCTCAAAGAAAATTAAATCAGACAACGACCTGTACATTGTTATTTATTCCCTTACCTTAACCAACCTGGCAAAAAAGATTGCCTGAACATAAACCAACCACATCAAATTTCAAATCATACTAAATTAATATATATAACTTATATAAACACAAAAACTTTCACAAACTATCATTATAAAATTCTAAATCCTGCTTCTACAAAAGGCTCTCTCCTCTTGGTTCTGATCTCTCAATGCACCTTTCCACATTGTCTGTGGACGAACGATCACTCCAAGTAAGAGAGCCCTTTCGAGCCAAAGACAACAAGTTTTAAGCCGTATTATTAGGTCTTCACTGTTTGTCTGTTTCCATCTTGATGTTTGTCCGCAAATTCGTCTTCCTGTCCTTGTGCAGCATCGCTTTCATCTTTCGTGAGAAATTTGTCAACTTGTGAAGCTGCTTGTCTTCCTTCAGATATAGCCCACACCACCAGAGACTGTCCCCTTCTGCAATCCCCTGCGGCAAACACCCCTTCCACATTGGTCGAGAAACGGCCATACTCAGCTTTTATGTTTGACCGGTTGTCTTGCTCCAACCCCAGTTTCTCTGCCATTGTCTGAATTTTTTTTACAATAAATGCGTTAAATACACCAAATAACTCACTATAACTATTTTGTGCGCTTAAATTGTGTTTATTAGTTACTACTGACCTGTTCAGGACCAAGGAATCCCATTGCCAGCAAGACTAGATCAGCTTCGATGATCTCCTCTGAACCTTCTACTTCCTTAAATTGGAATCTTCCACTTTCGTCCTTCGCCCATTGGACGCGCACAAGCTCGAGTCCTTTCACAACTCCATCCTCACCTCCTATGAAACGTTTTGTCAAAACTTCATAGGACCTTGGATCCTTGCCGAACTTGGTTGCAGCTTCTTGGTGCCCATAATCTACGCGGAATACGCGAGGCCACTGCCACAAATATAGTCGAAATTTAATCATTAGACCTCGTTATTTTTAGAAATAAATATATCTTTTTCAATTGCAAATGGTTTTTGATCTGATTGTTAAAACTATCGAACCTGAGGCCAAGGGTTGCCGGCAGCTCTAGTACGAGGTGGCTCAGGGAGAAGCTCCAGATTTATGATGTTAGTGCAGCCATGTCTAATAGATGTCCCTATACAGTCGGTGCCAGTGTCACCTCCACCAATCACTACTACCTTCTTTCCCTTAGCAGAGATGTAATTTCCATCCTCGAGATTGCTATCTAGCAAGCTTTTTGTATTAGCATGAAGAAACTCCATGGCAAAATGGACTCCAGAAAGATCTCTCCCAGGAACAGGAAGGTCCCTGCCAAATTAATCCATAAATTATGTACCATACTCAAAATAACCAAAAAAACATTAAATTCTCAAGTATTCAATAGAGAAAAGCGGCAGTCATTATTGCAAACCTTGGTTTTGTGGCTCCTACAGCCAAGATAATGGCGTCATGCTCGTCACGAAGTCGGTCTAGTGAGTAGGAGGGATCTTGACCAACATTGGCATTAACTACAAAGTTGACTCCTTCATTTGCCATGAGATCAACTCGTCTTTTGACTATATCAATTTTGTCAGTCTTCATGTTGGGCACCCCATACATCATCAGGCCACCAACTCTGTCCGAGCGCTCAAATACTGTCACAGAGTGTCCCATTTTGTTCAACTGATCAGCAGCCGCCATGCCAGAAGGCCCACTTCCAACAATAGCAACTTTTTTTCTGAAATAAATAATGCAGCATTAAGTATAAATCTCCAAACACCCAAAATGAAACCTGAAACTAATAATTTATATATACATACCCAGTTCTCTTCAAAGGAGGACGTGGCACCATCCATCCCTCCGCAAAAGCTTTATCTATGATAGAGCACTCTATACTTTTGATAGAGACTGGATTTTCTATAATACCGAGAACACATGAACCTTCACAAGGTGCAGGGCATACACGGCCCGTAAATTCCGGGAAGTTGTTAGTCTCCAAAAGCCTGTCCAATGCTTCACGCCATCTATTTTGGTACACTAACTCATTAAATTCAGGTATCTTATTACCAAGAGGGCATCCAGAGTTCTCCTGCAGTTATCGTTCCATTTTAATCACCTTGGGTCAGTCAGTGTTCTAAAAAATTACACCAATCGAACAAGACATTAAATGCATTACCAAGTTTTCTTACCTGATGACAAAAAGGGGTACCACAATCCATACAGCGAGCAGACTGTGTTTTCAACAGTGGCCCAGGTTTCGACTCTACCATAACTTCATTCCAGTCCTCCATCCTCTCAGTGGGGTCCCTGTATGAAACTCCCTCTCGCTCGTAAGCAACAAAACCCCCATTCTTGACAGGGTTAGAAACACTAGTTGGTCTCTTCAATAACTGTTCCTCTTCAGCCTGTCCATTCAGAAAAGTTAATCAAAGCAGGATTCCTGATTGAATGTAAGCTTATGAACATAAGAAGATCCTAAGTGCGTCCAACTATTGAATGGAAGCATCCCAAAAAAAAACATTTACGTGCCATAGTCATGCTGGTTATTGACAATATCTCAACACCTATTAATTATCCGTTTATTCTCATCCTAAAATGTAAACAAAAAAGGAATTGTTCGAGAATGAGTTACCTGACTGGTATTGTTGTCATCTGATACAACCGACATATCTTTAAGCACTTGAAAAGCATCTTTCTTATTCAACTCGGCCTCTTCTTCCACCTCAGCTTCTTTGGCTGCATTTTCAGCAGCTGCTTTTGCTACATCCCCTGCTTTCATGCTGGCGAGGATGTGTTTGTAGTCACGAGGGAAGACTTTAATAAATTTAGGTAAAAGAGAATCAAAATTCGCAAGCACTTCTTTAGCTAATTGACTGCCTGTGTGCCGCTGATGCTGTTGTATCATCATTCTGAGTGTTAAAATATCCTCCTCTTCTTCAACTGGGTCAAGATCTACCAATTCCAGATTGCATCGCGATTTGAAAGTCGAATCGGCATCAAGAACATAGGCAATGCCCCCACTCATGCCAGCAGCAAAGTTTCTCCCAGTCTTGCCCAGCACAACAACAGTGCCCCCGGTCATGTACTCACACCCATGGTCACCCACACCTTCCACTACTGCTGTAGCACCAGAATTGCGAACAGCAAATCTTTCTGCCGCCATCCCATTAAAATAAGCTTCTCCAGTAGTGGCTCCATAAAGCGCTACATTTCCAATGACAATGTTCTCCTTTGGATCAAATGTGCTACCTTTAGGAGGATAAACAGTTATCTTTCCACCTGACAAGCCTTTCCCAACATAATCATTGCTATCTCCTTCAAGCTCAAGTGTAATGCCAGGGCACAGAAAAGCTCCAAGACTCTGACCTGCACTACCACTGAGTTTGATGTGAATGGTATCCGAAGGAAGTCCAGCCATATGGTAGCGCTTCGTCACCTCATGGCTTAGCATGGTTCCAACTGCTCGGTTAACATTGCAGATAGGTGATTCAATGTAAACGGGAAGACTTTTCTCCAAGGCAGGCTTTGATAGCGCGATTAGTTTGTTATCCAAAGCCATGTCCAAACCGTGGTCCTGTTTCTGCACACAATACTGTGCAGCATCTGGTCTGATATCAGCAGCTGGTCGAAGTAATAAGGACAGATCAATGTTCCTAAGCTTCTGATTGTTCTCAGCCACATCTTTATCCAGTTCAAGCATGTCCGAACGGCCTACCATTTCTCTGAGTGTTCGAAATCCAAGGTCAGCCATGATCTCCCTTAGCTCTTCTGCCAGCATGAAGAAGAAGTTGATGACATGTTCTGGTTCACCAGCAAATTTTTCCCTAAGAACCGGGTCTTGAGTGGCAATACCAACAGGACATGTGTTTTTATGGCATTTCCTCATCATAATGCAACCCAGTGTTATGAGAGGAGCAGTGCTAAAACCAAACTCCTCAGCACCAAGAAGTGCAGCAATCGCCACATCCCTTCCGGTTTTCAGTTGGCCATCTGTTTGAAGAACAGTTCGACCGCGAAGATCATTAGCAACTAAGGTTTGGTGGGTCTCTGCCAGACCAAGTTCCCATGGAAGACCAGCACTTTTAATTCCAGTCCATCTTGAAGCCCCTGTACCTCCATCATGACCAGAGATAAGAACATGATCTGCGTGACCTTTGACAACACCACTGGCTATAACTCCAACACCAGCTTCAGAAACCAACTTCACACTTACACGGGCATCCGGATTTGCATTCTACAAGTACATTAAGCAAAGAAAAATAAGAAACACAAGCATGATTGAATACGAATAGGCGGTCATTAGATAGAGTCATTGTTGACAAAATTACTTTTAAGGACTTTATAGACTTAATAGAAAGTCGAAAAATATAATATGATACAGCATCAAGAACTACCTTAAGGTCGTGAATCAATTGTGCAAGATCTTCAATTGAATAGATGTCGTGATGGGGAGGAGGACTGATTAGACCCACCCCAGCTGTGGAATTCCTGGTCACAGCAATGTCACCAATGACCTTATGACCTGGAAGTTCACCCCCCTCACCAGGCTTCGCTCCCTGCAACATGAAAAATCAACAGTTAGCACCATAATAGTAATAATACTTGGAAGAGCATGTAAAATATACATTCTCATCAAATGCCAGACAGAGGTATCATTTAAATACACCATAAGGTGCTTTGTTGACATGGCATTATCTGTCCATGAATGTAAATCTATAAACAAAATGAACCTTTCTACCGACCCAGTGCATGAGATAAGAAAAGGACGAACAGCAACAGCACAGACCATGAAAAGATATCTCGAGAATAAATGTCCCAATTCATAAAAGGTGTACCTGAGCCATTTTTATCTGCAACTCATCTGCATTTGTAAGGTAATAGCTAGAAACTCCAAATCTTCCACTAGCGACCTGCTTAATAGAACTCCTCTTCGGGTTCCTTGAACCATCAGGAAGAGGCTCCATACGAGATGGTTGTTCACCTCCCTCACCTATCACAAAATATAAAAATAAAATGAAACAGCATACAGAAACATCATGTGATTGAAAATGAAAGACTGAATATGCAACGACAGCAAAAGAACATTGAAGAAAGCTAACAAAGTAAATATTATCTATATCATATTATCCAAGATTCAAGAAGAACAGTCAATGTAGATTTGCACATCGTAATTAAATTACCAAAAAATGAATGATTTTATTAGAAAGGACATAAAAAGGTATTGATAGCTGACCAGTGTTCGACTTTCCCCCAATCTTGTTCATTGCAATAGCGAGTGTTGAATGTGCCTCCAATGATATAGAACCATAGCTCATAGCCCCAGTAACAAAATGTTTCACAATCTCACTCGCTGGTTCGACTTCTTCCAATGGAACCTTTGCTTCAGCATCTTTAAATTTCAGAAGCCCTCTCAAATTACAAGACTTGTTCAATTCTTGGACACGTTTAGAGTACTCTTTGTAGGCAGACACACTGTTGGATCTGGCAGCCTCTTGTAACTTTGCAATGGCAAAGGGGTCATTAAGGTGAACCTCACCACCTTTCCTCCAGTGATAATCTCCTGGATTAGGAAGAGCTACAGCTTCAGCACTACCAGGCGGCAAGGCACGTGTTGGGAAAGCCACCTCATGTAACTGAAGTGCGTCTTGTGCAAGTGCTTCGAAAGTGGCGCCCTCCACTCTGCTAGGAGTTCCCTTGAAGCACCGTTCCATCACCTCTGACGAGAGGCCCACAGCCTCAAAGATCTGAGCACCCTTATATGAGGCCAAAGTTGATATACCCATCTTGGCAAGGACCTTCATCATGCCATAGTTGCTAGCTCTAAAATATTTCTTGACAAGCTCCCCTTTTGGGTGGAATTCACCATTTGCTTTGGGTGGAATTTTTCCATCAACTTGCAATCTCCAAATAGCTTCTACAGCCAAATAAGGGCAGATTGCATCAGCACCAAATCCAACAAGCGTACAAAAATGGTGGACTTCACGAGGCTCAGCAGATTCAACAATCAATGCAACACGGGTTCGCTCGAGGTTCTTCACTAGATGATGATGTACAGCACCAACAGCCAACAGGGAACTGACCGCAACTCGCTTTGGCGAGAAAGCTACAAAAAGTTTAAGAACAACAGTTAAATCAATTAAACAAAATTTTGATGAAAGAAAACAACAAAGAGGACTCCCTTCGAATCATCATTTTCAAGAGTCAGGATAGGATACCTCTGTCAGATAACACAAGTGTTGTATAACCCTCCTTGATTGCAGTATGTGCTTCGGTGCATATTCTGTCTAACGTTTCCTCTAAGCCCTTCTTGCCATGACTCTTGGAGAAGGTAATGTCAAGAACTTTGCTTCTCCATCCCCTGTGGTTCATCTTTTTCATTGCTTCCATTTCTTCAATGGATAGCAGAGGTCCTTTAAGTGACAGGCGGTGACACTGCTCTTCTGTGGTCTCTGTAAGATCACCTTCTGGACCAACCATGCATTCCATGGAGGTAACAATCTTCTCCCGGATAGGATCAATGGGAGGGTTTGTGACTTGAGCAAACATCTGCTTGAAATATTCAAATGTTAGTTTCTCCCTGTTAGACATCACTGCCAATGGAGCGTCATTTCCCATCGACCCAAGGGCCTCAATGCCATCTTTCGCCATAGGTAGTAGCAGCATCTCCAAGGATTCAACAGTGTAACTGCAAACAGAGCAAATAATTAATTACTACTGAGAAATTGGATAGCATAGGCTGTATCAAGTACAAGAAAATATATGCATGACAATACCCAAAAGCTTTTAGTGGTGACAATAAACCATGAAGTCCCATGTTCTCCATATTTTCATCATCGGGAGATGCCTAAATAATTTGACACATTAAACCATGTTAGCTTGTGAAAATGAATAAAAGGATGAGATCAATAAAACCAAGCCACTGAAAGTACTTCTAACCGGTAAAACACCAGCCATGGGAGGAGGGACCCTGTCAGATTCCGGAACAGATTCGACTATGTCTTTCAACTGTAACTTTTGCCTTTGAAGCCACTCTCCATAAGGTCTTGACAGCGAGTATTGTTGCTTCAAGGCTTCATCATCCACAACGACATGCTTCTCAAAGTCCACAAGAAGCATCATACCAGGATTAAGTCTTCCTTTTCTGGATACATCTTCTGGGGGAATATCAACAACTCCAACTTCACTTGCCATGATAACTCTGCCACTATGTGTTACGTAAAAGCGACCTGGTCGCAGCCCATTTCGATCCAATGTTGCTCCCAGATATCTTCCATCAGTAACTGCAATTTATACTATGTAAAAACCAACAGAATATCACAATAAAATGAAATTTGTCTTCTAAAAGACGTACATGATATAAGAGCAGGCCCATCCCATGGCTCCATTAGAGCTGAGAAATATTCATACAGAGCCTTTCGACTAGGATCCATGTTCTTATCATTTTGCCAGGCTTCTGGAATCATCATCATTACAGCTTCAGGTAGACTTCTGCCAGCTCTAACCAAAAGCTCAAGCACACCGTCAAATGAACCTAACAAAAAGATCAATCCAATAAATTAATACCAAAAAGGAGTAATTATACAACATATGTAAAAGCTGAATAATTACTATTTCTACTGAAAGCACTGCGCATCATCATTTTCTGGGCCAAGTTCATGTACATGCAATTTCTTGAAGAATTTTTTCCGTAATTTTACTACCTGAATCAGATGAGCTGGCATCTACAATTGGCAGAAGCTTCTTCATTTCTGCCTTCGATAGGCCAAGCTCCTTACATTTCAGAAGACCCTCACGAGCCCTCATCCTATATATTAACAAAATTTCTATTGGTTATCTTTCTTATAATAATGACAAAAAAAATAGTAAAAAAGAGCAAATGGAGGACGTGATGATATTCTCCACGCACAGAGAAGCACAGGATCATAAAAGGGGCATCAGAAAATGACCTCAGATTCCTACTAAAGAAAGACTACACCTAAAAAAGACTATACTTCCGTTTGCAATGATAAAAAACTTTTTCAGCAAATATTAACAAAAGCCTGACTCAGAAGTGATAATGTGAAGCACGTGAACAGAAGATAAAACCTACCAATTGACATTGCCTCGAAGGGTATTAATTTCTCCATTGTGGCCAAGGACACGCATGGGCTGAGCTCGATCCCAGCTAGGAAATGTGTTTGTCGAGAATCTAGAATGTATCTGCAACAATAATTCAGAGCAACGGATATTAAGAATTATGCTGCAATGAAGTGATGAAATAAATGAACTCTATTTGTAACAAACTTTGTGTTTGTGGCACTTCAATTTTTCATACAGCAGGACCATTCGTATTTACACTGGGACCTAGGCTACCTTTACCAAACACAATCTCCAGTCCACCACACAACAGGTTTTGATCTTAAAAGTGGATCATGGCAGAACAACACCAAGTTTCTGCAAACATTATTTACTTCATAATGAGGTTCCTTACCAACTCACCAAAGAATTCAATCCAGCATCCAAAATCAAATAGTGATCAAGGGTGTGGAAGAACTTAAGAGATCATTCATACGTCAATGCCTCAGAAGTCATTCCTCAACCTTGCATCGCTTGAGTTAATCGGTGGATCCCATGCTGTTTGTTGTGGAAGTGTGGAGTCAGCAGAGAATTAAAAGAGAGAATGGATAAAATATTTACCAGGGCCATGTAGCTCGTAAACCTTTCATTGCCAAGATCTGCGTAGTAGTATCCCTTCAACTGGTCTGGCTTCAACTGACCTTTGTAGACAACAGTCCTGTGGAGAACACAAATAAGTCAACCTGAATTTTTCAAAGCTGAAACATTTCAACATCCAGGCGCCCAGGGAACGAACCTCGAGGACAGAGAACATATGTAGAAGTCTCTCACTGCACCATGTTGAATGTTTAGTGCAGCTCGGATAGCTACCATGGCAACCCTCCTTAATATGTACATCTGCAACGGCAAATCATTAGAATCGTTGGATGATAAGTGAAGAAAGAGAAGAACCTCTAACTTTTTTAAACTAATGTTAGGATACCATTTTCAGAACTAGTAGTGGATACAAACCTGTTGTTCAAAATCAGCTTTCGACCTGGGAGAGGCTGTAAGGAAAACTTGTTCAATGACAGGTTCTGTCTGCATAGCAGAGTTTCCCAATCCAGAGTTATCAGTGGGGACTGAACGCCACCCAAGAACTGTGTGGCCAAGAGATTCAGCCACCTGCAATGCAATCGAATCAAAATTTGTCAGAAAATTCATCATAATGATAAAAGGTCAACAAAAAAAATAGAGTACCAAAAACATTTGCCCTTAAACTACCTTTGCGAACACAATTTTACTTTGTTCCCTCCGGCTGTCTGAAGTAGGCAAGAAAAACATGCCCACTGCATACTCTCCAAGTGGTGGTAGCTCAAATCCAGCATCTTTAAGAGCCTAATTTAAAATCCAAAAACCATCAGAACTGCTGTAAATTTGGTAGAAATCATACAAATTCCTCAGGTGCCCCAATAAAACAGATTAGTTAGTTATCTTTTTCAACGAGTTAATTTTTCAAAAACTAACTCCAATTAAAAACTCATTAATCCAGAAGAATTGAACAAAAATAAATATGAACCAGAAAAAAAAAAAAAAAGAATCAGATTGATTTGATTTAAATGTGCAACTAACAGCAATAGAACCTAACCACTTTGTAAAAATCATGAGGAACGCCGACGAGAATTCCAGCACCATCTCCAGTATTCGTCTCGCAACCACACGCACCTCTATGCGACATGCGCACCAACATCTCAATAGCATCCGTTACCTGCAAATCCATAATACTAATCATTAACAGATCAATACATATATAAACATAAAAGGTATCTTTTTGTTAGTTTGTATCTAGTACGGTACCGTTTTACGGCTGCTTTCACCAGAAAGCTCAGCCACGAAGCCGACACCACAAGAGTCCTTATCAAAAGACGGATCGTAAAGCCCGAGCGGCTTTTCCGGAACCTGAGACATCGAATTCTTCACCACAAACCGTATCTTCGGAGACCGACCCGCCCCGGTCGTCTGCCAGAGATGCAACCTCTCTGCGGCACCGCTCTTCAGGCTCGTGCCGAAAACGAACTTATTCTCCAGGCGTACCGTCCTCTGCTTTGCCGTAAATCCCTGCGACGCCCTAACCCTCCGGCTCAAAGCGGCCACCGCATTTAGCTGGTGACTCGGCGCGCACGGCGGCTTCACCAGGCCACCGCCTTTCACATGAATGCCCGATCCTGACACCGCCGACATGTTTCTCGGAATCCGAAATCAATCCACCGCCTTAAGATAAATCTTACGTTTTTTTTAATTTTGAAATTAGTTACACCAATCGTCGGTAAATCAGATCTGGTGAAATTTTAGGTGATTCAACAGAGTTTCAGGGAAGAACCGATGAAAACCTATCCGAAGGGAGTAAATCTGAAAACAGAAGAAATTATTGGGCGTATAAATAAAAAAAGAGTCCTTATTATTCACGACGGCGAAAAATTCGATAGTATTGGGTTAAGAGAGCAAAGCAATCCGCTCCAACGGAATCTCAAGGGAGAGATTTAATTGGGTAACTCGGTGGGGTAAAAAAACGCCGCCGTGAGCTGGGTGTGAGTTGTGTGAATTTAGCATCGGCGAGAGTACTGAGGTGGTGAATTTATAGAGGTGGGGACTGTGTCCAACACAGCATCAAATTATGAAGTTGCTCGCATGAGGGCTCTCGGTGGGGACCACCTTTTCCGATTCGTATGTGAATATATTTGTGTGTGTGTGTGTGTGTGCTGTATCGTATCTATAATTGTAGGGGGCAACTATTTTGAATACTAATTTTTGCTTAGTTAAATACTACCAAGTTGAAAACCACAATTGAGTACATATTTATAAGTTTTTTCTTACTTTAAAACCAAAATAAAAAGAAAATTACAAAAACACCCTTTCATACAAAATATCAATTATATCAAATTTTATTAGAAATTACCTAATCAAAAACCAAATAAAAAAAAAAGAAAAAAATCCCTTTGTTGTAAAAAAAAAAACTCCAACCCTCTTCAACCCCCGCCGCCGCCGCCGCCGCCGACGCCGCCGCCGCTTCTTCGTCTATTGTTATCAACCCGCCGCCGCTTCTTCGTTCCGGTTTCATTCATCCAAGTAATAATTTTTTTCGAATTTTTTTTCTTTAATATTTACTTAGGATTTGATTGTTTGATATGGGTAATTAGGATTTGATTGTTTTAGGTAGAAATGATCGTTAATTAGTAATGGGTGCATCTAATTTCAGTCGATTCGAGCATTGATTTGAGATTCGTGGGTTGGTTCTTCGTTCACAATTTTCGACCTGTATATGTCGACTTTTGATGAATTTTCGACAGCTTGATGTCGAAAATTCATCAAAAATCGACATATAGTTGTCGAAAAATGTGAATGAAATGGGATTTTTGATAATTCGACAGATAGCTGTCGAAATTTGGATGAGTTTTCGACAGCTAACTGTCGAATATTCAACCAATTTTCGACAGCTACCTGTCAAATTAGATCTGTGTAAATTTTTTTTTTTTTTTCGACACATAAGTGTCGAAAATATGGGTAATTTTCGACACTTAGGTGTCGAAAATTGTATCAAAATTCGACACTTAGGTGTCGAAACTTAATAAAATATGAATTGTTATGTTTTCGACACATACATGTCGAAAAATAAGGGTATTTTCGACCTGTATGTGTCGAAAATACATGGCGAGTTTTAAAAAAAAAAAAAATTCAAAATCGATGTTTTAGCTCAAAAAATACATGAATATATACTTGAATGGGTTCTCATTGCTCGTAAACTACCATTCTATTGTCATTTGACGCCATTTTGCAAGTTGTGTAAGGTTTTGATTTCTTTTGTTTTGAGGTTTTTTAGGAGGGTTTTTGGGGAGGAAGAAGAAGGAGGTGGAGGAGGTGAGGGGTTTGTGAGTGAGGAGATAAATATTTTTTTTAGGTTTTTGATTATTTGGTATTTAAGAAAGAAAAATAGTATTTGTAATATTTTTTGGTTTTAATTTTCATTAAGGGCATTAAAGTAATTTACAATTAATTATTTATTTTTTATTTTTTTGGTATTCAAGTAAGCAAAAGTTAGTATTTGAAATAGTGATCCCCATAATTGTATTTATTTTATTATTTACTACTGTTTGTGATTTAACGGTTGATTTTTTTTATGGAAATAAGTTAAATTGGATGCATTTAAATTTTGATTTTTTATGTAAATGATTTTTTATTATAATATATATATGCGGCAAATTGTTTAAATTATAAGTATTTTTTTCCTTTTATTCCAATTTATTAGTGGCTGTCAAATTAGATGGATAATTACCGAAAATTTAGTAGTAATACGAAACCTAAAAAACGAAATTAGCGCTTTAATTAGTCCTAATGGAGTAAATTACTAATTTGCACTCTCTCCCCTAAAATGATATGCGGCACGCGACAACCGCTCGTGGTGGGTCAGCCGACGGTGATGTAACGGTTCATTAATGGGAAACAAGCGGGTTAGTTTGGTAATTTTGATTACGTTTACAACTAGCCGCCTCTAGGCTCGGTTCCGAGCCTCCGCGGCTCGTGCCTGATTATCCTCCCTATTTAGGTATTTTCTTTTCTTTTTTAACGTGAAAACAAAAATATATGCACGATGGGAATTGTGACACGTGTGCAAAAAAGCAACTGCCACCTAGAAAATTAAGAAATTAGAAAATATTTTCTTTTAAACCACAAATAGATAAACACGAATATCTTCTAAATAAGAAAAAAATGGTATCAGAAAAGCAAAGGAAAATTTATACACGCGGATGATTTGTCACCGACTCTATCCAAATACTAACAGTGATGTGAATGCACAAATTCCCTTTCGACTAAACAGAATCTGTAACCTACAAATTTTCTACTTTCCATTTCCACCTGTATATATATATATTTAATTTAATATTTAATATGACAATACTAAAATTATTTTGTTAGATTAATTACCATAGTGGGTCTATTAAATAACTTATTTTCTTAGGCCCGTTAAAATAATTTTGTTGTAGATGAGTTGTGTTTTGGACCGTGTAGGATAGCCTTCGTAGTAATTAATTGGCCCATTGGATCGGTCCGTAATATTTATTTTAAATTGGGCAGCATAGATTGTGTAATATGATATAATATAATTTTACCATCGTTTTACTTTTTCTAATGAATATTTGCATTTTTGTGAGAAAAAAAAAATTCATAAATTATTTCAAATTTCACATATAAACTTTTAAGTTGTGTTGTGACTTATAAGCTGAGGTGATGTGGAATATGAGAAATGAATGTGATGGAATGGGTGATGACCAGAAATGTTAATGTGGACGTGCCCGCATGTGATAATTAAATCGAACCCCTACGTTGTGTGTCAGAGTTGGGGACAAAGATTTTTCAGTTTTATGTACTTTTGGAAGTTCCACCAATCCCATTACACGACAAATACTTTACCACTTTTGTGTTCCCTTTTTGGACCCCCCACCCCCACCCCAAACCCCCAAGGTAAATATAAACTAAGTAAATAAAGAAGGGTAGTAAAATATATTCACGTGAAAATTAAATTGGAAAATATAATTCCAAAATTATTAGTATTCATTTTAATTTTTTAGTGCTTAAACTTACTTCATATCCACGTGTTTTGCAAGTTTAAAAGTGGAAGCGAATCACATAAAGTAAAAATTGTATTACAAGTTGTAATAGGCTTTTACAATCGGGCCTCGTTCGGTTGCCAAGATAAGATTAATCAAAATAAAATTAAATAATCTAATGAAACTCAATTATATTATTGGACCTTGGAGGATCCAATAAAAAACATGCAACATATTATTTGCGGATCGACCCAACAAGTTACCGGGATATCAAATATCCAACAAAATCCAACTATTTAGTTAATCGTGGCTCAAACCAAACGAGGCCCAAACTAATTGAACTGACCCATTAGTTTATTTTTTAATAAATGAATTATATGAGGTCCAATATGGCCAATCTTAATTATTCATTTCCATTTTAACAAATTTCTAAATAGTTTGATTTGATGCATCTGTATAAAGTAATCACTGTAATTAGAAGTGTATAGTTTTTATTTTGCACTGTTATCATTATGCTGGGATTGTATATATACATATATAATTATTGAAAAAAGATGTGAAACAATCATGTCTATGGGCTTGACTTAAAAGATGAACAAACCTTAAAATTAGGATGAGAGAAAGCCCTATTTTCAGCTTTAATTAAACGTTAAATTAGATCAAACTCTTGAACCATAAGTTTATATCATTAAAATAATGTTAATTAATTATAAAGTTTTAGGAGTAATCATGTTACCGAGTTAGGTGAGGTACCTACTTCCCAACCATGCTACACCTAACACAACTTTTTTTCATGTCAAATTCTCTATTCTTCAAATAATAAATTAAAAAAATGTACCATTAGAATAAAAGTTACCATTAAAAATTTTTAAAAATTACGGCCACCGTTATAATGTTCAAATTACGAAAAGGAAAAAAAAAAAACTCCATCATAATTGGATAATTATAACCACCGCCATCAATTATGGATTGTCTTACATGTCTACATTTACGGTGTAAAATTTACCTACAGAACGGGTTTTTTACCTAAGAGAATACATAGTTAAGGGGGACGATTACAATTACCCAACCAAGAGGATTTTTTTTTCGTAATTTGGTCGTAATTTGTCTTAGGGTAAATGGTAACCCGAACCTAGTAAAAACCATAGTTTCATTTGTGCGAAGCTAAGGTTTGATTATTGGTACCCTAACCTAACATAAATACATAATTATTCTACGGCGTCTTTTCTGAGCTCCACTAATTACTCCTAATTTATTCATGTCATTAATTTCAAGAAGTTTTAGTAATAAATAATCACATAATTAATTAATATTATTAGGGTCAATGACTCAACTGTTCTTAATCAATTAAAATGCCAGGGAGATCCAGCTAGCAAACAAAAGTTTCTTTATTGTGTATACAGAAATTCCCAAGTACGGCAAATTATGCAAATAAATTTTGAATTTTAATATTATTTCTTTAACTATATAATTTTATTTATAGTATTACTGCCAGTAATTAATTAATTAGTTGGCTTGTGTTGTTGCAAGGTGGGGCCTTCTACGTTTGTGTTAGTATGTTTTTTCCGATATTTTAATATATTTTTATAATTGAAAAACCACGCCTAAATCTTTGATTTAAATCTTATAAGATACGATTATCAGTTATCATGTGAAATTATAGTAATTAATTTCCATGAAATTCTTCACGGAATATTAGTGGATTAAAAATAAAATTTCCACCTGATAAACACATAGATCCAAGCACAAACACTATTCTATATTTTAAAAATAAAATAATAATTGCCATTATTTAAATGGATGCACTTTGTTCTAGGTATTCCAGGTCTTATATCCAAAAATAATTCAAACGTTTTACCAGAGGTAATTATTTTTATTTTTGTAAAAGGCATCATTTTATAATTGGATTATGTCAATTCCGTAAATTCACCGGATTTGGCGATACAAAATATTGGAATCTCGAAAGACTAATAGGTAAATGAATAAATAAGTGAATTGCTTTTTATAAGAAATATAAAAAAAATGTGAATGCATCAATCAATCAAAAAAACAAAATTGCATGCATGAACAATCGTGTATGATTAAAACACAACACTGACCAAGTTTATATGTATAGAATATTCGGGTTCTGGTCTGGTGGTAGGTGCAAGTGAGTCTATGTCAATTGACTCTAGTTCGGATCTTCTTGTCAATGATCTTTAAGTCGAGCTTGTCGTTTGTCACACATAGTTAACTTAGTATATTTTATGTTTTTCGTGTGGTTTGCATACAGCTATATAGTTGGCCGCAGTGGCGGATGTATAATAGGTCTAGGGTGTGCACTTGCACACCCTTGGAATTTAAAAAAAAAAAAAAAAAAAAAATTATATATATATATAAAATAACTAAGGCAACTTTTAATATATTAAGCTAAAAGGGGACTAATGTGAAAATAAGTAAAATATAACACATTTACTTAGGTGGTGTTTGCAAATGATTATTTAAAAGCAGAAGTTAGTGATTGTGATTTAAGTTAGTTTTAAGTGCTTATTTCTAAAAGTTGGGGGTGTTTGCAAATATTTCGGAAAATGAACTAAAATTGAAAAAGCAGGGTTAGAGGTGCTTTTAAAAAAATAGCTTAAAGCAGATTATTTTAAAAGAAGCAAAATCAAAAGTTGATTTTGCAAACACCTAAAAATAAATTATGAGCAAAAAAAAACCGCATAATCACTTTCAATAAGCATTTGCAAACACCACCTTAAAAGTCAACACAATGCTTTTCACTTTATTTTCCCAATTTCTCACGGCAGCAGAAGTCACGGTAGCAGAAGCAACAGAAACAAAAAAAACTTTTTTTTTCTTTACCCACAAAAATCCCTCCCCATTGTACCGGCCAACACTGGAAAAAAATTAGCCATCGCCGCCACTCGCCAGCTCACCGAGGCGCATCTAATCCACTCAAATCAATGGCTAAACGACAACAGGTTAGCAACAATGGGTTCAAGAATTTATGATTTAAGGATTGGAAAAAGGGGTTTTGATTAATTGGAGTTTTGTAGATATTTGGTTTTTTTAAATAGCAAAACTCAAATATCTAAGTGGGAAGTCGAGAAAAAGGCATAGAATGTTTTGTGGGGCTGCACTGCACTGCACGTGCGTTTATATAAATATTTTGTTAGTGTGTACATAATGAGAGAGAGATTGTGAAGAAAAAGACAACATTATTTCGATCAGAACAACAATCAATTTTTAATGAATTTTGTGAAATACATTTTCTTTAAATTCAAGTGAGAGTTGAAATATATGGTTGCCACAAACGTGGGCCATGTTTGTGACTGTTTCTCTGTTAGTGTCTTATTATATTTGGTTTTTGTTGTAATACATATTCTAAGTGAGTGATTAGATTCAATTAAATCAAGTATTTTATTATATGTGAGTCAGAGTAACAATTATCAATTAATAATATTTGGGGATTAACAAGTTAATACTGCTAAAAATTCTTGATTTATTTTGTTATATGAGACTTATATCGATTGATGCGAATTTATCTTTAACTCTTGCCCATTCTATTTATTTGTAGAATATGGATCGATTTGTGATAAAAACTAAACGTCATCGGCTAGGAGAATCATCTACTTCAAATGATAATATCACAAATGGAACGTCGACTAATGATAACGTCCAAGAAGAAACGCAGACTAATGTTAGAATCCAAGAAGAAATGCCAATTAATGATAGCGTTCCTGAAGAACATGCTCAAGGTATTCACAATCAATCGCAAGTAGAGGTTAATTTGAGTGCTATTGAAGCTGACCCGGGATTGAGATTGCCTATTAGTGATCTTGCCAAAACTTCTAAAGAGCTTGAAATTGTTCGAAGAGCTTACTTACAAAAAGGTCCTTGTCAACCTCGACTCTGTAAATTTCCTCAAACTACTTCCTATGGACAACAACGCAAATTTATTGTAGATTGGTACAATGAGTTTGGTAGTTGGTTGGAATATAGTGAAAGTAAAGACGCGGTATATTGTTTATGCTGCTATCTATTTAAGGTTGGAGAAAGTGCCAAAGGGGGCGGTGGTAAATTCGTCAGTGAAGGTTATAGAAACTGGTACAAGAAGGAAAATTTGAGAAAACACGAGGGAAATCATGACAGTGTTCATCATCATTGCTATATGGCTTGTCAAGATTTGATGAATAATAAAGGTCACATAGATGTTCCTCTTGAGAGCAAAACTAAGGAATCTAAACGCGACTACTACATTCGGTTGCGTACAACAACGAAGGCCATTAGATATCTATTGAGGCAAGGACTTGCATTTCGGGGGCATGACGAGTCAAAGAGTTCGCTAAATAAAGGTAACTTTGTGGAACTTATAAAGGTTATGGCGGAAGATAATGATGAAATTAACAAAGTTGTTTTGGATAACTCCCAAGGAAATTGTATTATGACAGCACCAGAAATTCAAAAACAAATCATTGGTGCGTTTGCTCATTTAGTCTCGAAGACAATTATTTCTGATATTGGAGATGATTTCTTTGCTTTATTAGTTGACGAGGCACGTGATGTCTCCATTAAAGAACAAATGGCGGTTGCTTTACGTTATGTAAACAAGGGAGGAAAAATTATTGAACGCTTTCTTGGCATTGTTCATGTTCCAAATACGACTTCACGATGTCTAAAAGCTTCTCTTGAGTCTCTTCTTACAACATTTGGCTTGAGTTTGTCGCGAGTGCGTGGCCAAGGTTATGATGGAGCTAGTAATATGCAAGGAGAGTTTAATGGTTTGAAGAGTTTAATATTGAAAGAAAACAAGTCTGCTTTTTATGTTCATTGTTTTGCTCATCAGCTTCAGTTAGCTCTTGTGCAAATTACTAAGAAAAATAAGCAACTTTCAGAATTTTTTGGTTCTCTTGCATTGTTGGCTAACGTTATTGGAGGTTCTTGTAAACGTCAAGAGTTGCTTCGGGAGAAACAATTTGAGAAGTTAATGGAACGAGTTTCTTTTGATAATTTTGTAAGTGGTAGTGGTTTGAATCAAGAGTCCACTTTAAAAAGGCCCGGAGATACACGTTGGAATTCGTATTATTTCACAATCACGAGTATGATTAAATTGTTTCCTTCGGTGGTTGGTGTACTAGAGTACTTAGAAAATAATAGTGATGATGTTTCTCATTGTGGACAAGCCTCAATGCTTTTAAGGAATATTGTGTGTTTCGAGTTTGCTTTTGTCTTGCACTTAATGAGATCGATCTTAGGGATCACAAATGATTTGTCACAAGCACTTCAAAGGAAGGATCAGGACCTTGCAAATGCCATGAAACTTGTTATTTTTGCTAAAGATCGACTGCAAGAGTTGAGAGAAGGTGGGTGGGACGATTTGTTGCGAGAAACTTCATCCTTTTGTGTTCAAAATAACATTCTCATTCCAAATATGAATGATGATTTTGTACTTTACTCGAGAGATGGCAGAGTATCGCGAAAAGGTACGCAAATTACAAACTTGAATCATTATAAGGTTGATGTGCTTTATACAGTGATCGATCTTCAACTTTCAGAATTGAATGATCGTTTTGACAATACTAATACGGAGTTACTTAGTATGATATCATGTTTTGATCCAAGTAATTCGTTCTCTGCATTTGATAGAAAGGCTTTGGTGAAATTAGCTGAATTTTATCCTGAAGAGTTTGATGATAATGATCTTGTAGCCCTTGAAAACCAGCTTGAGAATTATATCAGGGATGTTAAAAGTGATCAAGAATTTTCAAATATGAGTGGAGCTAGCAGGCTTGCTGAGAAGTTGGTTGCCAAGAGAAAAAATGTGACTTATCCATTGGTGTACTTATTATTGAAGTTGTCATTAATTTTGCCGGTTGCAACCGCATCAGTTGAAAGAATATTCTCTGCAATGAAGATTGTTAAGTTGGAGCTACGCAATCGAATGGGGGATCAAATGTTGAATGATGTTTTGGTGTCGTTTATTGAAAAAGATATATTGAACGGCGTTAGTATTGATGAGGTGATGAATTTTTTTCAAGAAATGGGACCACGCCGAAAGATATTCTAAAAACTTTATATTTGTATGTAAGAGAATGTACATTTTTAATGTCTTGTACATTTTTTTTTTTTGCATGTTTATGTTTATTTTTTATTAAATTTCGCACACCCTTGACGTAAAACCTGGATCCGCCACTGGTTGGCCGCAGATTCCTTTATTAAAAAATAATAAAAATAGAACTAAATAAATAATTTAGGTGATTGTTATATTGTTGTCTTGTAGTCAATTGCGTAACAAATTGTGTACTAATTAAATCTCATTTCCTCCGATGCGGCGAATAGACAAAATCTCTCATTTTTTTATTTAATTTTTTATTTCTTTATTTTTTGTGAGATCTAAACGGACAAAAAATGTTGATCTGGAATGACAGTAACTATATAAACATCAATCTCAAAATTGTATAGACAACGTATTATTTATTTTATATACATATATATTTGAATATATATATATATATATATAGTTGGTGGGGAGGTCGTGGTTTGTGACGAAATTGAATTGGGGAACATAGATAAATACAGTTAGGATAATACACCATGTCTGGAAGTTAAGGGACCATAAGTCATGGTCTTGTGGCATGTATTGCAATAAAATGTCATCTTCAAATCACAAAATGCAAAAGAAATTGTGTTTTTTCCTAATTTGAATCTTGTTTGGCAACTTCATAGATACAAGTAATAAGCAACAAATAGTGTTGAAAAAGGAATCTGGTTAGTATCATATGCAACAAATTATGCGCCTACTCTATTTTATTTGGTCAATTTGCTAAAAAAATTGTCCAACACTAATACGTTTTCAGATTAGGACAACGGGATTTTTGAGATGATTCCGTTTATGAAACGGTACACGATCTAAAAAAAGAAAGAAGAAATATTTCGGGTTTTTCAACGTAAAACGACGTAATATTCAATTAATTTGTAGAGGTATATTAGTGAATACTTTATTTTAATTATTTAAAGAAATATGATGTTTTGATTAATATTTAATTAAAAATAGAGTCGTGAAGGGGTTGAGTCAAGTTGCAAAAAGGTCAATAGAAATTGTAGTAGTAGTGGGAAAAAGTGATTGGCTGTTGAAACAAGTGAGTGGCTAATCAAACACACTTCCCCTTTCTGTACTCAAAGGGTCAGAAATTGAAGAGGCGACCAGTACTATAATATATATATATATATATGTATCTATCTATATATTTATATGTATCTATATATGTATGTGTGTGTCTGCACTGACAATTACACCAAGTTGTTGGTTTGAACTCTTGCACTTTGTAATATGTATTTTATAATTTATTTATAAAAAAAAAAAACATATCATAGATCCTATAAAATAACCGAAAACAGACCAATCATTGAATTTAATTAAGAAAAAAACACACAGTAAAACACGCACACAGTGATGTATTTTAGCAGGTTTGGCTGCTGAAAAATGAAAGGGACTTGTCAATAATGTTTTTATTTTATTTTATTTTAATGCATGTTGTGGGTGGGTGTAGTGTATGGGCTGAATCTTTGTGGAATTATTTGTATTGATTTATTTTTTGTAATTGTAATAAGTTGAATCTGATGATACTCTGAATATTCATTTAATTTCTGGTGTAATATAATATGTGTGTTGTTACTGTAGATAGAATATTCATTCATGGCAAGGTGTTGGTCTTATATCATTTGCAGAGATGACTTTTCCTACCTTGACTATATCATTATATATAATATATGTACACTCTCTCTCTCTCTCTCTCTCTCTCTCTCTCTCTCTCTCTCTCTCTCTCTCTTATGTAAATATTAATTATTTTATTGGATTTATTTTAACAACTAAAGTTTTAGTAAGCAAGTGGAGAATGGGATCTTGGAAGAATCTCAGGGATTCAGACAATTCTTATATGTACAGTGGACAACCATATCTTGTAGTACCATACTTTGATGACAAATATAAAGAGCATTGACCCATACTGCAATAATTTCTTAATAATAATTATTAAATTTTTTTTTATGCATAAATTTTCTCGTAGGCCATGTATTAGTTAGTACTTAAAATTTGTGGTGTGCATTCCTTGTTTGAATTTGGTAGGTGAAAAATTAATAAGATGCAAAGGATCAAACGTAGCAATTTGGTAATGGGATTCTATCATACATGTTAATTGATAGTAACACAAATCAATTTTAAAATGAAAAATTGGTACAAAATTTCTAAGGAAAATAGGTAGTTGATGATACCATTTGATTTTTTTTTTTGTTTACGAATAAAGAACCTAATTTCTTGTTTTATTGCGAGAATTGTACCTGGAAATGATTTAGGGGCAACAATAAATAAATAAATAAATTAATACAATTAAATTTGTTTTGGTCCTCCATAGTTGTGGGAAGTTGGAAAATTAGGTAGGGGGAATCTTAGTACAAGAGGAGGGGTAATATGATAATTAAGAAGACTTATCAACTGGCTTTTGCAGTTTTGGTGGTTGAGATTCAGACTTTGGCCACCTACCCACCTAGTACCTTGGAATTGTTAGTGTTAGTTGGACATAATTCAAACACGTTTTTCTTCTGCACTGTTTAGCACTTTATCTACAGTACACGCGCCACCCCCCACCCCCACCCCCCCACACACAAAAAGGAAAAAAGAAAGGGAAAAAAGGGACTAATATAGGTAAGTTAAAGAAGCATATGATTTTAACTGGTTTCCAATCAAGATTATGATCCCACAAATTTAAAATCAATTTATAGGGTAAATCATAAATCACGAAGAACACCGATATCGGAGGTACAAACGTCAAGACGACGACTGCATTCAACATTTTCACAAAATAAATAAATAAATAAAATTTGACAAAGCCACACAAACTGTAGAGACTACCAGACTTGGATTACCCGAAGAAAGAAACAAACGGGATTTTGCCGTTATAAAAAAAAGGGCGGTAACCAAACAAAAGAAAAGACCGACTTCCAGTTTCGGAAGAAAAAAAAAACCCAGGAAAATAGGCACACGTTGAAGTCGTCAACTAGATTTCAGTGTCAAAGAGACGAACTGTCAAATCAGAAACCATCCGACGAGCAAACGGAATATAACTTAAGCTGTACCTGCATTGGTCCAATTTATTTGTGTGAGTAATGAGCGCATTAATAAACATATACACAGTTTGGCAGTAATTATTAGCCTATACTGCGTAATTCATTCATAATATTGCCTAAGATCATTGTTTTTATACATTTATCAGATCATCGTTATAATATTCAGAAATAGAAGGTTGAATGGATTAAATGGGCTTGTAAGCCTCTATTTTCACTCGTGCTTCCTATGTTTTGACGATTGACAACTTCTACAACGGCTATAAGCTGTTTCAGTTGGACATATTTTTTTCGATTAATTGATTAATTGTACCATAGTCTCCAACAATATACAAGTGCAATTCAGCAGATTAACATATTCTGGCTTTCATTTCATCAAGTGGAAAAGAACACTATTTAATATGCTTAGGCCTCGTTTGGCTGCCAAGATAATATTACCAAGATAAGCTTAAATAATCTAATGAAAATTCAATTATTTTATCTGACCGCGGGACGTCCAACAAAAAGGCTTCCTAAAAGGCAAGATAAGCCATGATAACATAATATTTGCGAGTCGACTGAGCAAGTTATTGGAGGTACCAAACATCGAACGAAGTCCTTTTATTTAGTTAATAATGGCTAATCTTCCCAACCAAACAAGGCCTTAGAGAAATCTAACTCAAGGGTGATTCTAGCTCGTAGTATCTTTTCAATTCAACTAAAGTAGAGTAAAATATTAAGCATATGTAAAGATTTGTCTTTCACGATGTTCAGTTGAAGTTACAAGGCACACTAACTATGCAGAGTCAAGTTGGTTCCTAGAAATTCTATCAAATATACGAAATATACGAACTCTAAAATAATTAAACGAAGTGCGTTTGCAATTCTACAAGACGAGAGAGATTTGATACACAAACTTACCAAAAAAGGGCGCATATTTCACAAATAATAGCAATAATGGTAAGAATCTTGCTGTGGATCTGCAACATATCAAATCAACCACTTAGTATATATACAGTTACATATATTAATGTACACATTAACGAGCGAAAAAGTAAACACACGATTATCTAAGTTTCTAATTCTCCTTTGTTCCGAGTGGTACACTACACCAGTATATAAACATTATTATTATCTGGTGCCCGAGTAATTCACAAGACTTACCAAAAGAGCACAAACAAGAGCCACGAGCACAGACCCTAAATAAATCGATGTAGCGTAGACTCGTACAGTATCAAACATCATTCTTAGCTGCTGCCCATGTCCAATGAGGAAAGCTGTGCTGTCAAAATACATACAGTAACTCAGTAAGAATTTCGTACTAGCGTTCGAATTGTTTTAACAGTGCGGTATATAATACAAAAAATCGAAAAAAATTAAGCAATAAACATAGGTTTATTTATACCTTCCAACAGCCAGCACATTGCCAAAGGTAAATAATAAAGCAAATTTGATGGGGCTTGCAAAAACAATCAGTGACTGCAAATAAATAAAAACACATTCAATAATTGATTAATTCCCCATAAAAAAAATGTGACTTCAGAGGAGGATCATACTGCACAATTGGTTAATACATTGTTACAATTATTGAAATAAATTGGAAAAATTGAGGTGTGAATTTCATACCAGGAACATACAAACAAGTCCAGAGAGTGAACAAGCAGCAAACGCATAAACCCTCTGCTCATTTCAAAGGCAAAATAAAGCAACAGCAAATTGCGAATCTCGGTGGGTTATTATATATATATATATATATATATATATATATATATATATATATATATATATATATATATATATATATATATATGTGTGTGTGTATGCATATATCGACGGTGAATACCTGAACGGGGGAGAGAGAGCAGAGACCTTCAGTTTCATCAAGCAAGTAACCTTGCTGCTGCTCTTCTTCGTCGTTACCTTGGAAAAATTTCCACATTTTTAACGATTTTTCAGTTCTGTTGTGTCATCAGATCAAGCTTTCCGATTTGCTGTTTTGGGGCCCCAAAGGTCAATTCAAAAGGTGGGGGGGCTTATGCAATAAAATTATTCTGTGAGGACTATTTGCAAAAACTCCCCCAAACTTTGCAATACCTCCATTATCCGACTCTTTTCTCCGCTTTATTTAATTCTAAACCAAAAACGACACCGTAATAGCGTACTCTCGTTTTACCCCCTTCCCCCTCACAAATCAGAAACCCTCAAAACCTTCACAAATCAGAAACCCTCGTTTTCCAAAAGAAGAAGAAACCCTGGTTTTCCACTGAAACAGCGGGGAAAAGAGGGAAGAAAAGGAAGAAAAGATGTCGTCGACGCTGCTGGAGGTGACGCGTGCGGCGCACGAGGAAGTGGAGCGGCTGGAGCGGACCGTCGTGAAGGATCTCCAAACCGAACCGCAGAACACCAAGGACCGTCTCTACCAGAGCCACCGCGTTCGCAACATGATCGAACAAATCACCTCCACCACTCATAAAATCGTATGATTTTTTTTTCACTAGTTTCACACATTATCAGTATATATAGTTCATAGTTTTTGTTCATTTAATTTGTTACAGATGCGTTCTCCTCGTGTGTTTTATGTTGCGCCTTTTTGTTTGCTAGATTGAAATTTATGAAGATAAGGATAATGCTCGGAAAGATGAGATTGCCGCCCTAGGTGGACTGAGCTCCACGTCAACGAATGTTAATGTTTATAGTGCATTTTATGACAGATTGAAAGAGGTACCTGACCCAACTAGGGTTTTGATATTGTTTGATAATTATTATTTGTTTTTTTCGATTTTTGGTGAATGTTGTTGATGCTATGTGTTGGCATTCAGATTCGGGATTACCACAGAAGGCATTCAGCTGCACGTTATGTTGATACAACTGATGAGTATGAACAGCTTCTTAAAGAGGAGCCGGCTATCGAGTTCACTGGGGAGGTAAACTCTCTCCTCCACGTATATTAAAATGCACATTACGCAGATTATCAGGACCTATGTAATTTTGTGGTTGATTTTGTTGTTCAAAAGAGAAATACGCACTGATTTTTGCCTAGTTGTTCGGAATTTAAGATAGTTTTTTTGGTATTTTTGTTTCCTTATGTATTAATGTAGTAACTTGGTGGTTTCTTTTTATGTTTAAGAACAACTTGTGATTGGCTTGATTAAGTTTCGTCTGATGACTATTTGTTCGGGTTAATTTTCATCTAACTTGATGGTTCCTGCTAGTTTATGTGATCCAGTTAGGTGTGTACCGGATAATTCTGTTACATCTCTTTGCTCTCTTAGTTATCCTAGAAAGGGATTAACCTAGTGTCTCATAGATGTATAAAATGTTTTTTTATTATCAGGTACTGTGGCTTTTGGCTAAATTTTGCATGATTCGATCATATGTAGAGATGGGCAAGAAAGGTTTTCATCAGTTCTCTTAACATTTGTCAGCCTCTCCTTTGTTTCTGGAAGTGGGACGTCATAATGAAATAGGAATTTTCTATTATTGCGGAAAGTAGACTTGACGTTTATCTATAATCAATTTTGTGGTTTTGATTTCAGGAATCCTTTGGGCGATACCTTGATTTGCATGAACTATATAATGAGTACATCAATTCCAAATTTGGTCAGCAAATTGAGTACTCTGCTTATCTCGATGTATTTTCTGACCAAGGGAAGATATCCCGCAAGTTGAAGTTGACTAGGTACAGTTATTATGCTCGCAACTCTCTTTGTCCAGAATATGTCTTTCAAACTATGAATATTGTATATTTCCTTATACTGCTACATTCTGCGTACGTGTAGTTAAGATACATAATATTGGGGATAACAAAAAAAATGTTTCTGTTGATGGTCATGTGACATAAGTGAAGAAGTTATGTCTTGTCATGCAAAATAGTCAAAGTGATAATGTTTTGTGTCCAAATGAGCTTTTCCACTTGTACATCATGCATGTTATGGTCCTCTCCGGGACTTAGTATTGGCTGTTTAAATGATATATTCGTATATTCGTTCTTGTTATGTACTAACTAATCAAAAGAGTCATAATACTTTGTGATGTCTGAACATGTTACAGAACAAGAGTTTAATTGCAAAATATGTGTGTTCTATATTGTTATACTTTGGTTGAGCATACTAAAGAATCCTCTTCATGATATTCAATATATTTATCCTGATTACTCATTGCTATTCATATTATACTATATTGAGTTTAGTAATCAAAAGAAAGACAACATTGATAGTAGTTAGGCTGTCTACTGCCATTGTTTTAAGAGAGAGCCATTGATAGTGTAGGGGTGTCTATTAGATAACTATAACTGCGTAACCTTACTGGTCCATGAAGCAATAATGAATAACGGATAGTTAACACAGATGCCGCTTTCTGCTATTGTATCATGTATTATAACCCTCTCTTGTATTCTACAGGCAATATCGGGAATATATGCAGAGACTTTTGGAGTATCTTGTTTACTTTTTTGAGCGTACAGAACCTTTGCAAGATCTTGAAAGAATATTTTCAAAGGTTAGCTTCAAATCCATTGGCATTCATCCTTGATACCTGTCCTTTTTTACCTTGACGCTTGTGATAAAATGTACTGCTTGTTTTATTGGACTTAACTGCTTTCACCTCTGAATCTGATATACTGATCCAATTCCAATTGATTCAATTTGATTTGTCTTGTCTTCCCATGATTTGTCATTTATTTCACTGGCTTGGACGTTTGGCACTGTAGAAACAGATGACCAGTTTCATGTGTTCACTTTCTGATCAAAATAAGTTTCTCTATCCATTGTTAATAAGATTCTGAGTAGTCTCGAGTCTTGACTCTTGCAGGTTACTGTTGAATTTGAAGAGCTGTGGAGCAGTGGACTAGTAGAAGGATGGGAGAACGAGAATCATGAAGATGGAAATATCCAACAACAGATTGCACTTATTGATCTGGATTATTACAGTACAGCCGAACAGCTAACAGAAGTAGGACCTGAGAAGTTAAAGGAGGTAATGCATGAGTTTTTGGGAAGCATCTATAGATAATTCTACATATATATTTGAAATAACTATATTTAGTTCCACATTTCATTTCTGTGTTCAAATTCATGCAAAATTGCTAATGCATGCTGTACTAAATTGGAACTTGGAAAGTAAACACTTATCTGATGTGAACCTGTAGATCTTTCATTAAACTTCCAGTTATATCCTAGCAATAGTTCTGAAAATGAAAACTAGTTGGTCAGTGCATGTAGAGATGGGGATCCTTCATATTGTGGTGTTTTTTGTTTGTTGTACTGTCTGGTGGGGTTATCTTGCTTCTGATTCATAGTTTGCAGTACTATATTTAATTCATAACAAGCATTTGACTTCCCTGTTTATGTTTATGACGTTGACTCTGCTTTATAGGCTTTGGCTGCACTTGGTCTTAAAACAGGAGGTACCGTAAAACAGCGTGCAGAGAGGCTTTTTCTTACTAAGGTGAGGTTATAACCATTTTTATGTGATTTGTCAAAATTTTGCTACTTGTCTGTTGCTTACATGTGATATAAGCAGATTTGCTCTCCCCTTGCAAACAATTCTTTCTTTTTTATTTCTTTTTTGTTTAGTGTGTTGTCTGCTCTTATGCAAGTATTACTAGTTTATGTATCTCTCTAGGTGAGTAAACAATGTGCATCTTAAATTTGTTGATTTTTTCGAACTTCACCTGTAAGTTTAGAGTCTGCAGCTTGTCTTATTCTTCTGAGGTTGAGCAGAACTCTGCTCAAGAAATCTTTATCTTAAACTTCCATGGACGAATGAAGAAACTTAACACTATTTTTTTTCACATAAAATTTGACCTGGTTTATGAAACACATTGGTCATTTAAAAGAAAATCCCTTTTGCAGGATACACCTCTTGAAAGTCTGGATAGAAAACATTTTGTCAAAGGCTTTCGTGGACCCGAACAAAATGGTGGTGTTGCGGCACTACAATCCAGTGAAGATGCAAAAGCTATTGCCTTGATGGAAGCAAAAATGAACAAGTTGTGTGACCTGTTGTCTGAGGTAAGCTAATGGCTATTGCTATGTTCACTCTGACTCCTTCGCTCCCACATCCTTCCATCATTGTGCCATGTCTTCATTTTGTACTGCAGTCGCTTTTATGTCCTCAACCTGCATTCTGTGTGTTTTGTCATTGTAGCTATTTACCAGGTCCCCTGGTTTTCTGTTTTAGTTTTACTAGTCTAGTGAGCTATTGAAGACATTGTGACTTTCATGAACACTGAATTATACTTACGTTTACTTGATTTTTTGCAGACAATCGTGCGGACAAAAGAAAACATTGAAAAGAAACACGCCTTGACGTATGATGAAATTGTACAAGAACGTGAAGAGGTACTATCTCTGCAAACTGACTCCCAAAAAGAAATAAAAAAAATAATATAAGGAAATAATAACTTATCCCCATGCACTAAGAAAACAGTAGAAGAAGAAAAACCTCCTAATACAACAGTAATCATTTAGGTTTTTGGTCAACTTTTAGCAGTGTCTTGAAGTCTTCAGTTTACCAATTATGCTACATGTCTCGCTCTCTTTTAATTAATTGTATATATTTTTAGTAGAACCCGTTCCTTGATTCAAGACTATCAAACTCTTGCATGATTCATGATCATGTTTTACACCAAGGAATCACAACAATATACTTATGTATATTCCTTTAGCACACTTGTAAAGATATTCTCCTTTTCTTTTCAACATTTCAAATGAATTACTATTATCATTCTGAGTTGCTGCACGGAATGATTGATTTTCCTATTTGTTGAAGTAAATCAGAGAAAAATTACATGCTGGAAAGAACCTTCTATGCCTTGATATCTTCAGAAGGTTATTCAGGGCGTCGCAGTGCTTATATTTTAATCTTCATATGGCAATTTGCTGTTGTCTTGTGCTCATTACTAAATGGATAAATAAAGTTATATTGGTGTTAGGTAGATATTTACTTATTGCATGCATGCAGCTATTATAAGATACAAGTTGATTGGAAGTGTGACCAGTTCAGTTCTATATTGACTGACATATAATTTCATATGTTCGAATTCTATAATCAGGACGAAGTGCAACCTGAGTCTGAAAGTGATGATGAAGATCAGCAGATCTACAATCCCCTAAAATTACCCATGGGTTGGGACGGAAAGCCTATACCCTACTGGTTGTATAAGCTTCATGGGCTTGGTCAGGTAATCATAGCTTAAGAGATGCAGCTTTATAGTCAATAATCACATAATTTTCTTAAACACAACAAACAAGCAACAGTCAATTACCGAGTTAAGCGCACCTATTTGTTCCTTGCATATCACCCGCTCAATAACTTGTTTATGTTATCAGGAGTTCAAATGTGAGATATGCGGGAATCACAGTTATTGGGGTCGCAGAGCCTATGAACGCCATTTCAAGGAATGGAGACACCAACATGGAATGCGATGTCTTGGAATTCCAAATACCAAGAATTTTAATGAAATAACATCAATTGAGGTACTCTTTCTAATAATTTTATTTTCTCCTTCATTCTGGATTTCTGTAAACAATGATTCGCACCACTGATACACCTTTTTGTGGAAGCATAAGATTTTATGATGCATTAATATGGTTGGATGTTTACTTATTATTTCCTCACAATATTCTTCTTCCCTGTAGGAAGCAAAACATCTCTGGGAAAGAATTCAAGAAAAGCAAGGGGTAAACAAATGGCGCCCGGATCTTGAAGAAGAATACGAAGATCAAGAGGGCAACATTTATAACAAGAAGACATATACTGATCTACAACGTCAGGGTTTGATATGAAGGAAAGTACACTCTACCCATTTTGAGTAAATTCGTGGATTTCATGGTATTAACTAGAAAGAACCATCCAGTATTTTAGTTGGCTTCCCTGTGTATTGAAGAAATATTTTAATCTCTTTCAGGAACAATGGCCCTGAATACATGGTGCTTTGATGGCTCAGATGTTGGCTATTTATCTGTAAGGCCTTACATTCGTGTAAGCAAAGCAGGCTTGAGATCCAATTGGATTCAAGTGACCTGCTATAAGACTGCCTTTTGCCCAAAAATGAGACGGGATCACTAGCATTCTTAAGAAGCTTGCTTGTATTGGTTACTTTATAACTAGTAATTCTGCTTATGATGCACGGGTCCACAAACACATGCATGCTTTATTACCTCTCATTACTAGGTGGCTGTTATAATTTTGGTTCATGGGTGAGATTGTCCGTGATATTGTGCATACGGTTATATTTAATTGATTTGTGAAGTGTACGTGGTTGTGTTCTCATAGTCATTAACCTGAAATGCAGCTGCAGGCCCCATGGCCTGGCCATGCCTTTATTAAAAATTGTGCAGAAATGTTGGAAAAAAATAACAGACCTTTTCGGTTCTCTAGAAAAAAATCACGGGGACCAAAGGCCGGACGCAAGAGGCCCATTAAGACTGAAACCCAACAAGCCAGGTCTGGTCCCAAGATAAGGCCCACTAAGAAGCCTATAACGCGAGGCGTGGGCCTACTGGAACTACGCCAGGCCCTTTATTGCGAAACGAGAAGAGGCCCATTAAAGCGAAGCAAGGCGAGGCTCTGGGCCCAAGACGAGACGGGGCCATGAAGTCAAGTCAACTGAGGCGAGAACAAAGTCCTTTAAGGCGAAACGAGCCGGCCCATTAAGGCTAGGCGAGGTCCATCAACTTAAACGAGACGAGGCCCATTAAGGCTAGGTGAGTCGGCCCATTAAGGCTAGGTCGGGGCGGCCTATTAAGGCTAGGTGAGGCCCATTAAGGCCAGGCAGGGCCCACGTGGACAAGATAGCGAGGCCCGTTGGGGCCAGGCGATGCGAGGCCCATTACAACGGAGGCAATGCAAGGCTCACAAATACACGGAAGAGGTGGATTATGCGAGGCCCACTATTCTGGGCCCAAGAGGCGGAGGGCCTAAGAGGCGAAGGTCTAATAGGCGGAGGCCCACAAAGAGAAATGAGGCACATCTTTAACTAGCGCCATCTTGTACATAGATTAATTATCTCTAGCCACATCTTTTATTTATTATCTCTAATCATAATTTCCACATCTCTAGCCAGTTTTTTTGATGTATTAATTCTCTAATAACATTTCACATAACTTAACCCAAATTGAAATTAAAAAAATGCGGGCCCACAAACTACTCGATGGCAAGTTATCAACAAACTAGCTATGAACATATATTATGCGAAGGGATACAAGTTTTGTCAATCATCTTCATTCACGAGGGACCTCGTGAACAACAATGCAGAACCATCCACACTTCTCAGGACAAGCAATCTAGAATCTACATAAGTTCCACAAACTATTTTCGACAGATCAAATATTTCAGGCGGCACCTGCGTTCTCACTTCACGTATGACATCCTGTGCAGTGGCAACATTTCTAGTTAACGGCTCGTCTAGACTCATTGAAATGTTAACATCACTAGGAACAAGTTTAGCGACCGGTAAACTCGATGGAAATTCCTTTATGGGAATAGTCTTTCTCCACTTTTTGCTCGACAGTTTTTCCAGAATGGAATCCCTAATATCTGGAGTGGCCGAACTAATTTTCGTACTAGTTTCCTCCTTGATGTATAATCGTCTCCCAGCTCTCAACTTGGAAAGGGAGTTAATTTCCAATTTACCAGATGCTCCAGTTTTATCATGGGGCCAATCTTGACCAAGCATCACTTTGAAGCCAATGTCCGATTTTATAGAAAAGGTTGCATGTAACTTTGATAGCTTAGTTATGTTTAGGTGCACATCACCAACAAGGATTCTGGTTGAAGGTTGCCGAAAAGTCAGTCCTATATGTCGGCCTGTGCTATATAGAAGTCGCCATTTGCCAGGAAGCATTTCCAGCCAACTCTGCAATTTAGAGTAGAGATTATTGAACAAGTCTTGCATTTTTTGCTAACATGATGTAATCGAACAAAAATACGACACATGACTTTAAAATAAAAATCATTTTGAGAAAACGGAGAATATGGCAGAGTTAATTGTTGATTTATCAGCAAATAAAAAGGAATTGCCACTACAAGATTTATTAGCATGTAATATTAGTGCATTGTTACAGACAAAATTTGATTGGTGATTTAAGCAGACTATGTTTCTAGGTTTGTATCTGTACATGATCGTAACAAATAAGAGAATATCATATTCGCAGAACCATATATACACTAAGCTTGAACCAGGTGGGTCGTTTAGGGGGTTAACTAAAAAGAAGAGATGACACAAACAATTTTTAGTAATGACAAGTAATTCAGTTCGGCAAGCACAACTTCACTAAATGTATTACCCTTGGCTTTGAATGAGGATTCAACATCTCCATCAGCTCAATGAAATATGCGATTCTTCTTCGCTGAAACATAAAGAGAACAGATTAAATAAGTTACTGAAAAATTCTGACGAACAGCTCATAAATATTTAAAGGATAGAACTTCATGAATGTAACAAATTCAAAAGCTATTAGTTCAGGACTATCAATCTCCGCCATCATGAAAGTAGAACAAAATATTTTTCAAGTGGATCAGAATTTCCAGTACTAGGTAAAAATCAGTATTCGCCAAGATAACTCAGGCTTCCAGATTGCTTAGGATAGTAGAAAAATTGTAACTACTTAAGAAGGACAAAGATTTCATAAAACCTGCTGCCTTCCATAGATGTATTCTTCAGTGATTCTAACTGCAGTTGAACCCAGGCTCCATCTGATCATGTCCATTGTTGGGTCTACACGCCATCTTGGTCCACACAGAAATGGATGCCTCAAAGCATCTAAGCAACTGTGGAATCACAATTCAATTTAATCAAGATAAAATAGTTTAGATAATGCTTTGTATTCAGCAATCATGAAGACTAGCTGGAATTTAAGATATCCATCTAAAACATGTATGAAGATTGAAGAGGTTAAATTTTTATAACTAGATTATCAATTTAGCTACCTTATTTTCTGTGAAGATTTGGTAGCAAGAAGTAAGGAGAGCAAATTCCAACCTGCACCCCAGTTTCTATCCAGTATCTGCAAGAAGTTTGTGCATCATAATTCATAACATCTTGTTGTATTGGAATGAAAAGGGATGAAGAAGTTGTGAAAGAAAATTTATACTTACCTGAAATCCTACATTTTCAGGAGAAGGATTTCTATTGACAATATGCATCAGAAACTCTCGCAAGCATGAAGGCTCATTTCCCTGAAACAGCCAAAACGGAAAAAAAAAAGGATAGTTAGACTTTAGTCATAAGCAAATACTTCCAATTATACAACAGTACGGATTATATGTAAATACCTTGGAGAGGAATGCTTTGAACTTGGCGAAAATCATTGGATCCATGAGGTCTCTAAGAACCATTTTAGCCATTATAAATCCAAGACATCTTGCAAAGGCATTAAAAAGGGAGTATCGTATGAATAACTAGTGATAGATAGATTAATCCAGGAACACATAAATTACAATCTGTATATGATACCTCATGTCAAATGCAATCATCATTTTTCGCCTATCCATGTTGCTATCCAATTTGTTATCATCCGGAATGCAATCATTAAAGTTGGCAGCATTCCCCAATATTCCAACCTAAGGTGGCAGTGGCAAAAGAACAGAAAGGATTAACCAAAGTAGAATGATGAAACTGTTCTGCACTGATAAAAAAATATAGCACGTCTTATCAAAATTGATGTGTTTATCAGTTCTTCAGTCTTAGGTTTCACTTAATGGATGAAATAATGCTTAATTTTCTTAGAGACTTTGAATAGTTAACTCACTTTGACATGTCTATCAATGGGGCTAATATGCAACTTCTCGAGTCTCAATTCTGTATGTGCAAGTCCATTGCTGTGTAAGTAATTCACCTGGTGCAGTAGAGAAATTTGGAAACATTAAGAACCATCAATTCTCAAAACTGTAAGAAAAAAATTCATGTATGCTTAGTTATGGTAATATTTGGAAAAAATCATACTCCAATCAACAGATCTCGCATTAAAATTCGAATAAGACGTAATTGTCGAGAAACGGCCGGTCCTCCCACTGTATCATCACCGACTCGCCTGACAGACTCCTCATCCAACACGAGGGTAGCTTCTAGAGTTGGTAGCCAATCTGCTTGTTGAAGCCAATGTCTCAAAGAAGAATTGCCATGATACTGAACATAAAAATAAATTCAGATCCACAATCATCTTGGAAATATCACAGTTAATCCTTCAATGAGTTAGAACATGAAATCATTAGCACATTAACTAACAGAATAAATGAAAACGGGAGCACCAATCTAGATTGACTTTTTGAGAAAGAGAAACTTACACCATGTACTAGAGTAAATGAACCACTGTCATCATTTGTGGATGAACATATATAGCCATGAACTTGCACCGAGTAAGAATGGTACATTACTCTACGGTGAGCCAGTCTTTTCAATACCTGAATGTAATTTCACCAACAAGACATCAAAGTCAGACAAGATATCACCATTTTCAAAATGTAACTTACTAATGTGTCAACTTAGCTTACCTCTATTGCCCTTCTTCCCCTACGCTGCGCCTGATTGCTAACCAGTCGCCGAAGCACAACTTTCTTATTGAACAGTGGACTGCATTACTAGAAAGAAAGCATTATTAGAACTTCTATTTCTCTTCATGATACTTCGTTGATAAAATCCTGAAACGAATGCCGTAAATCAAAACAAACCTACTAGCTTCCTTCACTGTAGCTTCATATACAATTTCATCATTCTGCATTACATCTCAACAAAAGCACAATAAACACAGTCAGATCATAGCATCATGAAACTTTATGAACTCAATCTTACAACATAAATAGCAAGAGAAGCCAATAAACTGTTACTTACCCTATCCCCAAGGCCAATGCTAACACGATCATGAACATTAAAGTCCGAAATCTTAAACTTAATCACATGGCTTAAATCATCATCGTCTGAGTCTGAGCTACTTACACCATCACTTTCCTCCGATTCTAATTCACGAGTAAAATTTTCTCTCGATGCCAAACACTTGATTCTAGGCCTCCACTTTCTGATACTATTATCACTTGAAACCAGAGGCAAAAATACTCGTCTATTCGACAAATTGCTGTGACTTAATGATTTAAAAAACAGCAATTCAATAGAGTCGAAAGATGACCTCGAGCATAATCCAATTGATATTGCCATAGCAATACTGAACAAGACGAATCAAATTCCCATCAACTGCAAAACACCACACGCGAAACTGAATCGTTTAAAACTCTTCTAACAAATCACATAAAACACAATTATTACCGAATAAATTACAGGACAATTCAGCACGAATTTTACCTAAATGCATAACTTAATATTTTTTTTCACGCATGAGATCAAACAGAACGTAATTAAATTTCACAATCCTAAAAATCCACATCTCACCACTAAGATTAACCTAATTAGTAATTGGCAGCAGCACCGATCGCGCCACTACATACAACAGAAAGAAAGGGAAAAAAACCAAAAAAAAAAAAAACACGACGAAACAAGAGAATTTCAAAATTATTGTATATGTTGCTAATTGTTGGCCAGGTTCATGATAGAGAAATTCGTACCAGAGGAAGGCGCCGAGTGAGTGAAAATGAAAGTTTAGGAGGAGAGGAGAGAGAAGATAAATAGAGAGAGAAGTAGCGTGTGAGAGTTGCGTGTAAGAAAGAGGCTGAAGCGTTTCGACATGAGCCCGTCGCATGTCTACGTCCGCCACGCTCGCCTTCCATTGTAAAATATCTGCGCCACCGTAACTGTTACGAACCCTACCCGTTCCTTTAACTGTGGGTGAAACTGAAACTGTTACTGTACCCTCCCTAAACTATTACTAGTAAGTAGTAAGTAGTCGCGTCGGGCTTGAATCATGAATGACGCTACTTTTGTAAGGAGTTATTTATCTAGAGTTTCGCCCGACCCGACCCGACCCGTCCGTGAGCACTCCTTTATTATTGTGTTAATAGTTATTCCACAACGTCTGGATGCCGATTACAGGGTCAAAATTGTAAAATTGGACACCGTCACACCATTATTGCTTGTACATTTTTTTAGTTACAAACAGAAAAAAAATAAAAAGGAAGCAATATTATTAAACAAAGAAATGAAGATACTTGTTTCTCTATTTGCCAAAGAATAACAAGAAATGATGCCATTTTGCTTTTAACTCTGGGCATTTATGCTTATAATTTATACAAAATGCCTGAAGCTCTCTCTCTCTCTCTACCTCTAGAGACTAATAGCTATTATTCCATCTCTTTGAATTTATCCTAAATGAAGCGGAAAATAAATAAATAAATAAATATTTATATTTTCCTTTTACGCGAATTTTTTTACACAGTTAGTAACCTAGACGGTGAGCTCTAGAGCAACGAGAAATAGTTGGAATTCTCGTTGAAGGACCTAGTTCATGAATTTTCTGCAGTTTGGAGCGTTACACATGCAAGGCACTTTGAATTCATCGGGCTCGTTCGGATCGAATAAGTAATCGTACCTGCCAATATGCACCAAAAAGAAACAGTAAAAATCTTCTTCTATTTTGTTTTTCACTAATTAAATGAGAGATGGAGAGATAGAGAGAAAGAGAGAGGGAGAAATACGTCAATTCATCCCCAGCAAGAACGTTTGTCTTTGCGATAAGTACAATTCGGCTCTCGTCATCACCTACACTCATGATCCTTGCATAGCAGTTGGGCATACACTGGAAATTTGAGGTGACAATAATTATTAAGATTCAGAATGAGGAATCAAACTTGGAACAACTTCCAGAATTAGTTTTAGAAAATAATTTGGTATTAACTTACCGAATGGTTGATTAGCCGGGCAATATTCCCTGCATCTGTAGCATCCACCACAACCTCTTCACTGATTTTGAACAGCTGAGCAGAAATTATATGAATTCAGATTTGACTGTTTGACAGAAGAAATTATATTGCATAATCAAATCTAGAAATAATTAAATAAAACAAATCATCTCACATAGCAGTCTTTGCCAGCTGCTCGATACCGCGCCTCTCTAAGATCCGCAACACTGCGTCTGACTTGCTCACCACGATATTCGACAACCTGCCAATAATCAAATAAAATGTTAGAGGTGGTCTAAATGATTTATTTTTCCTGGCCCTTTCTCTACGTTCTTAAATTACTATAAATTCAACAACTAGCTAAAGGAAATACCATTTCGCCTTCCGGGATGTTCCTACGTGCAAAGAGACCCCATCCATGAATTTCAGATCTACCAAAGCAGACTTTATCCTTTTCCGTCTTCTGTAGTCACAGATGAGTATTAGGTTCCAATATTAAGCTACACCCAATGATTGCAGAATACCAACAATCAAATGTTACCTGCAAATGTTGAAGTCGTTCCCTAAAGGTGGAGAAGGTACATGGCTTCTCCATTTTCTGTTTCAGACAGGACAATCGTAAGTGGTTGGTTTTAATAATAGCACATACCGAGAAAGAAGCTAGGTGAGAAAATTTACTCTATTTGCATTCAGTTTTAGTATTGCGCTCATAGAATGACGCTGAGGTCCCATAATTTGGTGAGCAACAGCCTCCTTTTTCGCCTGATTGCAAGCAAGAAGAAACGGGGAACATTAAAACAGGTTAAGACGCTAATACACATTGTATCTGCAATATTTATTCACATAATTGTTTGTCCTTTTCCCTTCTCCATCTATACATATATGCATATAATCTTAGTTTGCCATATTTTATTGTTCACTGAACAAACCTTCTTTGTTCTTTTGAAGACACGGCATCTTGCAGCAGAGAACGGGTCAGCCTCTTCATTATCTTCCAAAGGAGGTTCCTCAATTTTCAACCTGCTTGTTGAAATTAGCCTCGCACCCGTGTGCCTTTTGCTTTGAAGTAAGCTTTTGGCAGAGAAAGTCCCCTTGGGGGTCTCTATTATCAGAACATTATCTGGATCCGGAGCCCTGCACAAAATGAAGATGGATTAGCAATGGTGCCTCTTGTAAAAACCCTCTCTTGATCAAATAAGGAAATAAAATAGCAAAAATAAGCACAGCAGTAGTACCTGTGATAGGCGCAATATGAAACCATTTTTGTCATTTGTTTCCCGTTCTTTTCCAGGCAGTGCAACTGCATTTTGATAACACATATGCATGAAGCATTCCATACAGATATAATTGGCAAAGATGTGATATGCAATCAACAGAATCTAGATAAACTATCAAGCGTCCCATTGGGTTGTATTAAATTGCGAATTTGGTAGCTAGTGGGGATGATATTTTGGCAATTAATGCGTCTTTCAATCCAGAAGATAAAAGTAAGAGCCCACAACCAATCCATAATGGCTGCCAGCAACCATACCTGCAAGAACTGGTACAAATGAACATGATAAGAAAAATAAAGTAATCGAAGTCATCTCACCTCCATGCGGTATCCTGCTCTTGATGCACACACTGCATGGTAATAAGTGGAACACTTGCTACATTGGGTACAGGAACCATGAATTTGTTTGCAAACTACACAAATCTGAGATGTAAAAAACAGATAGAGCAACATAAAGAACTATAATGGATAAATAATTTGGTGAAGCATAAGGACAGTACATTAAAATCTAACCAAATAAATAGAAAGGAAAGATACCACTAAATGAGGGAAGCGGTTAAAATGAGTCGTGAGTGAGAGAACACCATTACCTTCACAAAAGAACTTGAAGGAATTCTTAAAATTCCAAGCGCAGGTTCCATCTTTTCATCGCTTGCAAAAGAAACTTGAGGTTGGAACCAAGCGCAAGTAACATGCACCCATAACGGCGCCACATCTGTAGGCTTCAGAGCGCCCCCTAAAATTACCCACAACTCATATAAGTTAGGAAAAACTATGATTTGATAAACTGAAGATAATGATTCACTAAATATTACACGTCCAATTATAACATCATATAACATATTACTGGGAGAGGAAGTAGACATATCAAATATACTCAGTTCTTCTCTTAAACTAAGTTTCACAAGACTGCACTCGTTTTGAAGAACAGAATATCAACCACTGTGCTCAAAATTCAATGAGTATAATGGGATTATAGTAACTTTAAGAGTCTTAGTTTGTTTTTCCCCTTATATTTACTGCCTTTTGTAAATTTAAGCACATAAAAGGTCATGAATTCACGAGTTTTGCGAATTAAAATTTCTTCATATTTTTCGGCAAATGAGGCACTAAGCAGCAGAAGAGTATATTCACAAAACTTTCCCTCAATTCTAAACATGCGACCAATACTCAATGAATTTATAATATGATCAAGTTTATTTTTAAACCAGGAAAATAAAGCAGTACTGTCAATATGAGTAAAACGTTTGACTGATGTAAGAGCCATGCCTTTCACAGGACAGAGGCAACATTCTCGCTCAATGTCAGGTGTCTCGCAGGCTCTGCAGACCCATGAAGTAAAATCACGAACATTTCTTGCCCCATAGCATTCTTGATGAACAGCTATTTGACATCTGAAAGTAACAGAGGGAAAACAATATTATATTCTTTAAGTGGAGGAATGTTTTTGAAGAATTTGACGTGTAATGGAGCTCATTGGTTTGATATGAAGATTAGTTTGACAATACCTAATGCAAATAATAATTTTGTTGAAGTCCCAATCTTCGACCCATCGGCATACTGCGCATCTCTCTGTTGTCCACTTGGCACTAACAGGTTCATAAGGTTCTATTACATAAAAAAATAAAAAATAAACACAAAGTTAATTTATTAATTAAGGCTAATGTATGTAGAGCAGACTAAAGTATCTCATGGAATTTGAATGTAGAGGCTGGAGAGAACCTTGTAAGAATGTAAGTAACTTCTGCTTGCGGACTTTTATAGAAGGACGTTTGACAGATTTGGCAGGTACAAGACTACGTTCATGATACTCAGCCATCTGTAGCATCTGTCATGAGAAAAAAATATATGTTACAATTTATGCATCCAATGTAATAAATCATGGAAATACCAGTTACCAACAAAGAAAGACATCTCCTATCAGCAAACCATCACATGAGTAGAATACCATTGGATTCTTATGTATATAGGTGTAAGCCTTTAACACACACTCCTGGAAAATAAACAGACTATGAAATGAGAGATCAGCTTTAAGAACAGACCCATTGTTCAAGAGGTATCAAGGAACCTTTGACCCTGACGCTTGACTTCCAGTTTCTAGTTTTGGATCCTGTGTGCCGTTCCCATTCACTAAGTGCCTGCTTTTCCATTCCACAATACCCGCACTTGCAAATAACTCTGCCAAAGGATAGTGTTGTTCTTTCAGTAAATAGAACACCCACTAGGAGATATTCAGAGTGATGGAAATGGAAAATTAACTAATGCTTACAAATGAAGACTAGGAAAATAAATTCCCTCGACCCCGGAGCAGACTACAGCAACTTTGTCCGGCAATGTATGTTTACCGTTTTTTTTGTTATTTCTGCATCAGGAATCATAATTATCTTAAATTTGGAAGTAAAAAAGTGATTATGCTGACAGCAGAAAATCAACACTCTTAAGCAGATAGGAAGCAGAACTTACTTAGTTTTAGCTTGCAAATTCTCTGAATCAGAGAGTTCAAAATTAAACCTAGCTTTGCATTCAGGGCAGTAGTAATCACTTGCTCTCAGATCCTAGAGCCAGAGAAATCGAGGTAATCAAAATCAAAAAGCTTTCAGGTTTTCTACCAGATATTTCTATGTAGATATTCATAAGGAAAGAAAGAAAGAAATTAGAACACTGGGCATGAAAGAATACCTTGAACTTGCTTTTTGAAAATTTGTCACACTCTGCATGGACCCAAACTTTACAACCATTACACCTCACCTGATTTTCCAAGTAAAAAGACTCATTAGTATAATAGAAAATTCACATCCAGAGGACATAACCAAAACAAGGAGAAGAATCCTGAAAAGTGAAACATGAGCTTACCCAAGTTCCATTGTCTGATTGATTCCGAATCTTTTTGCATATGCCGCAATAGTGTTTCATTTTTTTCAACTGAAAAAAAAGGAAAGAAGCAATCATAAACAAAGATAAATAAACTATCAACGAGGATGATGTTGAAGAATGGCTTAAGAACATTGCTAGAGAAAGCAAGCAACAAACCCTGGCACAAGATGTACACAGACGATTGATACCAGCAGCTGAATTATGTGATTTCCTTGATAATCTAGGTGCAATGCTTACGCCACAGGCTTCACAGGATCTCGACTCTTGTTTCATATGTACATCCTGCTATCAAAGATTAAATGTTCTTCATTCATGCCGATATTGGCAAGTATTTTATTTGATTTACTTTCACTATATTTAAAAATAAAGAAAGTGTGTACGTAATTGCCGTTCAGACCCCAACCAACCACAGAAAACAATTGCTAAGGCCACTACAACGCACGATAAATTATTAATGCCTACAAGAAAATCCATAAATATTTGGTCTTAACGAACTCACCTGTTCTATAGAATCGCAATTCTTATCCTGGTTTGAATCAGATACCTCGAAGACCGCTCCTCTTTTAAGAGAATGGAAATAATCCATGTTGCCAGCTGCCGCATTAATTTCAACCATCAACATTTCGTTAAATCCATTTTCTGCTAGGAATGCCTCCTCTATGGCAGAACGTAAGTCAACCGGCTTGCTATCATTCAGTTCGGTCTGACCCTGGAAACTATACCAACAAAATAACATTGATTACAACTTTCCATTGATATCGTAATCAAGAGGGCAAAAGATAACACAAAGAAAGAACAAACGAAACCAACAACTAAGCACCTGTCTACATAATCTACAAATGGAAATATCATCCCGCTTTTAATCCATGCATAATCCTGCAATAAAAGACAAGATAGAATAAGTCCATTGTTAGTTATTACGGTTGGCAAGCAAACAAAAGATAGAAAATAAACCACACTTTACCCTTTGCGTTCCATTTCCAGAATAACCAAAGAACATTACGCAAACTGTTCCAGCAAGCCGAAAGTTGAAAACTTGCTGGGGAACTTGAGACTCTTGATTAAGCACAATTGCTGGCCAAGCAGGACAATGCTTCCCCGACTTCGCCCACACTATTTCACCTTCAACAAAATCTTTTGTACTATACAATTTATCAATGCCACTTACTTTTATGAACTCTTCCAACTCTTCATCATACTTCCTACTATCAGAGATTCTCAACTCATTATTTCTCAGTTCTGCTATCTCATCCTCTGACAATGGTGAAAACTTACGGCATTGGCTGCTATTAGTCTTCCCCTCACTTCGCTTTCTGTTAATGCTTCCATCACCGTGAATTCTCAGGGTTTTGGAGCCGAGTTTGTTGTCCTTCCCTTTAACCGGTATATATTCTGTATCCGGAGCAGAGTCTCTCTCTTCGTTTGTACTAATATCTTTTTCTTTCTTCCAATTATCGAGAATTGAGTCATTGAATCGTGAAGGCAGTACCTGAACCCTCCCCCGGGAAGTTTTCACTAACGGCGGCCGAGAGACTTCCTTCACTTTCGAATTTGCAGTCCTCGGTTCTGAAGCTGCGATGCGCTCCCGGCCACCTCTAACCTCCATAGAGGCGGCGGAGTTAGAGAGGATCTTTTGGATTCCATAGCCGTTGAAAGGAATAATACCAGCGGCAGCCTCTCCAAGGAGATGCATAGGGTAATAACCATTGGAAATTTTTCGTTTCTTCCGATGAACCGATGAATCCTCGTCGTCACCGGCGGAGCGGCCGAGCCGGCACCGTTTCAAAATCGGCATTACCGATTTCAAGCTCTTCTTCACTATCATCTTCCCGCAGATACTCCAAAAGCACCCGAATTAACTCAATTGAAAACCCTAATCACAATTGAAGAGTCTTCCAACGGCTTCGGAAAACTCTGCAATCAGTCAAACCCAATGAATTCTCACCGCAATCATCCCCAATTTGCCTGCGCGAAGACGCTAAGAGAAGAAATTTCCTTCCTTGCCGTGAAGAAATTAAACGATTCTCGGTATTCAGAGAGTAGTCTTAGAATAGGGATCTCTGTTTCAATTCTCTCTCTCTCTCTCTCTCTCTCTAACCGTGACTCTCGATGTGAGAGAAAGATAAATAGGATAAATTTTTATATGCGTATATAGATACACTGGAGTGTATATACGATTTAGTACTACTTAAACTAAAAATAAATTGGAGCTAAAATTTTAATATTTTTTTGGCGTGGCAAATTTTCACAAATCAATTTGGTTATGGTTGGTAATATATAGATACAGAAAAGTGTATGTATAGATAGATGGAGAAAAGTTTTGTAGAGAGAGAAAGGGAGGGTCGGCGTTATAACTGTGAATGCAACAATGTGACGCTAAATTGCGCCGTAAGTGGTGAGAGAGAGAGAGCCCAATTCCAATGTTGAGAGAGTTGTGGAGTCGTGGTGTGCCAACCTGGTACAGACATGGCTTTTGGGCCGCGTTTTTTTTAAGGTTTTGTGAATTTATTTTAATTGTTTTTGGTTTTTCTGCAGAGGATGGCGGGAGAAGATTGAGTTTCCTAAAAGTTGATGCACTAAAAGTGTAATGGATGTAAGAATATATATAAATATATTTTTTTTCTATACGAAACAGTTTATTTTTTGATTTTATTATATATTTTTATTTTTTTCTTGATTGGGCCATCTGATTTTATGGGTTATCGAATAAAGGTTGACGAATTCGATTGAAAAAAAAAATTGTGTATATATATGTGTGTGTGTGTGTATGTGTGTGTGTGTGTGTGTGTGTGTGTGTGTGTGTGTGTGTTTACCTTAGTGTTGACACAATTTCAGTATGGCAACAATTTCAACAATATATATATATAAATTTGGAGCATAATTGAAGAATTGGGGCCCGAATAGTTTAAACGGGTCGAGAGTGGAGCAGCCGCTGAAGGTCGAGAAGGCGGCGGAAAGGGTGCACAGAGACTTACGCCGCCGGAGAAAGTGGTGGTCATTCTTGAGAAGGTTGTACGGATTGTGGTTGCTGGTTGAAAATTTTACCAAGCCAATGAAGGTTGAGGTAAGTGGGGCCTCTACTCAAATTTTTTGGTTGAATGATTTTATGGCAACAATTTGAAAAAAATAAATAATAATAATAGTAATAATTTGATGATTTGTTTTGGTACAGATGCAAGAAATGTAGAATGCCTAGTCAAAACCAGTTAGTCGGTGGAACCAAATTTCCGGCAGCTAACAAGGGGTGGTGGTGCGAGGGGGCAGGATGGCGGAGGAGTGGCGGCCGGCCACCGGTGGGAGGTGGTGGTGGTACGGTCTTGAGGCATATCTACTACAACTAGTAGTACTTGAGGCTAATTAGTAAGATTTGAATAATAAAGAGAAATTCCATTTACCTTTTGTCTGGTTCAAGCTTGGGGCTCTTTTAACATGATGATGAGTACAAAAATTGAATTTCAGTTTCAACACTTTGCCAAATTATTGAGAAGTTTAACCACATGGTGGCGAGCCTACGCGGACGAGGATGATAATTAAGTGGTCGGTTTTCGACCTACATTTAAGAGCTTTGGCAAATCCGACACAAGATTAATATTATTTAGTTATTTTCCTTTTTGGATGGGTTCTCGAATCAGAATTAATAATTTCAGAGAATTTTCAAAAGCCTAAAATCGAAAATCAAAATTTCAGAAGTTTCAAATAATAGTAACAAATAAATAAATAAAAAGGGCCTATAAATAATTAAATATTTCAGGATTCCATTCCTAGTCCAAAAATTTCCTTTATAGGTTTTACAAAATAAACTAGTAAATGATTTTTTTTTATTTAATTTAATTTTTTTATATTATTGAGGTATGAAAACAAAAAGGGGTTTTGAATGAGGAAAGAATTATTAGTACAAAACGATTTATTTAATTACCAGAATAAACAGTTATGTACAAATCTAGTAGAGTAGCACTAGATCTACAAAAGTAGTACAAAGAAGGAAATAACTGGTGCAGTTATTACAAAAGAAACTAACTTCGGAAGCTTTAAGGTCATGCTTATTCATCAGTACATCCTGCCTCAGCTTTCCCATTAATTAACACAAACATAATAATAATAATAATATTATTATTAATAATAATAATATTTATATAGTCTAAAAACTAAACTCCTACACTTATTCTTTATCTCACAACAGTAACCAAATCATTCCTTCTTCGAAACTTCCATCTCTTCCGTTTTCGCAAATCTCCCACGAATTCTCGGCTGGCTATCCGCCAACGCCTTCCTGCACGCATACTGCCAAAAAAGATATATACATATATAAGTACATACACGTTCCGGTTATATTCCGACAAAACGAAAAAGTCAATGGAGAAAAAGACGAAAACGCCCTTCAGAATATGTACCTTGATTTTTCTTCCAAAGTTCCTCTTCGATTTCTTACTCCAGTATCTCGACAGCTTCTCCCTCCTTACATCGGAAGTAGTGCAGCTGCTAATTGTTTTAAGTGGGCCCAACGGCGAATGGGAGTGGCTTGTACAATTATTATCAAGTGTCTGTCATAAAAACTCAGAATCAATGACCGTTGCCCTATCCTGTCGAGATGCCACAAACATCTATACATTTCTCAGTTTCACCGAACCAATAACTTCGTGTGCGCCCCTCATGGGCACACCTAAAGGGCATAATCGTCATTTCCCCACTGGAGTTCGATAATTTAATGCCACACTCTCCAGTTCTTATTACCACACTCAAAGGATGTTATCCTTAAAACTATGTAAGAAATGTGTGTCTGTGTGATTGTATAATAAGTAGAATAGGTAGTAATTACAAAAAGAAAAAAAAATGCACCTTTATATCTCCTTCGCTGAAAGCTCTTCGCATACCGTAAACAGACCCAAAGTCCATAACCGGAAAATCGAGAAAATTAGGCCTAATTAGTGGAGCCTCCATTGATGTAACAGACCTCAAGCTAACACTCTTCTGAAACGGACCTTCTCCAGGAAAGTTCTCGTCCGCCTTTACAACAACACCAGGGATGTTGATATTGAGTACTTCAGACAGTGGCGTCTCGTTTCCTTCCTTAGCCAAAAGATCCTTCCTGCACTCGTAGAAGACCTCGCTGAGGAGCTGACCGCTCTCGATGGATGACTCAATGTCCGAAACGGTCAATGATTGGGTGGAAATCACGTCTTCGCCACAAGAAATCATTGATATGGCAGCTGTCATTGGATCGATACCCATCAAAGAAGAAGGCTCTTCGATAACTGGTTGGGGTGCTTTGAATAGATCTCCTTCTTCCCATATATTGTAGTCCGATATTGTTGATGGCTCAACAACCGTGCTCGGTATGACCTATATGCAGGATCATATATATTAATTAATAATTATTATTTAATTCTTCACGATAGTGTCGAATATGTATAATATTTCCAGTATCTTTATATATCCAAAGAAAACTATGAAAAGGGGTATAACTTATAAGTTCCCGAAATTTCTCTGAGTCGTTTGAGCAGAAATTTAATAGGACAGAATGTGAATTACGTAAGCTTGCCTATCAGGACAAAGAAGCATATGAATATATCACATAATACAAAACTAGGCCGACGAACAAAAGTCGAGTTTGAAACCAATCAAAGGCCAGAAGAGAAGTAGGCAGGGGATATTGACATATAGTTATTGGCCACTAGACATTGTCCCTTGCTTTAAGATTTCAAGACAAAAGCCTCCTCAAAGTACTATTACCTAATGCTAATGATATAAGCTGCACTTATTACACATACAAACTCAAACCATCAAGCAGATAAAAAGCAATACATAGTTAGACGAGCGCTTTTTCCTGCAAATGGAAATCCCACTGGAAAAAGAGAAGCCCTTTACTCTTTAGCAATATCAATTCAAGAAAATATTAGCTTTAGCTTTTTTCCACCATCATTTATTTTTAATCTTTAATCAGCATAAGTGCGGTGAAAAGCGAATCCTCAATTACAAGTTGACATTAAAAACACACACACACAAAAGAGAGAGAGAAAAAGGGAAAAGAAGTCTATGTGTGGAATGAATTTGATGATCTACTTATGTCCTTTGTACTCGAAGAAGACTTAGCAAGTGAGTGAAGAACACGGAACTAATGATTGTGAAATATTCTCTTATCTATATTTTGTTTTTCCATAAAGAAATTCAAGTGCTTTCCATTTATGCTCCCATTCGATAAACGGAATCTCGGAAAGAAATCTATTTTCGAAACAAATTAATTAATTTTCCCCTTCTCTGCCTCAAGTAATATTTTTGCAGCAGTCAAGTGGTAAATCTTGTGTTTTTTCTTGCAGTAAATTTGATTTCTGATCAAATGTTCACACATCCATAAATCTTGAAAATTAAGCACAAAATAAAAATAAATAATCTTGAAAATGTTCATTGAATTTCCCCCATAAATTATTAGGCAATCATCAAATCAGTAAATGAGAAAATGAAAATGAACATGAACCCTAGACATATAACAACTCATCTTCAAACACTCACTTGAAATTAAAAAGGAAAAAAAAAACAGAACAAAATTCTTACCTGAAATAAATAAATAAATAATCGCTGAAAAGCAAACGGGAACGATTGAACGAAGATCTTAGAAAGCCCTAATTATTCATTACTACACACACGCGCGGAGACAATGAAGAAAAAATCAACATCCAAAGGAAAAACTAAAAATTGCTGATAAAAGAGAAAGTGAATTGATGAAAAATTAGTTACCGAAGAAGCATTTGGCTTCTGAGAGCAGTAGAAGTCATCAAATTGCTGAATTTCATGAGAGAAGTTCTGGAAGTAGGGGAACATTAGCCCTGTTTCTGCATACATTTTTGCTTCTTTTTTCCTTGCTTGGTTTTGTTTCTCTCTCAACAAATATCAGAAATATAGCTAGAGAGAGAAAGAGAGATGCTTTTGTGTATCAAGTGTATTAGACAGATAGAAAGAGAGAAATTGTTTAATGGAATGAGTCGTCTTTTTATAGGCGGAAGACACAGCAAAAAACAGAGTAGCAGCACAACCAGCTAAATGCACAGCTACTGTAATTGTAGAGAGAGAAAGAGAGGTAAGAGAGAGAGAGAGAGGAATCTGATTTTGATGTGTTCTTGAAGAGAGAGAATTTTATTAAATAAATAGTAAAAATAAATAAAAGGTTAAAAATTAATTAATTAATTAATATGTATTTAAGGATATATTTTGTGCTTAAATAAAATATATGTCAACATCTAGCATAGGTCAAGATTAATTTTAAAATATAAAAATCACATCATTTGAGTGAGTTTTGTGTATAACTTAATCTCAAAGTATTTTTTTTTGATTTATTTGTGATTTGACCGTGCTAATTGTATATGAATATGTATAAATTTAGTCCATGCTTTAGTTTAAATATGACCTAATTTTTCTAGCTGAAAATGAACTTTTAATTATAAGATTAAATAAAATTAAAAGTTTGAGTGGTTTGATTGAAGAAATGAAAGTGACAAATAAGTAGAGTGGGAAAGGTAACAATGACATTATTAGGGACATCAATTCATATTATATATACCTAAGTTTTATTCAATTAATTAATTTTTTGGGGGGTCTAGTTGTATAAACTAAGATTTTATTTTCCTTGTCACGCGAATATATTTATTCAATTAATAATTATTATTTTTTGTTTTTTTGGGTCTAGTTGCATAAACTAAGATTTAAAATGTATAGTTTTATTCACAATAGAACCTTAATAAATTAATACTCGATAAATTAAAACATGATTTTTTTCGGTTCCAAGTTGGTAAAAATATATTAAATTATTAACTCGATAATTTAATGTTTTACATTAATAGAACTTTGATAATCTCTATTGTATTAATTTATAGAAATTTAACTGTATTAATTAATTTATTTATTGAGAAAAGTGATTGTCACGCGCTAGGGCTGATTATTCACTCGCTTTCGGGTTGGAAAATGAAGCAATGAATCTAGACGGCAGGTGTGGCCCAAACCCAGGCCCAAAATGTAGTACATGTTTCCAGCTTGTAGTACGATTAGGTTTGTCCATAAATTTTAATATTTATATATATAAAAAAAACAAGTAAAGAATATTCTTAATTTTTATCTATTTTATTATATACACATGGTTGGTGGTATTTAAAAGTATATAGTAATTAGTAAAAACAAAACTGGTTCCAATAGTAATTAGCCACTAATTAATATTAAAAAAAAAAAAACTTTAAATTGGTGTCCAATTGGGACCAAAAAATTAATTGAAACTAGTTACGACACGTGTCAGCTTGGATTCCATACTCACCAAAACTAGCTAAAATATTAATCATGTACTGAAGTTATCTTAACCCTTTTATTGGGAAATTATTGACCAAAATTAGTGAACTTATCACAATGTTAGATGATGATAAAATTACTATAAATAGTTCTTTTAATTCATTTTATGAATTAATATTGACCTTCAATCAAGCATGAGCGTTACCCCACACACAAAAAAAAAAAAAAATAATAAAAAATGACAAGATTTCAATAATTGATCGTGGCCTGAAAGTGGTGAGCCATATTCAAACTAGTACAATGTGTTTGATTTGGCTTCTTTTATGTCTGCCTTCTTACATTTATTTACACATGGGACAAAATTGTAATAATTATTATCAGCAATAATTACTACAACTCCCAGCCTAAACTTGTTACATTGTCTCAATTTTTATTTTTTATATTTTTATTTTCAATTATTAAAACCACAAATTGATTTATTTTATTGTAAATATGGCATAATAATCGACAAACCGATGAAATTTTTTATTATTTCTTTTTCGATCGAAAATAATAAAGATGCAATTAGGTGAGCCTTCAAGTCGGGAAAAATGGCAACGGTTCACGTTTATCGCCCAAACATTAAGATAAACCAATGGCGATTACATATAGAAAAATTAAACCATACATACGAAGGACTTGATATTCCCATGGGCCATTTTCTTATCTTATCTAATCTTTAGCATTACCTAATTCAAATAATACAAATAAAATTCCCCGGCACAATGATATAATTGATGGAGCAAGAGAGTAGTGTGTCATTTAGCCCGAGTTCGAAGCTCTGGTGGACTTAATTTGAATAAAGAGTGCAATATTTCTTTTTATGATTTTTTTTTTGTTTTCATTTTAAGGAGTGTAAACTCGAGCACGAGCTCGAACTCTCTAAAAATATAATAATATGAGTAATATATAATACTAATGTAATAATAAATACAGTAAAAATATATATAATGAAATAAAACAAGATTAATGTTTAGGCAGTTTGGCAAATAGATCTGCCCATATTCCCCTTAATTTGGAGGCCCAATAGTAAATTGTGATGCTGCATGGGTTTTAAATTGAACAGTTAATTCTTTTTAGTGTGCCTAAAGTGTTGTTTCCACTATTTATTTGTATCTCCATTAATTCCTTATTTTGTTTGTAAAATTAATATTTGAAATACTTTATGGGTAATAAAGTAAAATATATATGAAATATTATATATTATCAACGACATAAGCCTCTTAATTTAGGTTAACTTGTGCGTTAATCAATTTGGACTTGCTTTATCAAAATAGGTTGTCTTGACTGTTTACAATGACCATATTTTGCGCACACGCGCGCGCACATATACATATATAATAAGCCTCTTCCCTTGATCCAAAGGGTGAGAGTATTTAATTAATATATGTTTTTATTTATTTATATATAAGTTGACTTGATTTAATTTGTTAAGGAAGAATGTGAACACTTTAACGTTGAACAATGGAATCCCACTAATTAACAGTACTTAAGGATCAAACACAAACAGTTTATCACTTTCAAATATGCTAATTACGTACTATTATATATAATAAAATTATAAGTGGGGGAATATGAGTTTTTGCAACTGGGCTGTAAAGTGTGTGGGAAAAAAGAACAGAATTTTCAAATAAAGTTATATTTATATATAATATATTCATAAATATATATATATATTATATATATATGTATGATGAAGTGGAGTATATGGAATATACCCACTTTCTAGTGTGTGCCATTTGGGATGGGTCATAGGACAATGCTTTTTTTTTTGGGTAAATTACACACACCCCCCTGAGGTATGCTTAAATAACTGTAAGGTCCCTGTGGTATCGATAATTACACTTAGCCACCTGAAACGTAGTCAGATATCCA